TAGCAAAGCGTGACTTAACTTTCAGGGGGTTGCAGACTTCTTGCGTTACGGAAGGGGGGAGGAGGGAGAAAATAAAAAAATCTGGATTCCATCGTGACGTAATACAGAGACGGGCGCTTGGAGTGTTTCGGATTTGCACTCTGGAGCTCGACTCGGCGTCGCAATATTCCTGTTCCTAGTTCAGTTCTTCGTGGTCGAGCAGCCGCGAGATGACGACGATGGCGACGTCCCGGGGAGCTGTCACGTTTCCGAAATAACGGATTTAATTATCTGAAAACAAGAGTCGGGAGCGGCCGCGTCACCACTCGTTGGATCCTCGGACGATTTTCGTTTCTGGGAGGCCGCGACTCATCGAGCCCCGATTCGCCGACGCCAACGTTATCAGGCTCCCGGGTGTCGTCCATCGCTCCCCGGTTGTCACGTCTCCCTAACCGACGAGAGCCTAGTTACCGCATTCTAGAGTACCTATATTGAGAGAGTATGGCCACTGGGCCCCATGGAGAGGCTTAGGACCCAAAAATGGCGGTGCGTTGTTTTGGATTTTGTGGTAGGGAGGGGGGTCATTGCCAACTTTTGACGGTTTTCACCAACCGCACTTGCTGCCAACCTTACTACATCTAAGATAATTTTTCTCAAAAATTGCACACGAATAGCCTTGAAAATATGTAAAGAAGTCGCAATAGTGTATTTGAGTAAATTTCTAAATACGATAAGCAAAGAAAACTACATTTTGAGTCATTTTGAATTACATTAATTTATGGCGTCCGCCATTTTTGGGTCCTGAGGGCTCCATTCAGCCTAAGATGGCTGAGCCAATCAGAGGTGGTAACACCAGTGACCATACTCTCTCAATGTAGGTACTCCATCGCATTCCGATCCCCATTCTCATCAACTATTGATTTTTGAGCAGACGAATACATGTTTTACCCCTCAAAATTTTCGGGTGCCGACCTTACGTTAGTAAATTCCGAAAAAAAATCACTGAAAATTCCATGCATACAAATTCGCACTGGGAAAAAAAAAAACACATTGGATCTAGAGTCCAGACTCTTGAAAACATTGACAAGAAAAAATACTCTTGAATCGGATTTTTGCTTGAATCAAAACGAAATCCGCTTAAATTAAGAGGCTTGGTTCTTGATTTAAGCTAGATTTTGATTGAATCAAGAGTACTTTTTCTTGTCGATGTTTTTAAGAGTCTGGACTCTGGATCCAATGTGTTTTTTTTTTCCAGTGTGCGTTGTAGTGCGGCGTAATGCACTTATCCCGATTTTTCGACGTCCCTCCCCCCTTGTAATGCACCCGTAACGCAGCACTTCACCCCCCTCCCACCATTTTCAGTTACGATAAAATTCGTAAGTGTTCCACGAAGGTGTGTTCCGAAATTCATTAGATGTTATGCTCAACAAGTTTCTCATCAATCATCATTAGGCGAAGAGAAATTCCCCTAGAGGAGAGTCCCTGAATTACCTAACGCACTTATTCGGCATTTTTAATCACCCCCCCCCCCCCCNGTAACACTTTAGTGACGTAGGTCCCTATCCTTTAACACGTAAAAACAAAATGGCGTAATACTCTTCGCGACCCCCCTCCCACCCTAGAGCGTTATGTAATTTAGGGACGGCCTCAGAGTAGCGTTGACCTGCTGGCACAAACGAGCAAGTAACTTTGCGGGGTCTCTATACTATAATATATCTATAATATCTATGGTATATCTATACTATAAGCTCTCAAACCTCCTAAATTTTCATTTCCGGTAACTCTTCGTTTTTTTCTATACTATAAGTTCTCAAGCCTCCTAAGTAAATTTTCATGTCTGGTAACGCTTAGTTCTGGTGTTCTACCGGACCGATTTTCATGGTTTTTGCGGCTACCGACACGCAATTGTCTCACATATGAGCCCGCTCTATTCCGATTTCGGAAATGGCCTCAATTCTAGTATATGACATGGTAAAGTTGCGAATTCTCCCATTTGAACAACGTAAATTTTTAAATTTTTGTCACAGTTCATTTGAGCCCTCTACACCGCCGATTTTCATGATTTTCGCGGCTATTGACAGGTGATAGTCTTCAGATGAGCCCGCTGTAATCAGATTTTCCAAATAGGACCCAGTTTTTTCATATAAGAGTATAGACCAGGGAGCTTGGAAAGAGGGGAAACATTTGAAATTCCCGCTGATGAAAAATGGCGGGAATTTTTGAATCTTGATCTGTTAGTAGTGTGAGGTAAGTGAATTAAAGGTACGGCAATTAAGACGCGGAATGCCGCCGCGGAATCTGACGCGGCGGACGACCCGAGCGAGCGAGGCGTCGAGTTTGTTTCCGCTCCGCCGTGCCCGGCAACTAAGCAGCGGAATCGCCTCCAAAATTCCGCCGCGTCCGTCGGCAGTCTCGTCATCAGTATCCGATGATAACTCACGAGTGTAGGTGTGTTGTGCCTTGCTACAATGAACATTCATCACTTTTCAAAAGCTCCAATATTTTTCACGAGAATACCAGTCAAAATATCCATTTGTAAAATTTCTAAAAGTATTTTTGAATGAGCAAAACAATTTTTAACGCACGTTGGCAAAAAACTCCAAGATACAGCAATAAAATGTTTACAAAAAGTCCAAGATAAGCTCCCTATCAATAGTTTCAAATTAACGAATAAAGCTTGAGCAGAGAGTTGCAACATTGCAAGCAAAGACACCCATTTTTTTACTTTCAGCCATGATGTTCAAAAAAAGATTGGTCGATCAGGTTTCTCTATAGATATATAGCAACGTATAAATAAATTGTTCAGATGCCAAAAAGTCATAAAATAGTTTTTCCGTTTTGTTTTTATAGATTTATTTCCTGGAAAAAAGGTGTCATGTTTCTTTTACCTATTTGTGTGGTATTATTTACACCTGGCACGAGGTAGGATTGCCATGCGTTGATATCGTGCTGAAAAAATTGTTTCTTTCATGAATCCAATAAGTCACTATGGCCCGCAATTTTCCATTGGTTTCTCCACCGCGATCCACGTTTCGGCACATAGACATGAAAAATCATCGAAAACCTCGGCGGACGAGGCGGAATCTCCGAGGGATTCCGCTCCGATCTGTTCTCGACAGATCGGAGCGCCGTGACGCCGCGGCGTCGCTCCGCTCCTTAGTTGCCGCTCCCATTGAAACGCGTGTAACAGATTTCCCTTGCGTCCGCCGCGTACGATTCCGCGGCGGCATTCCGCGTCTTAATTGCCGTACCTTCAAGGTATGCTTCCTTGCTACAGCCTTTCGAAAAGCGACGAAACGCTCAGATCCGTCCATTCCGTTTCAGACTGGGCGCAAAGTTTGAAATAAATGCCGACTTTTTTTACTTCGATTCTTGGTAGTCCAATCGCTCCCAGCTAGAGGGAGATCATGGACAAATGCGAATCGGGTATGAAAATCTTTTCGTTTTTTTTTCGTCGAAGTGGGCCTGCGAGCGCGAAGCGCCTTCCGGGGGTTGGGCCGCGTAGCAGCTAGGGGGCTAGTAGTCTCTGTTTGGCAACGATCGGATGTTCCCAGAGCGTTTTTCCTGGACACTCGAGACTCACAGGAGAAAAATCTGAAATCTGGCGTTTGTTGAAAGGGGCCGACGCGACGTTTCGCGGAGCCGCGTAGCGCGTCGCGCTCAAGGGCGTGGTGCTAGTGCTCGCACTGCTCACAGGCACAGGCAACTTACCAACAACTGATACGCGTAATGAAATGTAGGTGATTCCGTTTTGCCGAGACAATGGTCGATAACTCTCCATCCCCTAGCCGCGAGCTCCCACCCCTCCCCCACCACAGGCTCGTCCACATTCCGCGAACCGACCCCTATCGCAATTTCTCCCGCCCTTGTCTGCCACCCTGTCCACACCACTCGTTTGGCTTTCGGTAGGGTTCCTCACCAAAAACGGACCCAATAGAGTACGAAATCAAGGTGTCTACTAAAATAGGCTGGCCGAAAATCAGTACTTTCCCAAGAAATTCAGTTCCTCATCAACAGAAAAATTCAATACCTTTCCAGTACCTCCATTTGACGAAATTCGAAAAATTTAAAATTTGAACTTCTCGCTCAAATTGCGACAAAAATTCAGGACATTCTTGCGAAATGTCTACACTTTTCCAGTATTTCCGGATCGCCCTTAAAAATCAGTACAATTTTCGGATTTGAAACACCCTGGAAATCCCCTACTTCTGTAGACGATATGGTTTCGGCGCATCGGCCATCCTCACGATGTGCGGCAGTGCCCCCCCCCCCCCCCCNCATTTGAAGTATGCAAAAGGGTGGAGAATTTGCCCGAAAAACTTGTATAGTTTCATCTGAGAGCGCTTTACTATCTGGATGCAATCTTGGTTTTAATTTTTTTCAGGAATGGGCAAAAAAAAGAGAAAGATTTAAAAGTGAGAAAGTTCAAAGTTTTGTGACATCATTTCTTATTTGAACGCATGTATACAGATTAAGTCATATCTCTACCACTAAGAAATTGCTCTATTCAGACACCAAGGGTAATTTCCTGCTACTTAAATGCATTTTAACGCAAACTTCATTAAATGACACCTGCAAATCCTTCATTTAATGGATTAAGTACACCAAAATCCAAAATCAGCCTGACTAAGTACATCAGACGTTATTGCGTTCTTTCCTCCTGGTGTTTTATTTTTTCGACAGGAAACTAATCAGATTCCTGGCTTGAAATTTTGTGACAATGTTTTTCACTTTTAGGCGAAACTCACAGAATCTCAGAAATTTGCAGTTTTCTATTGCAAGACATTGCCGGCATATTGGGGGAAAATAGTCCTACAAGCTAACATCTGCTAGAGACTAGGTGCTTAAACCTTACTCAGGTTCTTGAAAGATGCTAAGACTTTACTATAATGAGATGATTAGGAATAGGTATTCCTTTGAAATAATTGACCTCCTTGAGCCTAGAATAGTCGTGGTTCTTAAAATGAAAATCTAAGGTTTGACTATACTAAACAAATCATTCGAGAAAGTTGAGTACTCACCACCTCCAGAGATCCAATGGGCGTCGGTCATTCCGATGGTAATATCAACAGATCCATCGGAGATCTAAAATAGAATAAAATAAAAAGAAATTATTCATCGATTTTGATAATTCCCAAAATTAAAGAACTTGAAAGTCGAGATTGAATGTAGGACAATGTCACAAGGAGATTTGGGTGTTGGGCTTTTTTTTTGGTTACTGAAGATAGATGGATTATGTAATAATTTTTAATCCTCTCATTCAGGAAAACGTATGCACTTCCGAAAACTATTTTTCATTAATGTTTATGCTGCAAAGTGAAAATAGCTCAATTTTTTCGGGGTTTCTGACCTAAATGATCAGATTCATTTTATGATCGTTGATTGACTGAATTAGACAAAATTTATTAATAACTTCGGTCGAAATTGCACAACTTGACTGTATTGTTCCAACATATCTAACATCTGATAATTTTTTCTATCAAAAGACCATAGTGCAATCACTTGAAATTTCTGAGAATAGTTTTAAAATAGTGTAAAATCACAATGTTGTGAGATAAAACATGGTTCTGTTTCTTTTGGTTATTTTGAACATTCTACTCTTCCATATAAACCACTCAGACTTTGGCGATTATTAGCCACCTTGCAAAATGATAGATTCTATTTTTCTTTTAGCACTTCTCTTCTCCTTTCACTTCTTCATGTCAACTTAATTAATTTGTACCTGGCCACCTTCAAACCCCACTTAAAGTATTATCTCAATAAATCTATAATATTACTGTAGAATGCTCAACATGGACTTTTCTAAACACAACGTTCCGCACCCATTCACAGGAGAAATACTTCGAAATCAGCCTTCTGACTGAGTGCTCCTTTTTAGAATGCTAAAAAAACTTTTCAAGAACACATTGCTTTATCTAATGTTGGAAATGTAATCACCTCATTCTACCAAACAGGGGTGCAGAAAGTGCTCTAGCTAATCCACTGTGAAGGAAACCTAAAAAGGGCGAAAACAGGTGAAGACTTGAAGCTCTTTTGATTTTTCTCTCTGAACTTCTAGCATTAATCCTTTCTATAAAGGTGCTATTCTTGTGAAGGGAACAATAAACTCATTACTTTATGAGAGGGAGACCGCTAAGCGAGCTACTTCTTGCAAAGGGAAATGTATGACACACTCTTTTAAACGAAGAAACTATTGAGGCACAGTCTTGCATAGAAAGCAATATGAAGACTGCTTCAAAAAAATATGAGGGAAAGGTAGACTTAAGAGGACAGCAATGTGAAGGAAAAGAACTTTCTACACCTCGGATACCACGGCTCGGTTGCTCATTCAATTTTCAAGCTATACTGCAAAATCAGAAAAATCCCCAGAAAATTCAATTGAAAATCATCTATTTAAACAGTCCTATATTCAGCTGATCTTTAGATAAGTTGAAATAAAAACAGAAATTTGAATGCAACAAAATTCAGTTCAATAATTGCTGTTGCTGTGTGACACCGTTTTACAGAATCAGGTATCTCCATCAGCTTCCGATCTGCGAAGATACGGCTTCGTGAAATATTAATCGAAAGATTTTATTTTAGCTTTCCATCCACTTGGTTGGCGAGCTGAATAAAAAGTTAAACGTGATGTCACATTCAAGGTTCCATTCATCTGAGTGTTATGTTCTAGTGTCAGTAAGTACCACATTATCCAACTCTCAATTCATCAAAAAGCGGAAGAAAAGTTGGACCGAGTGAATTGGGCTTCGGTCAGCCTTTCATCTCACAATGAAACTACTACCAGTGGAGCCATGAGTACCAACTAATCAGTTTCGGCAAATGATTTCAATTCCAATCAATGAGAGGTAACCCTTCACGACAAAAAGGAGTAAGCAAAAATTTCACTGTAAGTAACGTAGTCGATAAAGGTTAATATGCAATATACTAACAAGTGGATTATACAGGCATACTTGTACTGAATACTTAAAGAGAGCACTTATTACTGCAAAACTAATACTTCAGTTCAGAGAAGGGTTTCGGCAAAAATGATAGATACAGAAGCGGTGAAGCTGATTTTACACTAACTTCTTTGGTCCAGAGGGCAGATGGCTGGACAGCAACCCCATTCAGATGGTAAACATGTTGATTTGGAACATAGTATCAACTCAAGACTTGCTGGATAGCAATTGGATTACAATTTTACAGAGGACTTTTGTGAAAGAGACTACCATTTTTGGCTCAACTCCAATGACTAAATTCATAACCTAGCTCCAGTCAGAGGGCCTGAAGATAATTAACCGTTATGGTACAATAGTGTTGAGAGGATAATAAGTATATAAGGATAGGAGACCCCATAGAAATTATTTCGGTGAATCAAGAAAGGTATTCAAGGCATACAGTATACAATCTCTGCTCTAGGCTTCGCGGCAATCGAAGATAAGTAACCAAATTAAGAGGTCCTGAGATTCATTATCACAGGCTGATAAGTGTCTGCATTAGTTCAAAATATGAAAAAAGCGATTGTAAATTAGCCTAGAAATGGTTAAACGACAAAAAGGGGACGGGATTGCATGGTTATAATGAATCCAAGAAAGATCTCTGAAATTTCATTGGAACTTGTGATCGTAAGGTTTAAATGTTTGGAAATTGTAGAAGAAAATGTTCTGGGGGTATGTAAGCCAATGATGTGAGACTAAGACTCTTCGTTCAGAGTGGGATAAAGAAATTGGGTTACCTTAATGTTCTCGATGGATGTATCCACTGATTTCTGAATGTTATCCACTGATTCTAAAACTGAAACCATAAAATAAAGAAAATACACTTAACACTCGGACGGGTTGGAAAGCACGGTCATTATCAAGGGGTACTTTAAAGTTCACGGGTAACTCAACGAGATATCACGGTACTTCGCCTCACGAACGACGAAATTTGCAAGAGCGGATGATTGGATCGAGGGGAGGAAGGCTTGCAGAGCCGTACAAATTAAATTCAAAAACCCTAGTAACGAAAAAATGGCGACTGTCTGCCAATTCTTGATCTAAGGCTCCGCAAGGGTCATTTTACGGTAAATAAGATCGAAAAGAACTTCGGCGGCTCAAATATTAATGGGCGAGCATCGAGGCAGAAAAGCAAATCACACGACTTTCCGAAAAAGAGTTAAACACGACAAATTTGAACAATTTCCGAACGATTAACACGGGATTAAGGAGCGATCAGATAAAAAACACAACAAAATTTCGTCCATTGAAGTTCAGGTGACACCAGACTGACGTCACTTAATCATGACACTCGGGCAATGTCGGTTGATCCCGCAGTTATTCTAATGAAGATGCATCACAATCGCAGCCGATTGGCTAGATCTGATTCGGTTTGAGCTTCGAAAGCTGAAAGTTCCCATGATAGTTCGATCAATTGCGAGAGATAATGCGGAGTTTCCGACAGAAAAACTTAAAAAAGGAAACTAATGCTGCAAAATTCACCAGGGATCTGCAAGGGACGCGAGTGAAACACTATCCACATTCAGGTTTTCCTTCCGACACAGGAACTCGCTCGGAAAGTTGCGATTGGTGAACAGGGCTGACACACTGGCCGCCAAAAGACCCCAAATCCCGAAAGATTGAACTTGACACCATCGTTGATGCACCCAATGAAATAAAGAGTTCGCCATTATTTAGTACTTCAGTTGCGGTCGTAAAACTGCAGGCGCTACGAAATGGCAGAATTTAGTGTTTCCCAACGAACGGACTGCATAATTATGATGTGCGAAGTAAAATGATTTCGTGATAGACTTGTTTCAGCTATACATTAGGTGAGCAACATAGCCAAATAGGAGTTAATAGAGACAAATTTGGCAACAGCACGACAACGCGGCTTTGTTTGAAGTAATGCCAAAAATAATCAGCATTGTAATCAGAATAACTAGTTGGAACTGAAGAAGTCAATCATTGAAGGGAACATTGAATCCATAAAGAAAAAAAAATTATAAAGTGGATTACACTTTGCAATAAGGAACCACTATCTCTAGCTCTTCCATAAAAGCACGTATCTGCATAGGGAAATCAATGGCATATATGTTGTTTCTAAAATGAGCCAGAAATAGTGGTTCCTTGTTGCAAAATGTAATCCAAGTGATATTCTTCAATGTAGCAAATGGGAATTCACAGTGACTCCCCCCCCCCCTTCCCCTTCATTTTCATTACCCGTTCGCAGGTTTGAAGGGAGGATAGTGTTTAGAGTCATACTAACAGCTTTCCAACAGAGGGAAACAAATTTCTGAAATTGTTTTGGGTGCATAGGAAACTAATTGCTCAAGAAATAATTTTGATTACTAAAGTTTTTAGAAGACTTTATTACTGGTTCTGCCTTCATTCTTCAAAAAATGTAGGGCAGGCAAGGAAATTGCATCTTCCCCATGCATAATCATTTCCAAGCCATAAATATCTGCTTTGAGATGTCACGGTTTTTAAATTAGGAAAATAATGTCAAGGAACTGCAAGCTCTATTTCTTGCTTTTGCGGAGATAAAGACCATTTCCTAAACATTTGTCTTCAATTTCCTTGACTTAAGTAAGCTTGGAAGTTTCATGAATGGCAGCAAACTGGTGATCAAGACGAATTTTAAGTACATAATCAAATTAAGGTACTTAATCTTTCTAAGGCTTATGTTGAAACACTGGAATAATAGTTTTGTTCTTTTTACCATCAAATTTTAAAATCAAGAAATAATCAATGGTTTGAATGGCTGAATAATTTTGCCTAAGGAAGAAGAAAAAAGACTATTTCTGTCAAATGCTGAAAAAAAAATCTATTACTATAACATTCTGTATAGAGTATTCTGTAAAAACTTCAAGCCATGATGTTGATTTGGTCTTCTAGCAAAAAATAAAATAGGAGCAGCAGAGCTTTCGAAACGCTGCAACCAAAATGCATATTTTTGTAGAACTGCACTCTTTAGCATCAAAAAGCTTTGACTTAGACCAAATTCTTCACCTATACTCAGTTTTTAGTGTCTCTTGAGCATTTTCATTTTCCCAAGTTAGTGTGTTTTCATTCTAACTGATTCAATTGTGATAGTAATTTAAAAAACATGAACATTTTTTACATTTTCTGTTTTATTTTTTTCTTTGACAAGAAACAGGTATTTTTTGCACTTCAACATTTTCATTATCTTAATCAAATAATCACAAGCTCAGAAGTGAACATTTTACATAAAATAATACGGTTTGGTTAATCAATAATAATAGATAAAGGAACAGCAATGGACTTTTTACCAGGCTGCTCATTATCCAATGTTTGTTAAGAATTATGTCTAGCCTGTTAGGAATTAAATTTTTTTTCCACTTCAATCTATTTGAAATATTTTCCACAACTTGGAGTCCACGCCAAATAAGTTTACGCACTATTAAACTGCAACAGAAAATCCGCCACCTTGATTCTTGCATTTAGTTTCAATGATAAACTGACATGAGATACTATTCTGCAGCAGTCTAAAGTGGGTGAGCTTATTTGGCTTGGACTCTAACACTGAGTTAATTTACAGCATGCGCATCACCGCTTGACAATATGCCTTTCTGGATTTACATATTCTTCATTAAAATTAACAGACACAAAAAGACAAAGCAATTGTATATAAAAGCAGGAATGAGAAATGAAGCCGTTCTGGCACAGTGCAATCTGTAAAAAAAAAATGTTGATACGTTCTCATTCATAACTCATACCTCCACAGTCCCACATCTTGCTCAGCCGCAGAGTGAGTTCAGAAAAAACTGCTTCGGTATCAGAAATTCACTGAGCAAGTATGCATATAGATATGATAAAATTTTCAATTATGTGATGTGCAATGTTTATTCTTGGCCAATAAAGCACAGCCGATTACAAGTTGATTTTTAAAAAATTCAGTGAAATCCCAAAAAATAAATATTAATGATTTAAGGTGCAAAATAAGGGAAGACAACAAATTCTTGGACACTTTAATTTGAATCTCTAAGTTGTTTGCTCCGTCTTTGCTGCAATACCTCCAACCAAATTTAAAAGCAGCTCCAGTTTCAGCTGCTAGTGCAACGTCTTTACGTCTTAGGAGATCAAAAGCCGATTTTAGAGGGACTTGCGGAAGAATATGCTATGATTAGCGAAGAATATGCTGTGCGTCCATCATTAATAATTTTAAACTTTGAAAACGTGGTTGAGGAGAGAAAAATTGAACTTGTGAAAATACAAATTCATAACGTTCTAAATACACAAGGTCTGCATATAAATCAAAAAGTTCATGTCAAACAAGATTGAGTTTCGATTGTATGCTCAAAAATTCCCTGAATTTTAAAAGGAACATGGAAATTTTTTTTGAAGAGCCTCGAAAAAAATATATCATTATAATTTACATTATCTGTAATTTTCCTATTTACAGGTAAAAAAGGAATGGATACAAGAAAGATTAAGTTTCGCAGGCTTCTGAGATTGAATAATGCATTTTAAAGACATTCACGGTGGGGAATAATACACACTATTCCTGCACTTTTGCAAAGCACAACGATTTTTATGGCATCACTAATTCAAAATGAATTTAGAGTATTTTAAAGTTTTGACAATACAGAACAAGTTTAGGAAGCTTCCAAGAGCTTGAAGGATCATTTTATCTTAGATGACTGCATTGGTTTCAACTAATTAACCCATTGACTTCAAGTGACAACTCTGAGCTGTTTGTGTTGCGCTGGGTCAGTTCTGAACCAAAATAAATAGCATCGGTGCTTACTGTAAGAAAGTAACACTAAAAATGTGGCCCGAATACTGTAAGTAACAGGATGATAGTATAGTGTTGGGTTTACGCAATTCTGCGGTCTTGTGTGTTAAAAGAACCAAACTGGTATACGAGGGGCGTTCAATAAGTAAGTATCCCCCCTCTCTAAAATCCATAAGAATGGACCAATTTTAAAAAAACTTGGGCTCAAAATCTTCCTTAGGATATTTCGAGTTCAACAAAACAAACCGCAACAAAATCGGACCATATGCGGCCGAACGCGAGCCGTTTGAATGCGCCGAGGTGCTCGACGCTCCCGCCGAATCTGCGAGGATTTGTAGTCCGCTACAGGAGAAGAGCTTCTCTGCCACAGCCTCAGTCGTTCATCACTGACGAAAAATCAAAGAAATTTTTGTAGAATAAGGGGCTTCCCTCACTTCTCCACATAACCAGCTCGATCCAAGCAAGTCTGATACTGAGACTAAGACTAAGAGAACAGCTTTTGGATGCCTCGTGCGTGGAAGTCTTTCAGCTGACCGCGGATGAAAGAGTGGACGGCTTGTTTGACCTCTTTCACTGATTCAAAATTAACTCCTCCAAGTTCAGATTTCAGGAACGGGAATAAATGGTGGTCTGGTTTGCCATTTATCATCGAATCTGAAATCTGAACTCGGAGGAGTTAATTTTGAATCAGTGAAAGAGGTCAAACAAGCCGTCCACTCTTTCATCCGCGGTCAGCTGAAAGACTTCCACGCACGAGGCATCCAAAAGCTGTTCTCTTAGTCTTAGTCTCAGTATCAGACTTGCTTGGATCGAGCTGGTTATGTGGAGAAGTGAGGTAAGCCCCTTATTCTACAAAAATTTCTTTGATTTTTCGTCAGTGATGAACGACTGAGGCTTTGGCAGAGAAGCTCTTCTCCTGTAGCGGACTTCAAATCCTCGCAGATTCGGCGGGAGCGTCGAGCACCTCGGCGCGTTCAAACGGTTCGCGTTCGGCCGCACATAGTCCGATTTTGTTGCGGTTTGTTTTGTTGAACTCGAAATATCCTAAGGAAGATTTTGAGCCCAAGTTTTTTTAAAATTGGTCCATTCTTATGGATTTTAGAGAGGGGGGATACTTACTTATTGAACGCCCCTCGTAGATGTCTCGGCAAGCCTCACCTTGCCTGAGCTGAACACTCTTCCGCTTACTGTTGCATAAAAATTCATCAGAATTTATTTTGTGACACTAATTCTAATTTTTGGATTTTTTTGCTTGGAAATCCCTGCAGAATAATGTAGGCCCAACACTATTCTACCATCCTGTTGTTTACTATGTATTGAGTTCTCATCAAAGTTTATATAAGGAATGAGGCTAACCTAGAACTTATTTTGTACGCCAATTTATTGCTTTGTTTCGGTATTTTCGTATTATTGTACGGTCAAACATACATTAACCTCAGATTATCCTAATTTTTGATGATTTTGCAATTTTCATGAGTTTGACAGCAATACATCAAGAATATGAAATGATTTTCACTCCATTTTGCTTCCTCTTTCCTGAAAGAACCTGTAATACATGCCTAGTTTTTCGAATTTTAACTTCAGGAAATGAGTATATAGGATTTATAGGATTTATTAAATCTTAAGTCAATGGGTTCTCAGTCTTCTTCGGTTACATCTAGGTAGAGAGAACAAGTTGGACTTGATTCTTCCAAATAAACTTGCAAGCATTTCCTCGGTTATTTGGTAAAAGCAATTTTTCTTAAAGAAAACCAGACAAAAGCTGCTTAAGCTTTAGATAAATCCCAAGAGTTTATATATCTTCAGCAACAATAGTTTTGTCATCCGCATTTGTCATCTGTTGAGCAGTGGTGATGTTATTCCACCAGCTACTAAAGGCACCTGTGGCTTGCGTGATTGCACCCCCTAAAACAGATTTGAAAGTACATCATCAGATAAAGTAAAATGGAACATCAGGTATACTTGGATCCATCTTTATTAGTCCTGTCCAAAACATCTTCGAATGAGCAAATTCTTAACTAAGATGGCAAGTGACAGCAGTGCAATTTCCATTACGGGTCAATGGAACTCTGTAGTAACAGAATCGTTTTTTGATGGTCATTCTCGTAGTTATAGATTAGCAAAAAATAACAAAACCTATTGAAACGCTAAATTCCTATATCTAATATTAAAATAGATTGCTCATCAAAAAACACGGCTCATGATGTCATCTATCCGGTATGAGAGCATACCATACTTCTTTCTATCTTGGTTTCATCTGTGTTTGGCATTGAGTAGTTGGTGCGAATGTATATATCACTGAAAGTCAAAGAAACCGTGACATGCATACTGTTGTGGATGTCTTCATACACAGTGTTTCTTAATGAGTAACATATTTGTCAATATTGGAGGCAGAAACTTTAAGTTCCAACAGATCTTATTATGTTATGCTAATATAAAAGTTTAAATCATACAAAACGATTTGGTGGCTAGTACACCTAACCTATTGCTTCCTTTTAAATTCTCTTGACTATTTCTTGTTTTCATTTTGCTTTGTCCTGACTTTCTCTGGCTTTCAAACAAAACTTTTACTAGATTTTGTTCTTCAAAGAATGCTGACTTCTGCAAAAATTTGCACAAGATTTCCACTGTTAGGGATTTGAATTATAGAAAAAAACACTGAAAAGTAGTTGGCACTCTCTTCAATGGCACTGGCTGAAGTTGCTGAGCGGAAGCGCTACTTGCAAAATTCCCTGACTTTTCAAGTCAAGTTTTTCAACTATTGGGCACCCTGGATAAAGAAGGTAATTTGCATCTGAACGTGTGAGTTGTGCTCTTATTTTGGTGCGCATTTTAATATGATTTACTGCCCATTTCTGAACTTTAACGAGAGCAAAGCTCTATTTTTAACATTATTCTAATTGGTTCTTCTTATGGGCACAAAATTGCCAAATTACAGGGCTCTTTACCCCCTCTACTGGCACAAAACTCAATTAAACTGCTCATAACTTATTCTCCAGAATAATACAGAGAGTTTTCTGTCGAAAGGTCAAAATCTGATTTTTTTATTCCATCCAACAAAATTTATCCGACTGATCATTTTGCCTTCGTAGACTAAGTTCGGTTTCGTCACGGACGATCAAATGTATTGCAGTGAACTGTGTCACCTAGAAGCATTCGTATAAGTTTTTCAAATAAGCATAAAATATACTGAAAGGTTGCCTCAAATGAGCACCAGGCATTTTTAAATTTGGAATTGATAAATAAATGAATGATAAGACTTTTTACAAAAACAAGCGCACTATAATATCTGCCGAGGTGGGCAAGGGATAGCAGAGTTCTCTTTGCACTCTCTGCTTTGATAATAACTCGATTTCGGCGATCTTACATTGCTGTTCTTTCATCAGTGTGTACTTGTGTTTGTATGAATGAATACAGCTTTCCAATGTGGAGCCATGGACTTCTGGACAAGGTACGAATTTAAGCATTCTGATACATGTTTCTCAACAAAAATTTCACGAAGAGCATGATTCTAACAACTAAAATGACTGAAATTACTCCTTATTAAGATTCTATTGTTTTTATTTTACATTCGTAACGGGAGATTTGAGTTGCCCTATCATAAGAAATACAATCCTCTACTTGAGTTAAATCGCGCCTTACAATGGTTTCGGCAGGCTTCTTCAATCAAGCATTGTTCCTTTCCCAACCTTCATTGTTCAAAGGGTAAATAATTTGCTATTGCTGAGCCAAAGCATCAAGATTGAGGTTGCCATACTTTCACACCGCAGAGACTGCCACAGAAACGTTTAGTGTGCGATTTGAAACGTGTAGACCATTGAGTTTTCATGAGCGGGAGGTTTGAATTCATTAATGTCAAGAAACATTAAATATCTTGGTAAGGAGTTAACTTCAGTGATTTTCGTTGCAGGAATTGAAATTTTGGTTAAAAAACATGGATCAGAATGCTAAACTTCACACCTTGTCTAGTGGTCCGTTACGTGTAAAAATTACGTTTAAATAGTATGAAAGAGATATGGATGGTAACCCTTCTTTGCAGAGGCAACTTGAATCCGTTTTTGAGGCTGCATTTGGGGAAAATGTGTATAATTTTTTAACAAGATTTTGAAACTTACCAACAGCTCTTCCCGTTGTTGCGACAACTCGACTTGTATTTTGCACAGCAGCATTCAATTTCCGTCCGCCTTCCGTTATTTGCATTGTGCTGTAAATAAAAAGAAAATACTAGATTGCACAGCAGCAAAACTGCAGAAATGCATATCTCGGTTGCGACATTTCAAAATCTCCACTCCTATTTTGTTTTTTGAAAGGGGGCTGAGCCAACATAATAGCTTGAAATTTTCACAGAATATTCTTCACATGGAGAGGCAAAATCACCGACGTTTTCAAGAGATGATGTTTAGTAGTTTGCAATGTAGAAAATATAGCGTGCCAGGGAGTCAGCAACGCCGCAAACCAATAAGTGCATTTCTACAGTTTTGTCATCAATAAGTATGTGGCAAGTATAATAAGTATAAATTCAGGCCGTTCTTGTACTTCAAATGATTATTTCTTTTGTGAATACCTGATAGAAAATAGTGAAGAACTTTGTATCAAACTATAACGTCCTTCAATGGTGAAACTTAGATAATGATAACCAGTTGGACGTATTTACACTAAAAGGAACTATGTGGAAGTGGAAAGATGGGGTGTGCTCGTGGAAGCTGGATAAGAAACAGTGTAAAAGTGGATATAGTTCCTTTTGAGAAAATGGAAAAGCAGATTTGACATTAAATCAAAAAGAACTGAGCGCTAACTCGTGATCCGGGGGCATGTGACAAAGCGTTGTGGACAGGGCTCATGAGTTAAAGACTGATGACTGAGTCATTGTCGCTCGTGTTGCGCCTCCTTGCACCCGGTCCTTACCACTAACGTCACTGGCGCTTTTAAAGTCTCATTCATTCTTATGGCCTGAGCACTAACAAGCAAACCCCATTCTTCTTCTTGCACATAGTTCCATTTAGCATAAATACGTCCAATTACAAAAATGGATCAAGAGAAAATCTATTGTGATGAAGTGAATGGTGTAATGATAGCTATTTACTTTCATCAGAAATCAGTAAAGATTCAGATGGTATTCTTTTTACAGACTGAAATTTCATGTTTAATCAAGGTAAGAACAGAAATGCTAGCATTGTAATTTAGATAAAAATTGAGGCAATGTTGCAGAAAAGTAATCTTCCTTGCAGGATGGTGAATTAAGTCTTTTCATATGGTAGAGAATAAACAATGTATAATCGTCAAATTTTTGACAATTGTTATTTAATCGTACACTCCGGAGTCACATTCTTCAAATGCAAGACATACACTTCCTTGATAAAAATTTTGAACGCAAATAACTTGTTTCCTGAAGCTACAGAAAGAACAATGTTGGCCCTATCTTAACAGGGTTACCATAATTTCTTCATTTCCTGATTCTCTGAGTTTTCCTCACTTTTTTTGCTTTAAACTGACTCCAAAATTCCAAATTCCCTTAACTTCCTTTGACCTTCGAACCAAATTTTCACTTGGATTTTTTCCTTTTTAATTGAACTGACTACTGCTAAATACTGCTCACAAAATTCCTTGACTTTTTCAGTTCATCGTAAATTCTCTAACTTTCAAGACCTCCATAAGAACTCTGGAGGTAAACTTGACTTTTTGACACACTTAATGTTGTCGTTTTAGTTATTCCGTACTTTTCCAAAACAGGACATTCAATAAAGAATCTTGTCATTTTACAAAGTAAGAAAATGTGCAGATACTTCATCAAGTGTATCATGTCAAATTGGATTTCTAGCAGCGGATTTTGACCCATTTTATCTCCTATCTGATGCATCCACATTGCGAATCCATGTCTACCTCATGAGGGACATACTGCAGAATTGGGTCCTCGACAACTTTCAAATGTGTTCTATAATTTTATTTTTTAACGAAATGCACTTAATGTTATGAAAATGGATTTTTACTTGACCCCTTTACCTCCTTTGGCAATGAAATACTGATGAATAATTGAATACTTCCTGATATAATCTGAATACTTACTGAGAAAATCGAAGTTTGACATCTGCAACAGAGAGTTGTCCGATAAATGGATGACCTGGATTCAGACTGTAAATTGCCTCATGATTGCCTTGCAACCATTGCTTGTAGCTCTTAGTTTCACACCAGGCATTTACAAATGCTGCATTAAAGTGATCTATTTCCTTCGAGCCAGCTGAACAGAGACAAGAAAACAATTGAATAAATTATCGCTACAAAAAGCTTTTCCTCAAAAATTATGATATAGATAACAATAATTTTTTTTTGTTTGAATAGATTGTGTAGACAGACTTGACCAAATGCATCAGATTTTTTTACAAATAAAGTATTCAATTTGATCTTGCAGAACCAACCTCATAGCCTCGAGGCTCCTCTTCCATTCTTTTTTCCGTGGTAAGGCGAATTTGAAAATAAAATGTATGCCCTTGAACCGGGGATCTGTTTTTATTTTGCAATAACGATCCTTCTGATGTCTAGTATGTGATTGTTCATCATTTTCAATGCCCATGACTTAGTGGTGTTGTAGTGTCGTAGCGATGAATACTTGATTACAGCTTGATAAAAAACCTAATTCATAGCTTTGATTGTCACGGTAAATTGACCTCAGCTCTTGGCAATGATGGGTACATTAGGGAGTTTTATTCCTGCATAAATTCCACTGAGAGTTCATTATCACTTGATAGCTAAATTACAAAAGATGTTGCATAGAACAGTGCTTAACTTCAATTTTCGCCTGTACGGCACTTGATAAAAAATAATACCTGGAAGCAGGGAGGTACGTAGCAAACAAAGAAGATAACTTTTAAATTGAGATCGAATCCACTCATCGCCACCCTCCCAACCAACGCCATCGAGGAAAACATCATGTTTCTCATCAGCAACATGTCGCACTAGATAGTCTGCAAATCTTAAATCTTCCGTTGAGAGGTGTAAGAGTCTCCATAAATCTGGATTTTTGGTTTCTATTTTAGCTTCATCCACCTTGGTAAAATAATAAAAAATCAGGAGTAAAAATTAAGAATACACCTAAAAACAGAATTTTCAACGTGCAAAATTCCACAGGAGTAGTGGAGATAGTAGAGTAGTGGTGGACTAGGATGACACTTTTTATTTAAAGAGGAAATGCAGTGGAAGCCTCCTCAAGCATCCTAGTGAGTTACAAAAAAAAAACCTTGAACGTTTCCTGATTTTTTCTGAGAAAGATACATGACATTATTTGAATGGGCCTGTTGTAAACTTTTGCCAGAGCAAAAATGAGAGTTGTTCCTCATGGAAAATGTCTCAAAAATCACGATGAACGCATCGGCAAAGTCTGAAATGCACCTCTAACTTCACAATCTGCTTAAGAAGTTTGCACTTTTTTGAGCTCGCTGCTTCAAAAACGATACCACAGCACAGGTGAACATTTTGTTAGAAGAGTCGTTCCATCCAACTCCTGCTCAATAGGACGCTACTCACTATTTATAACCACTAAGAGTTAGTGCAATCATGAAAGTGGCTTAAAGCCTCATTAAGGGGTAAAGGTAATCCCCTAAACCAGCTTTTTCACCAATTTTATGGTTCTATCTGACCTGAAAAAGCACTATCAACCCAAAAAAATTAAAAACTAGAAAAATGGAAAAAAGCGATTTTGCCATGACCCGGTTCGTTTAATCGGCTTTTTGCCTTTGAGGATTTTTTTTACGTAAGAATATTTGGTTGCCTCTCTTAAAAATTATAAGTACATTTTTTCTCCACTTTGAATTTTTGACAGAAGACAATGTACAATTGTACAACTGGTCAAATTCAAAACTACTCCAGACTCATTCATTTCCCAAAATTTGACTTTGTGCATTTCTGCTTAATTCTGTTCAATATTCATTCTCGTCTAGGTCATTAGAAGAATGGTAAAATTAGGTTTGATTGGCTAAAATAGAAATTAAGAGTCAGACTCAAGATTAGTTTTGTGTATGCTGGTTCAGACAACTTTTAAAATAAGATACGATAAAAACATGAGGGGAGAGAATGACACATTTCTTACCTCTACTAAAATCTCCGCAAGCTGTCTTTTCTGCTTGAAAAGAGTATTTGTTGCACCAATAATATAACCTCGTACATTATCATCTCCAAGCACATCCATGTACGGCAATGACAGGTAGGGTAAACACAGGCAGCCCTGAAAAAATTCTTGACTCTGTGAGAGATTGTATGCAAGTGAATTGGACATATTTCTACCAAACAGACCTATGTGGAGGTAAGAAATATGGGGTGTGCTCGTTAGCTCTCTTTGCGTAAGAGTGAATGAGAATAATAAAGCGCCGGTGACGTCAGCAGCAATGATCGAGTCGGGGCACGACAGGCATATCGTCGTCGGTTTGCTTTAACTCATGAGCCCTGTTCACAACGCTCTCGTCCCATGCCCGCGGCTCATGAATCCCGCATTCAGTTGGCACATAGGTCTGTTTGATAGAATGTAATATCCCGCTTTTCCAATTCTTCAAAAGGAATCACGCCCACTCTTACATTGTTTCTTATGCAGATTTCTAGAGCACACCCCATATTTCTCACCTGCACATAGTTCTGTTTGATAGAAATACGTCCAATTACCCATTAGGACCTTACAATTCTATTTCTTACAGGTATAACAAGGAGATTGGCATAGTACTTATGAGGCTATGGTTAGCTTAATGCCTGCTACGGTCTTTCTGTTACAGATTTCAATTACTATTTCAGATAGCAGGAATTTTATTGTGGTGCATTTCTGATTAAAGAAAAGCACTATAGCTTCCTTAAAAATGAAGCTTTTATCAAATTGCCCTGAACTAATGCACAGGGGACCTTTTTATAGGTATGATTGTGACAAAATCATGCCCCTGAATGTAAAAATGTGTACTATATGCAAGTAAGTAAAAGGGGAAGAGATTCATATTTACCTCAGTGAAAATTGACAGAGGAACTCCACATGAGTTATTATCAATTTGTGCTATGGTGGCAAGATTATCTTGAATAGCAGTTTCTCTCAGTACATCTATACTGAAATCCCTTGGCAGATTTCCCATGGATTCACTGGTGGTTGCCTGGTAAGTAGCATCAAATGCATCCATAGGATCGTCAGCGAGATCATTATCCAAGTCGTGATTCTTTACTTTGGCCGCTGCAGAATATGAATTGGAAACAACATCTGGGAGAACAGATGAACTAATTGCCAACTCATCTTCATAAATAATATTGTTTTCTACCAGGACATCGCCATCTTCATCTGCACTGATGACACTAGAGGAATGGTTATCTACACTTTCTACAATCGTTTGAGAACAATTTTCGACGATTTTACTGCTGACATACTCGAGGTCAGCTTCGGTCACTTTTTCAATTATGTTTTTCCCATTCCGTGTTGAAGATTCAACTATGCTAATTTTATCTGCTGACATTCTATTATTTCGAATCGTTTGATTGAATTTACTTTCAACTATTTTGGATAAGGGATCGTCGGCATTATCATCGTGCATTTCATTAATACTATCACAGCCAGTTGCAAATAATGCCGAGTTACTTTCATTTTCATTAGAATTCACAATTTTTTCCTGAGTATCTTTGTTTTCTTCTCCTTTAGAGTAGACTGGTAAAGGTGACATTGGACGTGACGGCCTGGAAATATAAAAAAAGACGCACATTAGAGGAAGAGTCACGAGGGATCAATCAGAAATAAGACAAGAGGGAAACAAGACATGCAGGTATCTGCTGCTTTTAACCTACTTAATGGAAATTTTGCACCATTCTCATGGATGCATCATTCCATTTTTTCAATGATGAATAAAAGTTGTGCAGGATTTTTTATTGCTATTCTAATCGCACTTTTTCTTGAGGTTTTTTCCCTCCAGTAAGTTAGGAATATATTTCAGCAGTTCCATCATATTGGACGTGATATAATAACAAATATGGTGGAAACAGACTTAGGGGTCAATTTAATTTGGATGTCACAAATTGCTGAGCCTATATTTTTTTAACTGTAATATGATCAAATTTTAAGCAGGTTTCTAAGTGCCTATCTCAGCTAAATTTCGATAAAGAAGAAAATAAAGAGATACATGCAGTCTTGCATGTTAAGTAATTTTAAAACTTAATGAATACAACAGCCCCATGATACATTTCCTCAACCATTTGTTTCATCAGAAGGACCCTTCACAAATTCTTTAAGTAAATTAAAAAGTGTTTGAACATTCAAAAATTGAATATAACCACTGCTCATGGAGTCATATTGTACCGATGAAGATGCAAAAAAAGCCTGATCTTGGGACACATAGATCGCCGAGATATATTTTGGCTGAAGAAGCAATTTTTGAAATTGATGGCCCTTTTTTCTCCTCCAAAAAAACAGGGCATACTGAACAATCCACCATGAGACAAATCATACATTTCTCCTGGATGCAAAAACATTGGATCAAGGGAAATGAACAGAATTTTGAAATTTTTTGCATTTCCACATATCAATTAGATATGACAGCTGTATTTATTCCTGGATCAAACAAGATTGATAATAAGAATAATTTTACTTTTTGTGAGAATAAATTATCAAGAATTTCTAGAAATGGTAGAAATAAATAAACTAGATGGTACTTTACTGCCCAAATAAATTCATTATATTATTTCCTGGATAATGGTACCATTCATTCAGGTTTGTGCATGTCATACTACATGTAAGACTTGCCTCATAAACAACAACTTTGTTATTGCTGGAACACAATTTTTCAACAACATCAAGTAACTTAAAAGATATGTTTAAATCAGGAAACATTGCTGGGTTCCTGAAGTCACTCGAGAACCTTTTAGCTACATATGCCCCGTACTAGGAGGAGGAATTCATCAACCCCTGGACCCTGTTTCGGATTACTTTTTTACTTTTATTGTATCTTGTATCTGTGTATTGTATCAGGTATCTACCATTATCTTGCATCTATCTAACATGTATTGCCTGACCTGTATGATAGCCATGTACATGACTCAGGTACCAATTTTAAAAATTAAAATAAAAATAAAATAAAATAAAAACAACAATCTGATTTGAGAATATTTACCTGATGCATGCTGACTGGGCAAGACCCCTTTCAATCATGCCCGGATGAAGGGACAGTAGAGATAAAATAGTGGAACAAAGAGGCTGGACAGGAGAGCAAAACATCACAATTCGCCTTTCAAGCAAAAGAAGTTTGAACAACAGGAGTGCTTTGTGCCGAAATCGAAGAATGAAGTCTCGAACTGACAGACCTATATTTTTAGACGGATTGAAAATTAAACAAAAACATTAGATTAGAAATTCAAGCATGATATCACAGCAATAGAAGGAAAGAGTGTTATTTAAATAGATAACTGATGGCAAGTATCTTTTTAATTTTTATCAGTGCCCAGATGGATTTCACTCAAAATTATTTGGCTAGCTCTTGGAATGTGACAAAAGAGCTGCTTTCCTCTGCATCAATTCGACATGTAAACTAAAAACAAGAATCCAGATTTCGGATCTTCTGATGCACTCTAAAAGTCAGCCAACTAATATCACATGAGCTACAGTGTATAGCGTGAGATATTTGATGAGTTATGACAAATAATTCGTTCATAGAAGACCGATATCAGTTCATTATCAGTTGATGGAGGTTTTGTCATATAAGTTGACATTGGTTTACTTTCGGTTTGCAGGCATTCTTGCGTTGATCACTACTATCCACATGAGAACATCCGACTCTCACAGAAGCAAGGTATCAAACTAATATAAGCTTGGATAGGTTTTTTAATACTTTCAAACCTTGTAACACTTTAATTTTTAGCCACACAGAAATCACAACCACATAAAGGTCACGGATCATAAGACTGATAAGGTCACTGATAAGTAGTTTATTTAAAAAACGATCATGAGACCGATGTTTTCAAGGTAGATAACTAATGACACTATATGCAGAGGCATAAATTCATCGTCTGTACCTGTGAATCAAAAGTAAACGAATGTCAACTTACATTATGACACATTTAACAATGTCTAATGTTAGTTTGCCAGTATAATATATACAATAAAAGAACAACACTCTTTTCTTTGAAACTTTTCTTGCTGCACTGCGAAGATGAAATTCTTCAGATAAATCAAGTAACTTACTAGAGTGTACAAGTCTAACTTACCCACGTACAACTGAGGAGATTCGTAAAGATTTTCAACTTGAAGAAGGCAAGAATTTAGATGGTGGTAAGTATCCTGCAGGAGCGAGACCTTTGTGAAATCCCCTTCTTCGAAATAGGCGTGGGTGATCAAAGACATTTTTACTTGAATGTGCCCATAAAGAGGCAGGAGACTCAGGACACACACGGATTTTTGCACAGTGCCTCGAGTTAAGTCTGAGGTCCGATTTTTCAGTTTCTGAAAGACGCAAACAAGCGAGGAAATTGTAGGCGGCAAGTCCAAGATGGAAGAGAATGAAACTGAATAGCGTAATCATGAAATCCATGAAAATAGAATAAACTGTGTTCAGGAAAAGGTAGGGGTGCAGAATCTTTCAAGCTTCCACCTCCTTAATGAATTATTTCAACTCAATTATGTAACAGTCTCCCTGCCGCAGTCTTTATGTGTTGGCAGGCGATAACAGATACATTTAGCGATCACACCTGTCTACTATGAAATTTATCCTTTCAGGTAATTTACAAAAAATCAAAGTGAAAACGAGGCAAAGCATGAAAAGAGCCACTTCAAATCAAATTTCTGTTTGATACACATGGATTTCTGCCCTAATTTTCTTCCGCATTCACAATAGTGCACAATGCCAGAGAGGCTTCACTTCTTTCCTGTGCTTTTAGATATGAGTGCTCCGCCTTTATGTTTTTGGTTTTAGTTGAAGGTATTTTTGAGGAGCTTAGAGGATAAGGGGCGTACTTGAGTACAGTTTACGCTATTCCGAGAAATACGAGTTTAAAGTTTCGAAATCACAGGGATCCTTAAAGCAGGAAGAAAGTACAAACTGACTTTTTGATGCTTAAAAATTTGAATTTGGGAGCGAATTTTTCGCAGATTATGCATTAGGACTGCTTGAACTTACTTGAAATTATTAATATCATAATTTGATTCAAAAACTGCACTTGTGTGCCTTGTCCTCCAAGCCCCTTCGTTGGTAAAATAATAAAATTATCTACAAAAGACAGGTACTTACCTCAACAGGTATTTGTCGAAAACACGATATTCCAAACACTGTCTGATTCGGATTATGGAGACTTGGGATGTGGAAAAATGCTGTGTCTTCATCAAAATTATGTGATCCATCAGGCAAGGCTAGAGTAGGTAGGTATTTCCAACCCGCAGGACATTCATTTGACTCTGATGAGCCTCCTGGAATTAGCGGAGGAAAGGCATACTCAACCTGCCACATAAGAGAATCATGCAAAAATTAGAGTCAGAGAACACAATGTCTTTTCTTTACACACTACCATTATTCCTGGTAAAATTCGCCAAATGGGAGCTTATCATATTCCATTTGATCGGAGTCAACTGTGCATGTTGATACCAAGGGTGCAGAATATGCAGATCACGTGCCCACCCGAATGCGTGAAAAAGCCCCCAAAAATGTAAAAGAGGGGAAAATTTTGAAGGGTTTAGTCCAAAGTCAACGTTAAACAAAAAAAAGTCTTCTGTTTTTAATTTAGTAGGAAATTTTGTGGGAAAGCGGTGAGAAAAATGTGGAAAGCTGACGAGGGGGGGTTTGAAAAGTACCCCGTTGGAAGATTCTGCACCCCTGGTTGATACCTTATTTAAGTGTTTCCAAACTTTCTGTCTCATCAATCGCTTCCAACGTAAAATTTTAGAGATGAAAAATATAATACAATGCTTTGTACTTTATCTAACTATCTATCTATGAATCTTAACAAATTTGATGTCATTCTACTCGGTAGTAATGCTGCTACATGTTAGAGATCAGTTTCTTGCATTGACTTGTGCACAACAATAATTATTACTTCTCAAAAACGTAAACCGTCAGGCAGCGCAGCGTGGTGGCGAATCTCGACCCTAGATCACATAGAATCACCTTAAATTCTCCTTCTTGATTATACTTTGTTGTCAACTTAGGAATGACTTAGCTTACACACATTGGTCACTAATAAAGACAGCTCAGGCCAAAATCTTCAGAGTGACCAAAGACGGACGGAAATCAAGAATTGAAAAAGACGCAATATGTGCTTGACATAATGAGAGGCACTATTGTATATCTCTATCAAGTTTAAGCTTTTCTTACGATGTAAGATGAGTGTGCATGCATTCAATAACCTATTCTCGTTTCTTGATTACTTAAGCACTTTTTGGACATGACATTCAGTATTCTAAGCATAAAAAGAAAATCATTGAAAAGTATCGTGCATTTTTAGTGGAAATTGATTTGCTAACGCTGTAAGAGATGATGCTACAAAAATATGTTGCAAACCTCTGTAAGGATTTTATGATGCGCGACATTATGAGGCATCAACCTGTGCTCTTCAGGCGCTCAAGCACGTTGACATAGAAAACTCAACTTACCATAATACTGAGTTAAAATAATGGGTTCTATCTAACTTACTTGACATCCCTTTTTGTGGTGGAATCCGACTACAATGATATGAAGAACAGGATTTTGATCAGTAGAATCCATGATTTCATTGAGTATTGATTAAGCTTTGAGAGCGTGAGATACGAGTACAATAAACACTACTCTTCACTTAATTGAGTATTTCTTACAAATTCGAATAAAAAACAAACGTAACTGGGAATATAGCAATCCATAATGGGATGGGTACATGAAAAGATAACTACAAGAAATCACGACGAGGCGAAACTTACGATAACGAGAACGACAAGACAACAACAAACTCTCGTAATAAAGATTGTTGACATCATAGACATAACTCCCAACAAGTGAACAAGAACCAAAGGGTAGGCAATTTGCTTGACCTAGTAGTAAAAACGCTCTCGAGTCTCGTGCTTAAACGGACACGGCCTTCTCGGCTCTCTTTGAATTTTACTTCGAAATTTGAAGTGAGTACCTAGTGATCAGGGCCGGATTTCGGGGGTGGCCAAATGGGCCGCGGTCCATGGCGGCAAATTTAGGGAGCGGCAAATTTTGTAATTCTTTTAAATGTAACCATAAAGAAAAATCGGATTCAGAAAAAAAAAAAAAAAAAAAATACTAACGAGAAAAGATGACAAAATCTCTCATTTCCCGAGAGTACGTTGTCTTTCTGTGATACAATAGACAGCACTTTTTTTTGTCGAGTTAAGACTAAGAGAGAAACCGAACACGGAATTTGGCCTGGCACGGCGCAGATACATGCCGATGATGAGATCTTGAGATGAAAAGGAGAAACCCCCGGTGCGGCGGTCGGCATGTAACACATAATAGCGCCTTCAAGACTGCATGAATACTTCACACATTGCGTCAAAGACAGTGCGGTCGCTGCGGTCAGCAGCGGGCGCCGTGAAACGCATAGCGCCTACAAGACTGCATGAATACTTCACCCATTGCGTCAAAGACAGTGCGGTCGCTGCGGTCAGCAGCGGGCGCCGTGAAACGCATAGCGTCTACAAGACTGCATGAATACTTCACGCTTTGCGTCAAACACAGTGCGTGCAGCAGCGGTCGGCTTGAAACGCATACCGCAATACCGCATTACCGCATACAATACAGAAGGGATACTTCACGCATTTGCGCCAAAGACAACACGGTCAGCGCGGCGCGGCGGCGGAAGTTAAACTCATTACTTAAACCACATTTATGTTTGCTCTTTCATAATTTTTTCGTTCATTTCAAATAAATGGAAGGCCTTGTCCACACAAAGATAGGTTTACGGAACTTAACTTTCGCGCCGAGTTCCGTGAACTTTTGACAGTAGCGTATTGACAGGACTTTCGCAAAAAAATGTGTCCCACACGAGTAAACGCGTCTTATGCAACCCCCCCCCCTCCGGCACGTTCACTTGATGGTTTTTATTGATGTTTCAAAACGAGTGTGAAGGGGGTGGCAAAATACAGGCGGCCCATGGGCGGCAAGTAGGTATAAGTAAATCCGCCCCTGCTAGTGATTTCAACATTATCGTTAAAACTAATAAAGATTAAGTTGTAGAGATTTGGAGAATGGAGAGGGAAGAAGGTATTGAATCGAAGGAAGGGAGCGTTCATAAATTGTGGCGCGTGGCGTAGTTTTGGATTCGAAAAATAGTGTGAAACTGTTGAATATATGGCTGGATAAAATTTGAAGAACCTATTTTTAATAATGGTGTGACAAATAACGCCGAGGAAAGGAGGATGACACATTTTGGATTTGGTGGTATTTACCACTTTACCAATAAAAAGGGGTAGATACGTAACGCTGGCACTATGGCGCCTCTTTTCCTACTTGCCGCCCATGGGCCGCCTGTATTTTGCCGCCCTCTTCTCATTCATTTTGAAACATCAATAAAAACCATCAAGTGAACGTGCCGGAGGGAGGAGGGTGCATAAGACGCGTTCACTCGTGTTGGACACATTTTTTGCGTAAGCCTTGTTAACACTACTAGCAAAAGTTCACGGAACTTCGAGCGAAAGTTCAGTTCCGTAAACCTATCTCTGTGGGGGCAAGGCATTCCATTTTGTAAGAAATGAACTAAAAAATTAAGAAAGAACAAACATAAATGTGGTTTAATAATTTTAACTTCCGCCGCCGTGCCGCGCTGACCACACTGTGTTTGGCGCAATGCGTGAAGTATTCATGAAGTCTTGTAGGCACTGTGCGTTTAACGCCGCGCCGACCGCTGTTGACCGTACTGTGTTTGACGCAATGCGTGAAGTATTCAAACAGTCTCGTAGGCGCTAATATGTGTTACATGCCGACCGCCGCGTCGAGGGCTTCTCCTTTTCATCTCAAGTCCTCGTCATCATTTCTCTTTGTGCCGCACCGCTTCGGGCCAAATTACGTGTTTGGTTTCTCTCTTAACTCAACTAATTAAAGGTGCGCAGTCTTTTGTAACACCGAAATACGACAAAATTAAAATAAATGAACTCTCAGGAAATGAGAGATTTTGTCACCTTTTCTTGTGTGTAATTTTTTTCTGAATCCGATTTTTTTGTACCTGCATTTAGAAAAATTGCAAAATTTGCCGCCCCCTAATTTTGCCGCCATGGGCCGCGGCCCATGTGGCCACCCCCTTAATCCAGCCCTCAGCATGTGGGAGAGTTGCAGTTTTTCATGAAAAATAATATCTTAGAACATGCGGATATTTCATGAAATTCCAGAACTTTAGGAAAGCTGATGAAAAATACATTGTGAATATTAATGTTGAAGAAAGATCAAAATGCAGTTACGTACAAGATCATTAGTTACAAAAATCGTTCTTTTTTGCATTAGCTGTATTTGTAAGTGTGGGTTGTAAATTATAGCCTCTGCGAAATATGAAATAGGTATACCTAGGTACATGTATACACAGGCTCATGAAATTTCAGGAAATATTTCACTGAAATATCAAATCCCTCATATTTTTCATTTTTATTGTGCAAACACAAGATGCAGGGGATGCATCAAATACTTTTTGGTGGGACAGATAATATTTTTTCTTTTCTTTTTTTAGGGGGATTTAAATTAATGGGTAAATTCTTAATGGTGAAACAAAAGAAAAAGTATATTTGATTGCAGGGTTCCATAATATATGTACACCCTTCTTCTGAGTATTTTGTAATATTCAATGGGGAATAAACGGGCAGCGTTGACCAGAATCCGCAGTACCTACTGCATTTGGAATGAATTTTGAAATTGCATGGGAACTACAATTTCTGACCCATCCATGAATCCTCAAGGTCAAACGTTGTCTCTAAACTGAGCCAGTAAAAGTTGTAGCTCCGAATTGCAAAACATAAGTAGTCCATTTTGTATTATGCATCATGTGACAGACAGAAAGACATGAAGTTGATATGTGCCGCAATTTTCTTGAATGAGCTGCATAACATGAAACATAATAATTACCACATCCTCTCCTCTTCCTAAAAATATTACATTGTATTACCTATATAAAAAAATTCAAGAGGAGAATTGAAATTGATACTCCCAGGTTTCACTGAGTGAGTGGTCATGGAATCATCTTACATAATGGGCATTGAATATTTTGGAGATTGATGCATGCTATTTTAATGGGCCACGAGGTGAGGCCTGAACTAGAAATAGTCGTCACTTTCCATCCCTTCAAACTGTTATGAGGAAAACGATTCACACAATGGGAAGTTCGGGCATCAACTTCTGAATGAGATATTAACAAGTGTCTTTAACATAGATCTAATGGAAGTTAGATAATACAAATGACGTCATTTGTATTTTTGCTGTTTAACCAATGTTAATTTTAAAATTTTACATCTTGTTTAGGGGTGGATTTCCAGACTTGCCATTGTGTGATTCGCTTTTATGGTGAAATTTTGAAGGGAAAACAAGTTGCGTAAAGCTATGATGTACCTATGCCTTGTTCAGAGACTCATGGAAAACAAGGGATCTTAGGTACCTTCAAAAATAAATACTTAGTGACTGGGTCTGGGCAGGCTGTGCATATGATGCACGCATGCCAATAAATCAATTATTATGATTATTTTTCTTGTGTTATAGACACATGCATACAAAACCACTTCATTTTTTAAACAAAGTTTATTGGTAAAATTTACAGATCAAAGACAAAAATATTTCATATCTAAGGGCCTACTTGTCTTAGGTAAATACTCATTCGATGCAAGTAAAAGATTTCATTGCTGAGGCCACTGTCCTTTGAATTTTTTACCTTTCTCCCCTTCTAATTCAGCATGTAAGACTTCATACAACAACATATTCCGCCGATGAGAATCTTTCAGGTGAAATGCACTGTGTTTCTTTCTAATTTCGCATTCTGCTTCCTCGATGGTTGATTTTTTCAATTTTCGAGGTGGGATCCAAGTTTTCAAAGACTTCTCCCATGAACCATGATGTAAAGTATCCGCAATGATGTTCACACACTTCAAAAAGAAAATTGATAGATAAAATTAGCTTCGGCTGAATAAGTGTTACTTCGAACAGCATTTAAATCAGTCTTTGGCTATCCCTAGATTCTGTTTTGATGAGCCTTTCCACACTACATATCAATTTACATGTAGCAGCATCTTCATTTGGATCAACTCAATTTCAAAATACACCTAACTTCACTGTTACTCAAAACCTCTCTCTTATCAAGAGTGTAACCAAAAATCATAAAAAGTTACACTTCGGAAATTCACCCCCTCTCTATCTGAAGGGCTGAAAAAAAGAGCATTTTTCCGTACCTTAACCTACCTTTGAATTTCTTTACAAAATCAATCTATCTGAGGCCAACTATCAAAAATAGGACCACAAAAAAGAAAGAAGAATGACATTTTACAAAACTGAAATGTTCAAAACTTGCTTTAAATCAAGCTATATGGAAATGAAAAAAAAGAAAAAAAAAATTGCTTCCAGTATTTTCAACGCTGAGCATGGATGGAGCAAGGAAATTTTTGGTGGAGGGGAGCACGGGCAGACATCTCATCGAGAAATTCTGGGGACACTTCCCTAGCCCTGAGGGAGGTTCTCTTAGGATATTTCTTCTTCAAAACTGAGACATCTCGGAAGTAATTTTAAGTTTTTTCTAAAGAAATTTGGTGAAATTTATTTCAAAAATGACGAACGAGCTACCCCGACTTTCACCAAAAGCCTACCTTGCTGAGTAATCGAAATCCTATGTGAAGAGGTCCATGTAATTATTAAAGTAAGACTTTTTATTGAATTTTTGTAAATAGGTGTTTTCAGACTTGCTTCATGACTTTGCTGAAGTAAAAGTCTACAAGACATGCAATTTGCAGGTAGAGGTGTAGTGGTTGTAGTGCTGACTCTGCGAACAGGAGGTCCCAGGTTCAATTCCTGGCCAGGCAACCTGAGTTTGAAAGTCTCAGACACCAGTTGCCTGGGGCTGGTTGTTGATTTGGGACTGAGGGGGAATTGGATATTACCAGTGAGTCCGAAACCACCCCCTTGGAGCTACTTGAAAAAAAAAAGTTGGCATAAAAGGTATCCTGATACTCTCCTGCATGACCATGGATCACACCACTATGACTAAGAGGTGAATAGAGGTATTTGCCTGTGTTTTGCAGTGTTATAAGGTGGGAGGGAAGGTAAGTGAAGCAATGGGTAACAATCTTAAAAGATTTTATATACATGTTTCAGTATTTTTCGACTGTCATCTCCAGAGATTTTAAGGAATTAATGTTGTAAAGAAAGAGATCATAGGGGCAAAAGGACCAAAATTTATGTCCTTAAAAATGCGAAGATTCTGTCACTTCTGGCAATGAAGAAACGCAAACAGAATTCGATTTTGGTGCATACGATGCAGTCAGAATCACCAGGCTTCACTGATAGCATCAGTATTGAGTGGAAGGGGGGGGGGCTGGGACAGCATTACACAGTTATTACAGGTTGATTGGCATGGCACGGCCCTCAGGAACATTGAGGTGGAGAAGAGGGGTTACCGAAAATTCAGCACTGACCTCTGGTGCCTGTTCCTTTCCTAGAGAGAGACTTCAGAAATGTTAGATATCCCAAAAAGGAGCATTCAGTGTCAACGTTGTTAAGTTTTGAGTTTCTTTTTTTGAGGTGAAATAGTTTAAAAATTGTTTCCTTAAAAAACTGAGACACAAGATGAATTCAATGATCAGAAATAATTAGTTGATAAATGAACGAACCTGATCGACTGTCAGTGATTTTCCTCCAGTCCCCCAATCCACGAAATCATCTAAGGGTAATTTTGCATATCGTACTCCACTCCTACGTGCCTTGGTTAATGAAAGTGGTTCCGAGACACCCCTATCAACCATTGCACCTGAAAACATCAGAGTCGGCTAATAACAAAAAAAGTGCATTTACAGAGAGAAAGAAATAGGAATTCGGAAATGACAGCTAAGCAGTTCAGCAAGTATTTCAATTTGTTGCTTTTGGAACTAAGAACTCCTGAAAATTAGTTGATCATTATACTATCATAAATAATTAATCGATCATGAAGTGGATGTAAAGATGCATAATGGTCCGATGATTTTCTGCCCTGAACATGAAAGATTGAAATTTTGAATACTTTAGGCTTGAAACTTACAGGATATTACACATTTTTAACTGTGGTGCATCCACTTTTGTTCGAAATTATTCGTGTTATGCGTATCAAAATGTTCATGAAAATATCTTTTGAGTATAAATACCAGAACCCAATTCTAAGTTTTTTTCCCCCTAAAGTGTCTTAACATATGGACGGACCTATTATAGGATCCATCCAGAATCAGCCTGACTGCATTTTACCTACATGGCGAAGCCCTTCCTCTCTTTTTTTCTGTTTATAGGCAGAGAACTAAATTACATAATGCTTTCAAACTTAGTGTGAATTTTCCTTATATTATGAAGAATAAAAACAATTTCAGGAGATATTGTTGCTTGGTTTTCTATGAAAAAATTAAAACATCAGGGAAAATCAGGCAATGTCTGGTGTAGTTCGGCTTATTTTGGTTGAATTCACTCATATATTTGGCTTGTACATGGTACTATTGATTTTAGTATAGGCAGCAGCTATGGCAGAAACTTCCATATTTCAATCGAAATTGACTCACCAATAATGTAAATATCATCATGACTGATAGTCTCCAACGTCTCTTCACAATGAGGCGTTAAATAGACCAGTTTCTCTTTTGGAAAGAGATCATCATAGCTTTCGGAGGACCAGTTAAATGGAAAATGAGGCTCGTACAGAGTTGGCATAAGATTTCGTAAGCCCTTTGCAAGATCTGACTCAGGATTAAAGTTTACAAAATGAATATCAACAGGATTTGGCTTGGTCCGATTTTTACTGAACAGATATACTAATTGTTTTAAGCAGCTTCTTTTTTCATGCTGAACCATGTATTGATCATATGAACAGTCTATTATGATCTTAGGTTCAAACATCATAGCCTGTAATACAGCCCAATTTGCCACTTTATCAATGGTAGTGTCATAGATTCTGAGAAACAATGAGTTATGTGATAGTCCATAACTCAAAACACCAGTCTCGTCATTTGATACATTTATGTTAGCCGCTCTTTCCTCAAGCAGTTTTCGGCGTTTTTCTTTTCTAATCCGCTTATTTAGTCTTTTCATTTCATTAATGAAAAAAAATCTTACAAGTTTTGATCTACTTGAGAAAGATCTGAGTTTTACTAATTCAAGCCATTGTTGACGTTTCAGCTGAGTGGGTAAGAGTTGATTTTGACTAGCCATGGAACGCATCTGAGCTACTACATCATTCAGTCTGTCTAACAAATCTTCATCATTTCCTGCTATTTCTTCATAGTTGATATTGTTGAAAATTGGATACTGCTGGTCTTGGAGTGCCTCCTCATTAAGGTTCTCCTTTGACGTTTGCTCAGTAGGGTCCTCAGCACTGTGCAGGGAACAGTATGTCATCCTATTTGAGACGGCATCACCCAATGCAAGGATATGACTGTGAGAACTTTGAGAGATTACCAGAGATTGAAATGATCTACGAGTAACAATACGTTTTGACAGATGATTAACAGCAGTTCGAGAAACAGGGTTTAGAACAACAAACACTGAGCGAAACATCATGGTTATAACTATTGAAATATATGGTATTGCACACGAACGTAGAGTTTTTCCAGGGATATATAATAGGAATCACTAAGAACATCCAATTAGAGTATTCGACAAGCTCACATCATCTAAGTCATCAACTTGGAATGAATTGCTTGGGTTTCCAGAGAAAAAAACACTGAGCTTTGCACAAGGGAAAAGATATGATCATACAACACGATATCAAAAGGATTGAAAATCTTACAAAATTTTCATGGATTGTTCGAAAGCAGCTGAATATCTGAGAGGCGAGAGAGTGAAAGAGTGAACTAGAGACTTTTAGTGAAGCATGTTTTCAGGTTAGGTTAGGTTGTTGTTTTGGTTCATGACGCAGACGCGACAACTGCAAATTCTTGATGAATTTGACAACATCTAAAAAATCAGTCTGGAGTTTTTTGTGTTTTGGCTTTTGGCGCTAAAATGCGATGGTTTGAGGTTATAATTGGAATATCATCATGTCGAGCAAATATCATTGTACGAGTATTTTGTGCAAGTATTTATTCATTGTGCCTTGCATTTAGTACCAGTTTTGTTCAAGTACTCATTCATTGTGCCTTGAAACGATCGATTCGGTTACTTATTTACTTAACTCTAATCATTTCGACACTTCGTACTGTAGTGCTGATTTAATTTTATGACAGTAGTTACGTTTCGCAGCTTAGATGCAGCTTAGTTAACATCACTTACCTATGGCGTTGATTCTGTGATTAATATCGTAATTACAATTAAAGTGAATGGCTCGTATCGGAATCATTTTTGTTTCCTCCCTTCGCCCAAAGTCTACCATCGTATTTCGATAGATTTAGTTGTATTGAAGGTTTAACGCACTCAGAGGCATGGTAAGCCACCACCTTATCTTTAAGATTTTGCAATTTCCCTCATCATTTCATCCAAAAGCACAGCTGCAACTGAGGCTTTGTCTCTGAGGGATGGTTTTTCTGGTTTTTCGGGCGATGTGTGCTGGCAGGGAGTTGCATAAAAGCTGACGAATTGCACTGACTTCTTTGTAATAAACGACTATTGCTAGTAGTGGCTGCAAGGCGGTGGCTGCCCTCTTACCCCCTTAAATTCTGAGAGTTTTTTGTCTTAAGGAAAGGTAATATTTTACGGTGAAAAGAACTCAAAATTTTGTGATAGGAGCACTCTATTTTTAACATTTTTGCCCGCGGAGAATTCTCAGCTTAAGAGAAACTTTCCATACCTCCCTTTTATTGTTCTAACTTGTATCTCCCCGAAGTTTCAGCCCATGCACTGCCACTGGTTATAAAAGCATGTGAGAAAAAGAGAAGCGAAAGCAAAGTATGTTTTAGAATTTTTTTGTTTACTTATGTAGATTCCTTGTTCATGATGTGATTCTTAAGAAGAAAGATGAAGTATCATTACACATGTAGAACTTGTATTAGATAAGTTGATACGTGCTTATCTTTCCTTTAATTGCAACTGCTCCGCTGTAATCCAGTGGCGACTGAGGATCAACGGTGGGAAATCACTGCGCAAGGCGTGGACGACAATACGATCAGGGTCTGCTGCGGGAAACACTCTGCTAACTTATCTGTTGCAAGTTTTAAGAAACGTAGCTTTGTTGTGCCTCCAGATTTTTACCCGCTGTAATTTTCAGAATTTATAAGCCATTTTTATTCAGAAAGACTTAAAAAAGTCACTTGCCATTTTTATTCTTTATCCTTATTTTGGCTGCAACTCAAATGAGAAAATGAGGTAAATGTGAATCTCCTGTTGCAGGAAGAAATTTATAGTGAGGGTCAGCGCAGAGTACGCGAAAAACATATAAGTTTACCATATCATCGTCCAAAACAGCGATCTCTAGATGACTTTCTACAGAGGCGGGGCTCGATGAAAGCTATCCCTCTCCGGACATCTGAAGATGAAATGAAAGAAGTTTGGTAAGCTTTTCTTCTCTTGTTGTTTGTTCTAGATGCTTTTTATCACAAATCTCAGTTTAACCTGAGAAAAGTTTTGACTAAACTAGGTCATACAGTTGGAAATAATCTTGGTTTTTAAGACTGATGACAAATGGTCAAGGGAGCTCTGAGGATCAGTTTCAAAGTTTGTTTTCATAGTGCATTGCAATGTAAAGTCCACACCAAATATGTTTCTGCACTTTTAGACTGAGTCTAAACGTCCGCCATCTTGATTCTTGCATTAACTTTCCATGCTAAACTGACGTCAGATGATCTTTTGTTGCTGTCTAAAAGTGCGTAAACTTATTTGGTGTGACCTCTACTTATGAAAGAGCTAGCAATCTTTAAATAAGTTCTTAATTATGACCTTGGTCGGTTTTAAGTCAGTAATGCGGCTCCTTATATCTCTCTTTGGGAAAATTTTATGGACAGAAAATATAGAAAACCTTGTCTCTTGTTTCATTTCCAAACTTTTACTCCTCCATTTTTTTCAAGGGAAATACGGCAAGACTCTTTCTTGTCAACTTAAAACATATAATCAGGAAGGACCATTCTATGGATTTTCAAACTATGAACATTTAATTAAATGTTTCATTTCATTCAAAGCAGTTGTGACTACAAGTTTGCAATTTTTGCTAATTAGATGTATAACTCTCTCAACCTAACTCTCAATATGCATAATCAGGTTTTTCCTCTCTACCTAAAATACTCCTTTCAACCTAGGATACATTAACAGCCATACTAACAGTCCGCACTAGAACATAAACAATTATGAGAGTTTTGTTTGTTTTTATTATCAGGAAGCAGTTAGAAGAAAAGGAAAAAGAAGCAGAAGTATTTTATAAATCTGAGGATGAATCAGAAGACGATACAAGTGATGAGGACTATTGTCCTGAAAAAGACAAAAATGCAACAGAAGAAACCAAAGAAACATCAGAGGCTGGATGCACTAAATTTTCTGACGAAAATGACAAAAATCAATGTAACGCATCAAGTGAAGGAGAGCAATCAACAATAATTTCAGACTCTGCTGTAAGTGATGAGCCTTGCACTGAAAAAAGTAGTCCTCTCGAATCTAATGTAGACGAAAGCACTAAACAGTGTGATGTTGTGCAAAATACTGTTGAGTTTTCTTCTGAGACAGCTGAAAAGCTCTCTGATGACAGTAGTAAAAAATGCTCTCAACAGGAGGATTCAACCAATTTTTCTCTCCACTTACCTGAGTCCTCTGTCACCAGCTGCGCTGACTCCAAGATATTGCCAAATACCAACAATGCAGGCACAGATTGTGCAGATTCAATCTCTTGTAACTTGACAGTGAAATCCGTCAGTAATGAGGAAAGAGAAATTACTGAAGGAGGAAAAGATGCAATCATGTCAGGAGATGTAGGGATGAATCGTCCTTTACCACAAAATCAGGATGAGGCATCTCTAAAAGAATCTGCGTTTGTTGAAGTCAAAAGAGATGAGCCACTCAGTAATCAGCAGGAAGTCCCACCCACTGGTTATAGTGAGCAGGTTCAAGACAAATCCAAAAGTGATCGCAAAGACAATGATGTGTTACTCGACTCTGATCCTGTGTTCAGTTTGCATCTTGAAGACTCTCAAGATTGTCCTAAAATCACAGCTGAAGACATTCCCAAGTCTGAAGTCGATGGTAGCACCAAGAAGGAGGAAGAAAACAAGGGTGTCGATGAACGCTCAGAAAAAGTTGTAGAAGATGCCTCCAAGAAAATAAACTGGGCTAACTTTAAAGTGCTCTTAGATGATGAAATGGATGAACCAATTCCGATGATCACTCTCAAGCCTAACCCAGAGGGTGTAATTGTTTTGGATGTGCCAACCCCCCGTAAAAATCCAGGAATTGAAGAATTGATGCAAAAATATCTCAAACACTCCTCCTTCAAAACTTGCATGAAACCAAAGCAGCCTGTTCGTTTAAATGTGGTTACCACCTCAAAAAACCAAGACAATAAAATCAATGGAGTTTACTCTGAGACTTTGACTATCTCAGCTGAGGATGAATCACCTGTAGATTCTCAAAATGAGAAACCAGGTGCAAAATATACTAGACTTCGATTACAGTTAAACGAATTGATGAAGAAACGAAGACAAGAGGAATGGCAGAAACGGCTCAAAACACATCAAGTGGATGAAGAAGAGATCGAAGATGGCGAGAAATCGGAATGTGAAGCATTGCTTGACGATGATCATGATTACGATGATTTTAACCATCGTGTGACGGAGAGTGAAGACTCGGATCTAGAGGAGAATGATATTGATTTGTCCGAGAAGAAGAAGAAGAAGAAGAAAAGTGCTTTTGTTGATGATGAAGCTGAGGAAGATTCAGATGAGGATGAAGATGATAAAGATGAAGGTGATGAAGAAGATGATGAAATCAAAGAAAATGATGAAAAAGAAGAAGATGAGGATAGCAGTAAAATTAAAGATAAAAAGGCAAGTAAAATACGGAAACAAAAAGTCTTCATAGAGGAGGAAGAGTATGAGGGGGATGATGATGATGGAGACGATGATGAAAAGGAAACCGATGTTAATGAAGATGATAACTGGATGCTTGGTCAAACCAAATTTCGATCACAGATTACTCAGCAGGTTCTGACGGCTACACACACCCCTGGAGTAGCTGAAGCTAGATTAAACGATTCAAAGTTTGACATGTCATTTGAGACAAGCAAATTTGGATGCCTTGATGAGACTGAGTTGAACAGAAATTCAAATCATGAAATCTCTGGCATTGAAGATTTGATCAATGTAAAGCACTCGGAACTTGTCACTGAAAGCCAGGTCCTCGGTCTTTGCTCAGGTGCTTTTCAGACGCAACCACCACAGCCATCAACAATTGATAATGAGGAGGAAGATCTTAATTTTGTCATGTCTCCAACTCCAGCAAGCACTCAAACCCAAGATTCTCAGGTGAGTATTTCCAACATTTACTTTGCACCTCAACAGATATTACAGTAGTATCACATTCTTTCTGTAATCGCACTTGAAAATCCTAAAGTCAAGCGACTTTACAGCTCCTCACACGTAAATTTGCTTAATTTCTTTTAGTACCCAAGCATTAAAACGTCACAAACTTATAGTTTTTCGAAGTTTGTTTGTATGTAATACTAGAAATGAAACTGCTGCAATAACTTTCTTTGCTTGCTAAGAAAAAAAATTCCCTCTCAGTAATTTCTTTCTAACATGGTTTAGGTAAACCCTTTTACAACAAAAAATTCACCATCCTGGAGAACAAAGTTCAAACATCTGCATTCTATGAAAGCAAAAGATTATTTTTCCAGGAATGGGATGCCTGACAAAGGAGTGGCACTGCGTGCTTTAAATCTCTGTTTCTGAATCTCCTTTACTCGGTTCTTTTTCTGCACCTTAATAGTTACTCAATACATATTCACCTTGAAAATTGTATTTCAAGCAATGAAAGCATGATGTAAACGATCCCTCAGAAAAGGCTTGTATAGGGTCTGTGCATTGTTTGGTAAAACTCTAATGGTATGTGTGTGCATTTTGCAAACTGCACCTATTCCAAATGGATGGTGCCCAAATTTCTATTTTACTTTTCAAAAAAAATTTGCACCATGGATGTGAATGTTAAATTATTTCTCATATTTTCAGAATCTTGGGATAAAAAAAATCTCCCCACTTCTTTCAAGTGATGACGAAGAAGAACCAGGCTTGACTGTGAAAAAGAAGAAGAATACCCTAAAATTTTCAGATGATGAAGATGATACATTGGACACAAAAGAAGAAGAAGCTGAAGAAATTTTGAATGAAGAAAGCGACAAAGAAGACCCAGACTCCATCTCTGTGTTAGATGAGGAAGATGATAACCGAAGCGTCATGTATGATTCTGAAGAAAACGAGATCAAAGTATCCAAAAAAGATGTTGGGCAGTTTTTCGATAAAGAGGCTGAACTTTCAGAATCAGAGTGGGATTCGGAAGATGAGGATGAAAAAGGACTAGATAGAATGGACGAAGAACTTGGAGACCGAGAGCACATTGATGAGGATGAGGTACAGAAACAACTGGGAAAAATCCACATGTAAGTATTTCATATTTAATTAGTCTTTTTCTCGAATATTTATGAACCTTTACTTTCTACCAAAAGTAAGGGTCTCGTTGAGGTAGTTGGGAGTAAATGGAAATCACTTTTTTAAAATTTTTATGCCATTTATAATAGGACGTATTTCTGTCAAGCGGAAGTAAGCGCCATAGGGGGAGGAAGGTAGAGGGGGGCTTGGATTGGCGGCGGAATCGGGCTTCGAGTTCATTCCGTCCCATACTCGCAATGCTTTTCCACGGCGCTTAGTTCCGTTTGACTGAACACGCCATCATCCGGCATTCTAAATTCCTCCAAAGGAACTCAAATTGGTGCTTAGTTCCGTTTGACAGAAATACGTCCAATATGTCTCTTTAATTACGCCATCCTAACCCTGAGGGTTAAAAAAAGTTGAACGGACCTAAGAGAATATGAAGCAGAAAGAATTAGATGCACAGTTAGACTTACACAATTTTTGTGGGAGTCTCGTTTATATCTCTCCCAAAAAAGTCAATGAAGTAAGTGCTGTTGCTGCACATCATGTAGTATTAATGTACGAGTTACCTGGGATTATATGGTGTAATTCTATGGAATTAAGCAAGATTTTATTGAATGAATGTTAGGGAGGAGATGTAAAGAGCATGTAATTTTCACAATTTCATGATATCTCGCCTTACTTACTTTTGTTGAAAATTGTTTTGGGAAACCTCAAGGTCAACAAAATAATATCATGATCAAATTTGTGGAAAATTAAAGCATAAGGAAGCTTGAGAAATTTACGGTAAGTAAGATAAGATGATCATTGAGAACAAAGAGGCATGTCTTCAAGGATGAGCAGCTGCAAAATTTTTCCACGGAAATGACACAATGTACATTTAATGATGAAGAATTCTTAGGTGTTTTCTCTGCCACAATGAAGAATCGGACCAGATTATGCCCTATAGCTGATCACACACCAATTTTTGTGTTTGTAAAATTAAATGTTTGATGCTCGCAAAGGAGGGCTGTGCACTAGCTGTATTATTTGAACACATAGTAAATTGACTGTGAAACTTCAGAAATGGGTATCTTGGTTGCGATGTTTCTGAATCTCCGCTCCTATTTTATTTTTGAAAAGGGAACCACACTAGTGTCATAGCCTGAAATTTTCACAGGATATTCTTCTTATAGAGAAACAAACATCAGAGAAGTTTTCAAGAAATGACACTTAGTAGTTTTCTCTGTGGAAAGTGAAGTTTGACTGAAAGTCTACAATGTGGCAAACCAAGATATGCATGACAACAGTTTTACCATTGATATGTTTTAAATTTGTGGTTGAATGAATAAGTTCAGACTTCTTTTATTTTGATGGAGCATTGATTATTTTTGATGCTAACCAAAGTATGCAGAGTATATACCAATACGTCATTTGAAAACCTATGGTAGAATGATGATTTAATCTACATACATTATGCCTATGCCATTATATTGCAATGCCTCAGTCATAGGTACAAGTACTTAATCAACGCAACACTCTTGAGGTGGAAAACGGGCAAAAATTACTAAGATTAAGAAAAGAGAATAAAGGAGATACGAAATTAGACTCAGTGTACAGCTAATTAACTAAAGAAACTTTCATTCTCTTTCTTAGGCGGCAGCTTCTTGATGATGACCAAAGAGACATCAAATTGCTTCAAGAGCGGTTTTTGGAAGATGGAGAGTTGCATGCTGAAGGTGGAAGGGAGAAGAACTTCCGATGGCAAAACATTAACAGCGCAGCCCTAGAAGCTTGGAGTCAACGAAGAGATTCAGATGATGAAGAACCACAGGAAGAGGAAGAGGGAAACGAACAAAGTGAAGAACTTTGGCGGAAAATGAGAGCGGAAAGGGATGCTTTCTTTAAAAAAATGAAGAAGGTGAGCGGTTATTTGAGACAACCGAGAATGATTCAACAAGCTGAAACTTTTGCCTGCAGCTCTGTTTTTATTGAACTTATTGCTCTGTTATGTTGCCCACTGATCAAGTTTTGCATTATAGCAATTGAAGGAGAATCAATGGGCTATCAGAAGAGGTCGGAATTTAAACATCATGATTTGTTTCCTAATCAAAATTTCATTTTGAACACAATTCGTGCAAGAAAAATCATTGAAAGTAACTCACGGCCAAGATATTAACGTTTTTCGTGGTATGAATTCAAACTTCCTGCTCCTAAAAAAAAATCCATAATCCTCTTGAGTTGAATTGAAGTTAATTGAGTCACATTATCGCACTTCACCACAACGGTTTTTGGGGTATGAAAATATTGCAATCTCAATCTCTGCGCTTCAGCTCAGCCATCGCATGGCTTTTACTATTTGAACAACATAATGCTGGTCCAAACCATTGTAGTGTGCTATTTGATTCTACTAGACTGTGGTTTTTCTTGAGAGCAGGAAATTCAAATTTTTTGTGAGCGGTGCTAGATAAACATGTTTGAATCTTTGTCAAGAATTAATTTCAATAATTCTCGTTGCACAAATTTTGTTCCTCATAAAATTTTGAAAAGGAAATATGTTTCAGAATGCCTAAATTTGTGGTGGTCCATTCATCCCTATTGTACCATCAGGAACTTTCAATATGAGATCAGTCACTTAACTAATCATCCCTAACTTTTTTAAAGAAAACTAAATAACCAGCAACAAATCAGCATAGTCATTCAAGGTAGTATAATATGTATTTTTCTACTCGTTTCAGAAATTATTGAGTTGAATTATTGTTAACTAAATGATGAAGAATTTTAGTATTTGACAGTGGCTAAATCAATCGTATACCTACATTTAATTGATCAGTAAAATGAGGAAGCCTTACTTTACCATCACGATTAAAGTTTTTAGTTTTAAGATTATTTTATGAAAGACACAGCTTTCAGGTTGATCATTTGTTCGTTGTAAAACAAATTTGTAATAAAACCGTTTCTCGCGAAACAATGAATTCATAGAAAATAGTAGTCAACCAGGGAGTCCCATAATGAAATAATTGTCAACGTCAAACTAGAAAAAATGCTGTTTCTATTATATGTATTTATTTTCCCATTTTTTTCATTTTAAATTCTCTTTTTTCAGAATAAAGATTTAGATGATTTAGACACTCAGCTGTATGATTTAGATAAGGACTCTCCCAAGTTGGTGTCAGGTAGCGAAAAAGTCAAAGAAGTAAATACGAAACCTGCTGGGGGAATAATTGATCTCAATGAACCTATAGTAAAGAAGAATGTTACTTCTGCCCTCTTTTTGCAATCAACTACTCATATTTTGGTAAGTATGAATTTTAAACAAGAGGAACGTTTCTATTTTGCTCTAATCCTCTCAACTCTCACCTTAAAATTCTTTACAAAAGAAGGAAGACATGGGGCGCAAAGAGCCTGCATTTTCTTATCATAATCAAAATAACTTTAAAAGTCAATCATGCTTGTCATAAAGACTTGAAACAGAAATGCTGTTTAGTATAGTTAATATTTGAAAGTTTTCGGACTGATGTAGAAATTTTAAAATTAAGGTTATCAGCTGTTGAAACATTAAGCTTACATCATATTTGATTGATTAAAACCAAAATAACCTTATTTGCTCAAAAATTGACAGAAAGAAGAGGAATTGAGTGGAGAAAATGAAGCTACCGCCCACAGGTTTTTCATCCTTATTTTTTTTTCTAGGTGTATAGTCTCTAATAATAGTTTCCAGTGAAATTTCTAAAAAAGAAACACACTTGGCAACTTTATATTCAACTAGGCCCCAATGTCAGATCGTCATCCAATCAGCATTGTAACTGTAGTAACAGTGGCAAAAAGAACTGTGCGAGTGTAGTCTACTAACTTTATAAGAATATATTGAAAGAATAAAAGCACTATGGAACTAAAAAAAATTAGATCAGAATATAAGTTTGAAATGTGACAGTACATGAAAGTTGTAAAAATTGTCAACTTAACATTATATAATTGATGAACAGCAGAGACCTCTGGCTCTTTTTTTTTATTTAAAATCAGGTATTGCATTAGGTATGTATGTACTGTATACTCATAAAAGCATGTTTTTTTTTCTTCTTTGGATTTGTGTAACTCGTAATTTTTTTTTTTTATAGAGCAAAGGCTCATTTTTGTTGAGATCCGACCAAATACTGAGTCGAGTAGGCCCAGTCGCAGCCACTGGGGGTGAAGTCCTATTGAATCAGAAAGCTAAGAACAGTCGAAATTTTATTTTTGCCCCAATAAGTCCACCAAAAGAAGTTTCAGAAGACTCTCAAGATCTGACCACAGTAAGTATTTTGTGATTATTTTGTCCGTTAATGTATCATTTCGCTTTTAACTTTGCTTACTTCAGCTGACTGTGCCTCATATGGTTTACAGCTTTAGAATATACCCGCATTGCTGGCATGCTGTTCCAGTAATCTTGATTCCATAAAAGAACCTCTGACATTAAATTCGCATGAGGGGCAATGCATGGAATACCAAGAAATTAGGCGCCGACTAAATTTATTTAAAATGATATTCCTCACAGCCTCCTGGGGATAATGAGCTTTGAAAATCGAAATTTTTATGTGTCATTTCGAGAAAAGCAGTGCTATAAAGTGAGTTTTTCAGCATTTTTCAAATGCAATATTTAATAGAAACATTGCAGCACTTGATTGGTGATCAAGAAGAGCTTTTATTTCCTTGCAGACCATGGAGATAAGACAAAAGTAGAGAATCAAATTTCTCCAAATGATAACGTTTGGAGTGAGGCCAAAAAATTCTTCACTGATGATCAGCACTTAAAAAGATTTTCTTTTTTCACCAGTACTACCCAAAAAGTTCTTTTCTAAATGCTGATTGTGTGCAGGAAGCTGTAAAGAATATTTTATCAAATTGTGCTGAAATGTAGCCGGCGCTGAATTTCTTGGTTTTCCCTGCGTTGTCGTTTCAAAATTTGGTAAGGAATTTCAAAGCAAAATCCTGCTTTGTCTTTAAATTAGGTTTTGAAATTAGTAACCATGATTTATGCTGGAATCTTTTACATTATGCAAAAATCAGACCTCGTAAAAATTACAATAGATATGGTGCTTTGATGTAAACATGTTCCGATACTAGCTGTTTCTACTCACCTTGATTTCGGCATTTTATGCTTTCTAGACTAGTAAGTCCTTTAAAAGTGATCTGATCAATATTTTGGTGGCCATAAGTAATTGAAGAAGAATAAAGCAAAATTCTTTTCAAGGATGCAAAAACTTTTTGACCACGTACTGCTGGACAGGTTATGATTGATCGCAAGCAAAAATTAGAGGACCTCAACCACAAGTTTTAAAAATGGGAAGGTCATAATTGGGTTGAAATGTAATTGATGCTTTTTTTTGTATTTTTTGCTAGATTATTGAAAATTGAATTATTAAAAGTTGCTGTTCCTGTTTTTCAGATTCAGAAAAGGAAATCCGCACCACTTAGTCCTGTGGCTGTGAAGAGACTCAAAGTTGCGGAGGAGAGAAAACCCAATATTATGAATAGAAAAAGTTTATTGGGACAGTTAAATTTCCATTAAAAATTTCAACGCCCTTTTATCAGCAGGTCTCAGTCGCTTGCAGTTAATTTTTCTTGTTTCCTTTAAATTTCCTGAATTGTTTCCTATATTTTTTCTTATGTTATGACAAATGCAGCAATGCAAAAGATTTTACTTTACATCGATTCAGTATCAGTGAGAAGTCATTTAATGGAATGTTGTGTTCAATTTTGTTTGGATTATCCTGTAGGAGAAGAAGAATTGTAGTCACACATTTTTTTATTTTTACCATATTTTGAATATGTATGTCAGTGCCGAGTTTTCAAGTATATAGCCTGTCTTGTCTTAACTCTATAAAAGATTCAGAATTTAAACTTAAGGGTGGAAAAACCGAAAAAGAATGCCATGAATGTATCCACAGGGTGTGTGTATCTAAAATCTGGTCATGGATCTTTTGGAAGCAGCCGATGTAATTCGGTAGGCTCTTATAGTAACTCATTAAGAATTGGACTTCATTTTGCAATCAGGAACTACAATTTCTAGCTCATCCAGATAAACACTCATGTGCATAGGGCTGCTTATGTTACATGCGTTTTTTCTAGATTGAACCGGACATTGTAGTTGATACTTGCACAATGTAGTCCAATCGAACAAATTTGACTGGAATCAGCCTAATTGTATTTCTCATTGCCTAATTTTCTATAACATTTTATTTTTCAGCAGAGAACTGGACTACTCAGTGTTGCTTGAATTTCTGTTTAATGAATGAAACCTAAGAGAAAACTAGGCTACGTCTGATGTCGTCAGGCTGATTCCGGTTAAGCTCATCTAATTAGCTCTCAATCAAGAGTGCGTTGGATCAAGATTTCATTGGTTTCTAGAGCTAATTAGGTGATGAAATGTTTGCTTTATCCATGATAATTGAATTTACCAGAGGTCTAAGCCTTTAACAGGCCGTTTTTCTTTCCTTTAAAGGTTGCTCCCGTTTTTGCTCTGACATTAAAAAAGTGTTATCATCAGATCAGAACAACAAATCAATGAAGCTTGGAAGAATGGGAAAAAATTAAAAAATTGCCGTCACGCCGCAGAAATGTTTGATGAATCACTTAGCATTGGGTACCATTTCTTTGATGGGTACCTATTGGGATCTGCTTTTGACTTAGCAGAAGTCAACATGTTTGTCTATAGTTGATATAATTGCAGAAGTTGCTCCTCTTTTGTGGCATGGCAGCAAATTTGTTCATTTTTTCCTTTTTTTCCAAGTTTCATTGATTTGCTGTTCCGTTGTGATGATACAGCTCTAATGTCAAAGCAAAAATGGAAGCAACCTCTGAGGGGTAGATAAACGGCTGGACAATCAGCATGAGACAACCCCTAGTAGAATTAATCGCCATCCCATATCACACATGTTTATCTGTAAAATCGGGACGGTCAAGTTCTCAAATTTATTGCCGTCTGAATGGCACCCTCCCAAGGGTTTTTTTGTGGGATGATCGAATTTACTCAAGGTCTAAGCCTTTAACAGATTTCAGTTGAAAGAAGATTTGAATGACTTTGAACAGGGGAACAACATACTTTGGTCCCTCATCAAGTGCAGTATTGTTGCTTTGTGGTCTCGAAGGGAACAATATGACTGAATGTGGCACACATTTTAATTGGATTTTGTAAATTGATAGTAATTGAAATTTAAAGGTTTTGATTAACATATTGTGCAAAAAACTCCATAGGTAAATCAGTAGAAGCTATTGCAAGCAAAAACAATCACCTCAACAAAAGTTTGTTCAGAAATAAATGAGTTGATCTAACTATTCATATGAATCTCATTTTGCTTTTGATTTTTCGACACATGAAAGGGTGGGTGATGAGACTTCTGAGAAAGAATCTGTTTCTTTACCTTCTTGTACTTTCAGATTGTGGGCGGTAAAAAAATTATTCTTTGCATGCCGCTATTTTTCTTCTACATTTTACATTGTTAGCCTGTTGATTTTAATTGATATTGATGTATATTGCTCATGAATAACTTCTGCCATTTTGACAATCTCTTGTTAAATAGATTTTTGTTATCTTAGCTTCATATGATATTTGTCTATATCTTGTTTTCATTCTTAGAGTTTTATTTTTTGTAAATGACAACACATTTGTATTTTGTAAATAAAAATATGTTCAGCGCCTGAAAGTCAAATGAAATTATTACATATTTACTTAAATTGACTCATCTTTTCCTGCTTTTTATTTAGGGCAGTCAGAGTAAACTAAATCAAACTGGTCAATAAATGTGTAAATACTTTTCTTTAATAGAATGACATGGATCATCATGTTTATTATTTGGTCAGAATATAGAAAATGTAAAAGGAATATCATTAAGTACATAATCAATATGATATGTAAACAGAAAAAATAATTAAGTCACAATAAATTTTGGTACGAACAAATGCATAATAAAATCTCAAAAACATTAATCTTTTCACAGGAAAATATACAAAATTATTGAGCTAGAGAAGAACAAAAAGAGGGAGGGATTAGGGATGGGGAGACCGGATGGCCGATTATTGAAAGTTCAAAACATCACGATAGGACATTGAAATGCTATTTATTGCATGGTTAAGATAGGGCTTTGACTAGTCTGGTCATGCCGACACAGTTTAAAAAATCGGGCTGCTGATTTACTCGATGTAGACATTTAATAGAAAACTTTGACATCTAAATCAATAAGAAGCAAAAGATACTTTGCAATTTTCACCTGCGTTAAGTGCCCAACTTACTGGATGGACAAAGGCACATTAGTGAATTAATCTTTGCAAACCAAGACGAGCAAAAGACAAGGGCCAGAAAAAGTCTAAAACTTCATCCTGACACAAAATGCTCACTGAAGCACGGGAAGTCAATTCACTCTTATCATCTCCTGCACGAGGGAGCTTATCTTGTCTGCGGTGTTTCTGCTCGCATTTTATTTTCTCATGGGAGAATCGATTCACAAAAGACTCTGAAAATTGCAGAGTCTCTTTTCACAAGGGTTAAGGAAAGTTACTAGAAACTTAAGGAAAATGCATGTAACAACTCTCCTATAAACAAATAACATGTAAGTATGAAACACGGTAATAGAAATAAAGTTCCTTTGTGTGAGGGCCGACGATTTTTAAGTAACTATGGAAATCAAAGTAACAGATGCCAACGCAGGGATTTGGGGGGAGGGGGGGAGGATGGAAATTTCATTGGGCTCTTTATTATGTTCTAAATAGCAACTGCAACTGCTAATACTCAGCTGAGATAGACATTTACTGGAACTAAGAGCAGGATGCTTTCTACCATGGGTTCTTGTTTTCATGGCATTCTTTTATCTGAAACACTCCGCATTCAATTATGTACCTATTATATTATTGCTTTATGCAGGGATCTGATGAAATCAAAAAATCATTTACTTGCGTCAAAAGAAAGGATACTGTGAATACTTAGTGACAATTCTACCATCCACAACAAGAACGTCGAAATCCTATCTTAGAATATTTTTTTCATGCTGAATTCTACACTGTGATTAATAAAATTCTTGCTTCATTCTTTTAGTATAAGTTCTCGACGATATAGTAAAACCCTCCTGAGAATATAAAGAATAAATGATCGCTGGTTTCCTTGAAACAGAGCGTTCAGCTACAGAATAATTGAAAAATCTAGAACTGGGTTACAGCATTCTTGCTACAGACAGCAGATCACTAATTTAGGAGCAGAAAAAATCCGGTAAGGAAGTAGGTATTTGTAAGTAAGAAGGAAATCAATTTTTCTTCGCTTTGTATCTTAGGAGAAAAAAAAAAACTTAGAAATAGAAAATAAGGGAAGTATAAGTGAGAGGATCCATCATATTTCTCTGTGCAAAGTTTAGAGAGAATATCTATTGTTGGACCTGACACCTTCTTTGCGAAGAAAAAAACGGATATATTTGAAAAAGAGAGAATTTTTCAGAAAGAGCCTAGGTCAAACTTTATTGACAGTGAGACTGCAAAAACTCATACCTCGTTTGCGGTGTTTCAAAATCTCCACTTTCATTTTATTTTATCGAAGGAGAATAAACTAAGACTAACACTGTTGGTTGACATTTCCACAGAATATTCTCCAAAAAGAAAAGAAATATCAGGAAAATTTCAAGGAATGACGTATATAATTTTTCCGTTTAAAAAATAAATTATGAATGCAAGTCTGTAGCATCGCAAACCGAGATACGCGTTTTGCCAGTTTCACCACTGCTCTCTGACTTGATACATTGAGACTTAGCCATTGAGAAAACGGCAGATGAAGACTCTTGAATTCAATAGAAAACCCTATAAGGCACATCATGCATCACATTTTCCCTTCTTATAGTCATTTTGAACATCATAGATTCCTGAGTTGTATGATTTGATCTAATTGGTACGTATCTCTTTAGGACAAAGGGATTAAATATTAGGGTAAGGATATTCAGAGATTTCTCAGTCCTAGAATACAACTGTCAGAGTGCCAATAAATGGAACAAAGAAGCGAAAACACACTGATACAGTTTGACGGCAAAACAAAAAATCCAGAGTTTCCTCAAATTGAAGATTTGAACTTCATGAGTTATTTACATTTGGTTTGAGAAATTATGGTAGCACCTTAAATAGATGAATTGAGCAACGGCAAGTCCACAAAAAATTACCAAGTAGGAAGGAAGGGATGTGAACTGAACTGACTTACTCTCATGAGCACAGAAAAAGTAGAGGGAAACAGGAAAAAACACTTTAGCCTGTGATAGGTACCTACTAGAGACATATAAAAGAAACTATTTTAGGGAACTTAGACTAGGAAAGGATTCATAATCATAAACATTATCTGGAAGGCACGGGTAGCAAAAGGCAATTCAGGATATAAGATTCATTCAAGACAGTAAATTTCAAGCAGAAATCTATGGACAAATCAATAAAGGTGCTGGATAGAAAGGCACTTCTCCGTTGAGGTGTTTCAGAATTTCCGCTATTATTTCATTCACTGTAAGAAAATGAATGCCTGCATTTCACTGCAATTTTATTGAATATTCTCTATGATTCTACAATGTTCTATGGAGACAATTCCTGTGAAATCACCAATCAGATTCTTTCGTAAGACATCAATTAGCGAAAAAGATTCTGATTTAAGAACTTTTAGACAACTTATTTTATCAGCCACATATTTTTATCAGTTTTGTGGTTGGTTTACTTTTGAGACCTTTCAAAAATAAACAATTTAAATATTGAGTTTGAATTTTAAAACTTCAAGCCAACTCAGGCATTTCAAAAAGTGATATTGAGATTAGAACTTAGGTAAATCTTAGAAACCGAGAAAGAGAAAAAAAAAAGGAAAAATAATGTGAGATAGAGAGAATCTGAGTGGTGAATATTGATGCTCTTAATAATGTATGCCATTTGAGACTAGTGCATTGACAATAAACTAGTTTAAGTAAAAAAGTTGAATCGAACTTTACTAAATTCATGAAATGCCATAGAGGCATTTCCCTTTTACAGTGTTGCAGAATCTCCATAAGCAATTTATTTTTTTGCGAGGAAACTAACAGATAATCAAACATGAGATTTATGCTGAGAATATCATTTAATAATGAAGAAATTTCAGTTAAATTTCTACTTCTCTCTGAGCATTTTTTTTTCTATTAAGAAAACTACGTGAAAGGAAATTTCAAAAATGAGAAGTGCCTTTTCTGACTAAAGTCATCAATTAAGCTCATATTTTCTTCGATTGCGGATATCAATACTTATTTGAATAATTAATTTTTGAAAGTCAGAGTCTTCAACTAAAGACCCCTGATTATAAAAAACATGACGGTAATGCAGAAATAATTATGAAAAATTAGAAAATTTTCAAAAAGGTAAGGCACCCACATGACAGAAGTAAAAAATGTGATTAATGTCTATGAAGTTACAACAATTAATTTAGTTAATTAAAGATAAAAATAATTTAATTCATTCAGGTTGATTAGATAAGTCATTCTCTTCAGGTAGGAAAAAAAAAACAATCCAAAAAAATAATCTTCCACATTGCATACAAAGGAATGTAAAGGAGACCAAAAGGGACAATGATTCAGACTATTCACATTCGTTTTTAAAAGAAATATAAAAGTTATTAAGATATCACCATTACAGCTTCAGTTGGCACCAAGAACATACTTTAGCCAAGGCTATCTCAACCATAAGAGGATGTGAATAGAAGATTCACGTCCAGAAAATCCATTTAAACGTTCATTAAATGGACGTATTTCTGTCAAACGGAACTAAGCACCAAATTGAGTTCCTTTTGAAGATTTTAGAATCCCGGATAGCGCATTCTGTCAAACGGACCTGAGCGCCACGGAAAAGCATTGCGAGTATAGGAGGAGCGAGCATCGCGTTCCGTAACACCTGCCGATCCAAATCCCCCTCTCCTTTCCTCCCCCTGTGGCGCTTAGGTCCGTTTGATAGAAATACGTCCAAATGAGTTATTGACGTTCACGTTATTAAGAGGATGAAGAACTTTGTCTGAACTTCAGATATTGTAATTATCATAGTCACTGTAAAAAAAACTTAGTGACGACGATTTTCGCTTGTTGGGATGGCCTCGACTATAACTCTCTGAGCTACTTAAAACACTTTAGGTACAATTGCAATACACTTGTCGAGACATTGAAAGTAACAAGTCACCCAATGGTGCCCATTAAATTTTGATCATTAAATACAATTTTGAAACATTGCAAACATTCTGCTAACACTAACTCATAAAATAACATTGCACAGTTTTGGTGTCTTTGCTTGATGTCAATAAAGGTTAAGGCATTTGAGGAACGCAAGTCGGCGACCGAGGGCAGCATAACAGTCTCACAAAATAAACTCAACCAAGCTCCTTTAACAGCTTGTCGCGGGGTCAACAGTGCAGTCACTGTTGACCCCGCAACGCAGATTTACGCGTTTTCAGCGCTGAACCTTAGATCTTTTACTTCAATTTTCGATGTACGTTTTTTGAGTTTTTACAAGTTATAAAAAACGGAAATAGAAGAATCAACTGCCCTAGCTGCTGACAATAGCTCATTAAGTTCATACTTGAAAGTCAACCATTGGCCTAGACTGAATCACATGCGGGTCTAAGTCTCAAGGGAGGGAGTAGAGCAGAAGAGGAAATATTATGGGCTGGTAGTGGATTCTATGCTGAAATAATTAACACTAACAAATGGTCTTCATATCGTTGTATCCCGGACGAAGGAACGTGACTAAATTCTCAGGTTGCTAAATTAACTAAAAAAATTAATTTTTATTTCACAGAAATGTACATGTGCAATTTTTAAGTAAAATTTGTCTGATTTTTGCATGGAATCTGGGGGAAAAACTGTGAAATTTTCAGTTAGAAATTCTCAAGAAGCTCTTCATTAATATGCAATTTGAAACGGGGAATTTGGCAACATTGACATTAAGTTACGTTCTTTCATGAGGGAAAGGACGATATGACAAAAAAAAAGAGACAGTTTTTCAGAGGTATAGATAGAAAGAAGGAGTTTTCTTACAGGAATACCCTTTGGGTGAAAATTTTTCTTCCTCCCTTCATGGGGTAAAAAAGTCTACAGAGAAAAAGGGGGGAAAACATCCTACCTCAGCTTCATTGAGGCTTGATCAAGTAAAAAAACACACTATCTTACATTGAATAATGAAACTAAAAAAAGAAAGAATAACAATTCACTCCTGAGGCCTAAGAGAAATAAGACATGTAGTCAGATATATTGGTGAGGCTGAATCATTAGACAAAATAATTGAGTCCCATGGGTATACTTGGAGGAATTTCCCTAAAGTAAAGAATAAAAACTACATTTTCACACTTTGGCAGACTGTGAAAGTCCTCATATGAGGTTATGGAAAAATATTTTCGATAAATCTTTCTAAGAATTGGACTTCGTGCTCACTTTATTATAAGAGAGAAAAGGCGCTTTCAAAATCCATCAAGTTCTTTGCAATATTTGGGACCTGCCTTGACTCACTAAAGGACCCTTCACAGTGGGAGGGTAATTGAGCAAAACCCGGAGGATTTTCTCCAACTTTGCATTTTTCTACATGACATTCTTGTACACTAAAGGTGCCAACTAGAAAACTTAGGGGACATAGAGGAGAAGATGTCCATAAAATTTTTTCCCAGTATGATAAAAGAAAATGCTTTAAAATTCCTGCAGGGACAGCTGCGGTTTTCTCTTATTGATTATGCAGGGCTCTCCACTTTCAACACTTAAGGACACCTAAGGTCATTGAATAATAACAAACTATCCAAAGAAAATAAATATAAACTAACTAAACAGCAGTTCGTATCAAGCTTGAACTCCTTGTCGGCATTTCCTTTGATTGCGAGTGCGCCACTACCACTGATAGGCACTGCACCCATTCTTCAGCGTTTTTTCCGTCCTTTGGTTTAAGAATGAGAGAATGATCTCCCGTGAAAATTTCAAATGCTTTAGGTATATTCCTAGCTCCTCGACTGACTTTAACACTCCTTATCTGATGGACATCAATCGGTGGCCCAGCTTTATCGTCCTGTTAGAAAAAATGAAAGATGAACTTGTGCATGTAGGAAAGGAAAATAATTATCTAACTTTTGTTAAATTCTTTTCTTCCTGAAGCTTTCTTACACTCAAAGTTAATGAAAATTACAAAGAATGGTTATGCTAATACTGACGTTAAGCCCATATACCTTGAGAAAGCACTGAATACCTTCTCCAGTCTCGTAAACAGTGGCAATATTACATTTCAGCAAACTTTTCTAAGGTTTGACAACGACTCAAGAGTGATATAAAACTCATGAAAAAGAGAAAAAAATTCTTGAATTGAGGGAATTTTTTTTTGAGTTTTTAAACCTAAAACAGGCCTTTCAAAAGGTTCTGGAACCCAGGATTTGACGAACGAAACTTTCATCTACCAAAGTTTGCTCATTTGATAGATCAATTGATCTGATACACAAGTTGTAATAGCGGAGCGTTTGAATACTAGGGATAATATTTCAATTCTGAGGGCACAGTTATCTCAAAAAAATTTTAAATTATAAAGCAATGCTTAAAAAGGCATCAATAGTTTTTAGTACATATAAATAAAAATCAGGATGAAAGACAGAATGGAAAACAAGAGCTTGCTCAATTGTTAATGAGCTGATACTTTAGAGAAGGGCACAGACAGGGTCCATTAAAATGGGGAGTACCTGCAAGTATCCACCATGCTATGAAAACTGCAAATGATATTCGGAATTTCTTCAAACAATCTTTAAGAAAAGAACCTGACTCAAACAAACTGCTAAGTTGGAAGTTTTTACGACTTCCACAATCTCAAAAATTCTAGTCTTCCTCATGAAATTCTCTAATAGTTTCCAGTGCGTTTCCACAAAATGGCTAGTCAAAAATACATATTATTGCAATCATGACCTTTAAAAATTTCTGATCATTCTACAATTTTTAAAAATATAAAAAATGAGTAGATATTTACAATGTCACAATCAGAGATAAAATTTTCGACACAAGCCACCGATATTTGTTGTTTTTTCATTTCTGGATTTTATCAATTTTCTATCTTTGGAGGCACCCTGGTTATCGTTCATGGATAATTTCAGTGCTGTATGAAGACACCACCAACAAAAGAGCATGATTGGATGTAACCAGGACTAGACAATTCTTTTCAGGCATTCAAGTGTACCTACATTGTCTGCTTCTGCTACAAAATATTAGGACTCATGCAATATTCGAGGCAAGTTTTAGAGAAGAATGCATACCTCACTCCAAGTCAAATGGTTCAGAGGTTGCACCATCTTCACAACATTGACATGAGTATATGCTATTTGGTTTGAAAGGTCATACTAGCTCATCTATGTTGCTGAGTGATGACCCCTCATAGGGGTTAACTCACCAACTGTCAAACTAAGTTACTTTAGCCCACGCCAGAGCTGCTTAGGTTCACTGCTAGCTGTTTATCTGTGTTGGGGCTACTTTCACTTAGATATCGTTAAACTGCATGAAACTGACTTTATCAATGTTTTTTGTCTAGATAAGTTGTATTTTGTTCGACGAAACAACTCAGAACATCTCGTAACAGTCGTACTTTGTTTGAATGTTATTTATGTTAAGGAGCGTGGCCTATTTTTATTTGTTTAATTATTTTGCACAATATGGCAACGTTTTGCGACATTGTTTCGAAACAATCGGAACGTCCTCAGAGGATTGTTACGACTGTTGTGTACATTTGTTAACAAGATTTTTAACCTCAATTCTAGCTGCTTTGTTCTCATTGTTTGTGAAAAAGTGACGCAAATAACACAAAATCGGTAACAGGAAACAATTGTTGCAGTGAACAAAATACGACTATACAAAGATGGCTCAGTCACCAAGTCACAAACGGTTTGATCTCTTCATTATTCACTGGGTTGATTTTTTTGGTTAGCTTTATTTTACAGAGAGGGAGAGGAGGGGGAGAGAGAGGGAGAGAGAGAGAGAGAGAAAAGAGAATTATTAGTACTTACAGCTCCTTTATAGGAAAGATGAGCGCCTGAAAGTGTAAAGTAGCGAGTCCTCCATCGTTTGAAAATTTTCCACCGGCCTTTCTTCTCTTTCAGCTGTCCTTCGATGACTGGTTGGCTGTCTTGTAGAAACCCAACAGCTCTCTCAGGGTGGTTGCAAAGGAAACAGCCCCACAAATTCACCCCTGAGCCGCCTACATATTCGAAGACATCACAGAAACCACTGCTTCTTAATTCGCTGAGCACAGCTTCTTGATCCTGCGGGCGTTTTGGAATACACCGGGAATTAGGAATATGAATTAATCATGTGGCAAAGTGAAAGAGATTTGAAAGGGACTCTTATCTGACAGAAATTTTAGATTTCCTCTCTTTTCTATCTCTTCATAATTTTTCATGTTACTTCTGGGAGAGACATTGTTCTACGGACAGAAACAACCCGCTGTAAATCAAGCGTGGTGAAATGGGCGGTGGGATAAGGCACCGATGACAGATGTGAGTGTGGGGAAATCCAGGATTTTAAGCATATCCTAGAATGCCCTCAAATGAAATTGGTCTGCACTAGGGATGACCTACTTTTAGCAAATGACATTGTAACTAATGTTGCAAATTATTGGAGCTCTCAGATCTAATTTTCATCCAATTTTTTTACACATTTTATTAATGATTATGTTATGTGTCTGGTACTTTGGACAAGGAAGAAGAAGAAGGATAATATCCTTTAAAGAAAAATGAAACATAGACAAGAGTGGAGAAATAAGCGAGAGAATAGTGCTCACCTTGGCACAAGGGAAAGCTGATGTGACGAGAGTCAAAAATGTTTTCGTTTCACACTTGAGAATATCCCAACAGTTTTTCAAAGAGCTGACAGATGCATCGCGGGAGGATAAGGCAGATGGTGAGCGAGCTTGCAGCGCCAGAAACATAAGATGAATCCATACTCGAGGGTTTCGTGTTCGCATCGTGAAAAACGTTCGACTATACAGGCAATGTTCGCCCCGACCGGGGCATCCAAAATGTAACTTAGCTACTTTTTTCGCACGCCTCTCTGAAATAAAAAAAAAATTATTTACAGATGAATTTATTTTTTTAATTAAAAATTGATTAGTTATATTTCAGTGAGAATTAATGTAAAGCGGTGAAACTTAAGCCTTAGTTCAACTCACTGCAAGACTCAGAATGCATTTTAAAATTTTTGAATCGCATATCGCATTGCTTTTATCCAAATGAAACATTGTTCGACCTCCAGCAAAATTCCCTTAATTCTCCCTAACTTTTACAAATTTACCTTGACTGTTGCCATCTTGCAGGTGTCATTAAGTTCAATGTGAAATTTTAAAGATAGTAAATTTATGCTTATGAGTTCCTCTCAATAAACGCTGAAACAGGCTTTCCAGGAATTTGTCTCAAATATTGACTTATATTAGCTCAATTGTTATGCAGTTTTTTTATTCTCAAACTTAGAAAAGCTCTCAAAGGGCACTTTTCGCCATTTTTGGAATCAAATAATGTAAAATTGACTCTTCCTTTCAGATCTAAACTTCTCATTTGTTTTTTTTTTGCATTCCTTTTTAAATCCCCTTTTCATTGACTCCATATTTAATGATACTCATTAATCTATCCATGGAGATTTACACATTGACAATGCTTCTTTGATTTTATTTTCGAATTAAAATTTAAGGAAGCAAGAGGAAATCATTGTTTTCAAATTTTAACACATGTTTCCAGATGGTGTTGAGCTCAGAAAGTCTTTTGATGTTTAGTTGTGAAATCGTGATCAGTTTAGTCAATTTGAAAATAAATAAAATAAAATAAAATAAATTAAAATAAATTTGGTGACAATTTTTAACCTTTGCCTAAAACAAACAAAAAAAACAAAGGTACATCAAGGGAACTAACCTTCAATTGTACATTTTGCAGGGGGAGGTATACGAACAGAGACCTTTTCCATATATGATTTGATTTTGTCCAAATGCTTCTCACAAAAATGTTGAATGGTATCTCGCATGGGGTATGGTTCAAAAACACTTATGCGTTGTGAGGCCGCATGAATAGCTGCATTGCTGTGGTTATTGATGATTGTGACACTGGTATTGTTATGCGGTCGTCTTGAGGTGACAACTGGCTGAGTAGGAGGGGGTGGTACCTCGGTAGGTCCTGAAACATTTGCATTCATTCATTCAACCTGCACAGCACATCTTCATAATCTGCTGCTGCTGGAGGGACTGTTTATTTCAAAGACATGGGAAATGATTTCATTACATTCGAATTTTTTGTTTATTCTAGTGACCTTAGTGACCATCACTGAGTTAGTGCAGATAGAAATGGGGAAAGCTAGAGCTTATTCTCAATTCACTATACTACAATGTAAGATTTTCTAATATTTAAAAAAAGAGGAAGAAAGAAAGTAACTAATTATTTTCTGATCGGATAATTTAACAGGACAATTAAGTATGAGTATTGATGAGTTTTGAGAGGTCAAAGCTTAATTCATAATTGGACCGCGTTAAACAGAAAGGAATCAAGCCACACCAGCTATTGCCAAATTTAATTGGGCAATTTAATTTTTTACATGTAAACGGTTGTGCGGATTTTCGTGCAAATTTCAGTGGATTTTCTGCATGGTACGAAGCAAATGCCCTAAAATTTTCCAAAGAATCCGCACAAACGTTCTCTTGTAAAAAATTAAATTGTCCAGTTAACTTTGGCAATAGCTGATTTGGCTTGGTTCTTTTCTGTTAAACGCGGTCCAATGGGCCTGTTACATGCAAGAGATACAGCCGCGTGAATAGACTTTTTAGAGGTTAAATGACACGAAAATTACGATGGTCACATTAAAAAAGTCTGAAATACACTCCTTACTGCGCATTTTGCGTTGTGAGGAACGCGCTTTTTCAAATTTCCCGCGTCTGGGGGCAGTTCTCTAATCACCGGAAACGAGCAAACGGCGGGCTCGGTGATTTCCGGAAGATGCCGAGTCGTTGTTGTTGTTGTTGTTATTTTTTCCTTCAGTTTGTTTACAAACCCAACGTGATCTTTTACAGTGGTCCCTATACGCTTTATGCGGTAACCAAATCGATCAACTTTTAAATATCCAACGCAATCCTTCTACATTTCATTTTACGATATCACGAGCTCCGATTTTTAGGTTATGTTGTCAGTTTTAGTTGACCGGAAATAGCCGCGAGTTGCCGTTAATTGTTTCCGTTAGAAAACTGCCCCCAGACGCGGGAAATTTGAAAAAGCGCGTTCCTCACAACGCAAAATGCGCAGTAAGGAGTGTATTTCAGACTTTTTTAATGTGACCATCGTAATTTTCGTGTCATTTAACCACTATAAAGTCTATTCGCACGGCTGTATCTCTTGCATGCAACAGGCCCATTCATTGTGAAAATCTTGCATACCTTATGACGATGAGCCAAAGGCTACTGGATATCCGAACAAATCTCACTGCAACAACGACGCTTTATAGTTTTTGGGAGTTTGAAGGTTACAAAATAAATTGTCGAGTTGGGCCGGGTATTCGCCGAGTATCCGGCCGGATACGATTTTCGCAGGTATCCGTATCCCGCCTGATAGTGCTTTTTCAGCCGTGGAAATTTTGAGAAGTTTTTGGTGGTATTTTTTCTTCTCTTTCAATACTACAATACTTCTGACTAGTCATGGTAATTGTTCAACTTTTCAAAACTTTTTATTACCGGAATTAAGAACATTTTCCGCAAATTAAAATGATTGCAATGTGATCTTTAATTCCTTAAGTTTTTGGTATCCGGCCATGGCCGGATATTGGATGATTCGCCGAGGTAATACGGCTGGATACAAAAAATCTATATCCGTATCCATATCCGTACCCGGTGACACAAAAAATCCATTTTGGTCCCATTCTAAATATTGTAACAATATGCGAATACTTAACATAAAATGATAATTGGAATAAAAGAAACCAAGGATCAAAATCCAATTTACTCACCAATTTGTGAGCTAAGGTTCCCTACAGAAATTTGGCTGAGAGGCTGGGAAGTAGAAATTAAAGATTGGTACAATGGTGAACTTCCTGCTGTACTTAAGGGCCGAGAGGCGACGATACCAGCTGTTCAAAAACAAAACCATCAACAGTTTAACAACTTGTTTAGGGTGTTGGATGAAAAATCCACAAAATAACAACCAGTAGATTAGAGGACAAATAGAGATTACATTGAGAACAATGGAGAGCCTTACACACTATTTGAAAAAATAAAACAAAAAACAAACTAAAGTTTACTTATTTTCGCCACAGCGAGAGAGCAATATACTTGTGAATTTAGGTGCATGGGTCAAAAAATTAGAATAGGCAGAAGTTGGATCTTTAAGTGCCTAAATTCAAAAGAGTGAAACGCTTGTTAATGGTTCTTTTCAAGCAACTACAATTCCTTACTGGACCAAAATAATTAAATTAACTAAATATTCTTACTTCTAATTTGCATACGTTTTTTATTAGCTGGTAAAAATGTGATTCAATATAAGATTTCTTGCAAAATTTGTTCATAGATTGGTCAGTGTTCTTCAGGTATGGATTGATCCTGCGGGAGGGGGAAGGGGGGCGGTTGGATTTTTGATATGGATTCTTTTTATGAATAATATTGAAAATTCGTAATGATCTTCACAGAGAAGTGTTAATTTAGTTGGGTGGACGGAGATTTTCTTTTCTTGAAGAATCGAAAAGTGTACTTATCTGGATCGCATTTTGCAAAAAGGAACCAGCGCAATTACAGTGTTGTAAAAATGTTGCTTCTGCAGAGTTATCAAAAAAATCTCCCAGAATAGCGAATAGTTTTGGCTTCCCACCAAAAAATTAGTAACTTTAAAGTAAAATAATAATTGTGTAAATTTTAATACTGTACATATATTAGGTATTTTAAAAAGAAAAGGAGAAGTTACCCGATTTTGAAAACACTGTAATCGTGCTGCTAAATGCAATCCATCTAAACTTTTCTAAGGTTGCCATGAATACATCTTGATTTGGCATAAAACACAATAGAAGTTTCAAAATAAATAGTGAATGCAGAATGAATCAGAAAAAACTAAAAATAAAAAGAGACTAACACAATGAAACATGAATGTAAATGAGTGGCATACCTGTTGAATCCCTATTACTTTGAGAATTTTGGGTTTGAGAGGAGGATGAATAAAGCGAATTTTCTTCTCTTGGAACATTCCCACTTCCTCTGAAATCAAAAAACACAACATTTATTCTTCATTGCATACAGAAACATGTGAGAGTAGCCCTATAAACACTAAAAAGAAACGTGAACAGATAAGATCTGTCCGCACTGACGAAGAAAAGGTTGATCTCTCAATCATGTGTTGATTTTGGAAATTCCTTACATCAAACTTTTTTAATGAATTTTTGTTGAAGGGACAAGTCTTGTGTTACTTTAAAATTCACACTGTTTCGAAGTCTATTTTTGAAAATAAAGCCAACGATGAGACAATTCTGAGATCGACCAAATGAACAGTTAATTCTGTTGAACTGAAAGGAAAACTGTATAAATTAAACTTACAAAGAATTGCGAGTTGTTACGGTAACACCTCCACTGATTAGAGGTGATTGCTTGAATACCGTTGTTACCGCTCGATTCGAAGGCACCTGCTGCATTTGTGAAGCTACTTGATTGATTTGCTGACTAGAACTCAGCCGAGTCATACTTTTATGAAGACCACCAACAGAGCCTAAGCGATTGCTACTCACTGAAGGAGGGAACAAAAACAAAATTAAAGTTTTAACTGACAAAGCACAATATCATACAAATTAGTTGAGTTGGTTTGATGAATGAAAGCAATTACAAGATATTATAGGTGGTCCAGCAATATAAGGGTTGATCATAAAATTCGAACTCTTTTTTTTGGGAGGGGGGGAGAGAAGCATTCAAGGCTGTATTACATGATGCTAGAGGGGGCGCATAGTGCCCCTTTATCGAAAATATAGGATAAAATCATCGCAAGTTGGCAATTCTTCATCTTAAATTCATGACAAAGCGCTAAATCTGAGCAGGAAGGGGCTTTAACTGAGCGATACGTAATTTTTTTAGAGGAATAAATCTGTGTTACAGGTGCGCTAAAAGGGGGGGGGGGAATAAAAATCTGATTTTTTAATGTTACATATTTTATGAACGACTCCTTAGAATAAGTGAGGGTTCTTCGAATGAATCCTGGTCACCTGGCCATTGATACACCTCAAAAATAAAAGTCACTTAGCTTTCCAAATGTTTCCTTTTGCAAATGAATTTGCTTCCTCTACATAAGTGTGTTACACACCCTTAAAAACAGTTGCTCACTAATCAGAGTGCTCACAGAAAATGTGACTTTTAAAAGCGCACGCCACAATGATGTTGCACCCTTGAGCCTGCATTGAATGTTTGGTTAAAATAGATTAATATGAAATTCAGTAAAATCTGTCGACTGGATTTTGACTTCTTTTAAGGGCGAGAATAAGTGTTACAGCAAAATCATGAAATTAACATTCAAATGAAAATTCCAATGAATTTTGTCAACATTGTACTTTCACAGCCAACAACCGCTGATAATGATTCCCAGATTTTTAGAGAGTAAAGAATCTGCACCCTGCCTAGGGCCACCTATTTCTTTTTTTGCCTCCATTATTGGAAATTATACCCTTAAAAATAATTGCATATCAAACATATCAAAAAATAGAACCTACTCAGGAATAACTTTTTTGGAATTTTCAATAACAAAAAGACAAACCTATATTCAATCTTGTCATAGATCGGTGAGTGGCTGAGGAGTGAAGTCGTCCTGTGCTACGACTATCACCACCAACTAGTCTTGATCGCCCACCAATCACAACTCTGTTTCCTTCAAGTCTGTTGGACTGCGGTCCGTCATGCAACCTGAAAAATAATTAAATATATGGATAAGAGGAGAAAAATTTTGCAGGGAAATTGTTCATTATTGATGAGTTAAATTTACCATGGACACAGGGAAGGGCGTTGTAGAGAATGTCCTGCAAGGAAATGTATAATTTACACTCAAAAAGAGATAGCGAGATGCCAGTTTCTGGCAAATCTCTACCTTGATAGATTCCAGTGGCAGTTGCGTGTTGCAGAGCGCTAAAAAAGCGATCACTGCATACTTAAATTTACCATGTAAATAATCCATGCTACTGTTGAGTGTTACCGCTCAAAATTAAGAGGCACCGCAACTTTCCGAGCATAAATCGCAAACAGAGTGCTAAAAAACATATTTTGATACTCTGTTCACGATTTATGTAGATCAGAAGGTAGTAGTGCCTTTTCATTCTGATTAGCAACACTCAAAAGTTGCATCAGTGACTCATTTTGATTGGCTCATTCTGATCAAAGAAACCAAGCTTAAGGGGCTTATCTCTGAATGCGCTTTTTCAGTTTTACAGCAATTTTGGAGTCTACTTATGCGAGGGAGGAAGTTAAATATCACACTTTGAGGCAGCATCTTGGATGTAATAAATGCATTTTCTCAATTTTCAATAAGGAATTAGAGAGAGCTAAACTGTACCTTGGAAAACGAAGGAATTTTGATGACATCCAAATATATCCGTACTGAAATGGAACAACTAATAAAATCATTTTATTTCTTGTCTCAAGGTTTTAATGAAATTTAAAATATACTGAACAACATAAAATTGGAGAGAACTTAGGAATATGCTGTTATTTTTCGGCAGTACCAAGAGGTTGATAGAGAAAGGAGCATATTATTTTAAATACCTGTGATTGTTGTTGGTTGAAATGTAGGTTGGCGAGGAAATATTGTGTTTGTACATCGGAGTTATAGAGTGGTTCAAGAGATTATTGTTGTGGTTTACATGACCACCACTCCCAACTTTAACAATGGTGACACCGTGCGAAGTTTGATTGATCTGTGAGCTAAAATCATACAATCATCAAAAATGTGAAATTGATTTTGTTAATTGTAATTTTTCATAGCAATAAACTGGATACAGTTGAGAAAAAAATGCTTTTACTCCAATGGTTAATAAAGTAAGAGAGGAAAAGCTGTGACTTTTTGCATGCTGCGGAAGCTTACAAAATAAGGTTTTTAGATAACTCAATCTGGAAATTATTATATGTAATTCTTTTTGAGAGGAAATAAAAGCGCTAATTCTGACTGTTTCAATGTAATACTGTACTGTAATGACTGTAATGCTGAAAAAATAAATTTCCTCAAAATTAGCACATATTGGTGGCCAACGTGCAAAACCACATATCTCTGTTTACATTGCAAACATCTTGTCATAATTCACTTTTTCTTTAAAAACTAATCAACATAATTCCTCAAGAACGTCCTTAATTTCCCTCTTCTGTTATTACAATATTTTGTATAGTGTTCAAGCAATAAAATTGGCTTTTTTATCTTTGAAAAATAAAGTAAAGGCACAAAATTCTGCAACATTGCAATGGAGATTCTAACTTTGGCCATTTATATAAAAATTGAATTTAAAAGCTTGTTGTGCTCAGGAGGCTGTGAGAAACACCATATTAAATAAAATCAAAATTTAACAAGCAGCAAATTTCCTGGTATTCCGTACTGGTTGTAGGTCCTTTATTTCATAAATGCCTTTTTTTAACAGTATTATTGATTTTTAATCTCCTTTTTTTTACTTTGTATGCTCTTTTCTCTTGATGGTCTATTGAGTCATGTTCAAACTATCTTTTCTTATTGTATTCTTTGTTATGTTTGCCATCTTGTTGAATCTTGATGAATCTTTTCTTTTAGTTTGGGTCTTTAGCCCGTAAATTGTGAAATAAATAAATAAATGCTAACCAGAGAGAGATAAATATCTTGGTCAAAAAGAAACGAAAGAAAAGGCTGCACTTACCTGCTGATGTTGCTGACATTAGTGACGATACTACTTTTAGAGTTGGTGATGTTATTGATATTGCTGTTATTAATGTTTTTGGCTTTCATACTATTTATCGTGTTTATGTTACCACTGTTGTTATTTTTGGTGCAGTTTTCTTTGTTATTATTTCTATTCATTGTACTATTATTTGTATTACTGCTATTGTTGTTGCTACTAATTTTGAGTAAAGCAGAATCGTTGGTTTTATTTTTATTACTGCACTGACGGACTTCATTTAACATTTTGTCAGTGAATAGGACCGGGTAGCATGAACAGAGTAGAGTTGCTTCTCGCAGTAGAGTTGTTTGACTCCCTCGATCAGCTTTTGGCAAATGTTCCAGTACAAAATTGAGGGCCTCTTGAGCTTTGTCCTGTAAGTGAAATAAAAAATAGCCAACAAAATTAGGGGAGAAATAGGTTAGGGGTTCTTATCACTCCGTCAAAGTGCATAACTGGGAAATGTTACTAACTTTGTTAAGGATCCGAGCCTGAAATCAATTTGAAAATTATTGAACGATAGCCATTTTTAGCTGTTGCCTCATCTTCAGGTCCAAAAAACGGAGCTCCCAAGAAAACACATGTCAATTAATGAAGTCAGATCATCAGAAACGCTGAAAACTAGGCGTATGAATAGATCATATGATTTTTTGCTGATCAATAATCATAATTAATCAAAGTATGATACTTGATTTAGTACAACTCACCCATTTGAGAGCAAAAACTTGATTGATAGAAAAAAAGGAGGACTCATGTTGTGACAGATATCAAGTCAACATACACCTTATACGCCCGCAGGTAACCTGCACCCCAGATTTCGAGAGGGTAAAAAAAAATTACTGCACAACCCACTTGCGCCCACCGTGGTCTGTTTTACTCGCATTCTCAAGTAGTGGTGACCCTGATTTTTGAGCGTTGAAATCGGGAACAAAGGTCCAGGTTATCTGCGGGCGTAAACGGTAATTTGAATAAGTAGAAAAGACATCATATTCAGAGCACGTCACGTGACAAAAGAATTGAGTTCTAATTAAATGGAATACTTACTTTACTTAGTTTTCCAACAGCAGAAATAACTTGGGCAGCTAGGCACAGCGTTTTAGGATTGCACTTGGCTGCCTGCTTTATTTTTGGCATGTAATCACTGAGCAGTTGTGGTTTCTTCTCAGCCAAGTGAAGAAGAACTTGCAATGTTGCAGAGGCTGTTGTTGCTGCGCCTAAATACTCGCACAGTTGTGGTAAACTAGCTTCTAACAGCTGGAAAGAGATACAGACGTGAATGATTCGATCAATGTGTCATTTTTAAATTTTCCAGTTACTGATCCAATACCTTTACTTATCACATCTCAATATTTTGAAGCAGTAATTAAGAAGAGCAAGTGAAAACGGCGGATATTGTACTTCCACCATTTTTAGGGATAACGCCTTTTACTCTACTGTTCCTACATATAAAGCTTCAATGGTTTTTTTTAAGTTTTTGGTCATTCTTCAAAGAAGATGTTGACCCATACATCAAATTTGAGTTTAAGACAGAAATCTACAGAGGAGGCAAAAAATTACACAAGCTGAAAAGTAGAAAAATCATTCCCATGTGAACTGACTTTACTGAGCTCTCTGGCATTTGTCAGGGCAGAGTGACAAGTGGGTTCAGTGGCTGAACAGAAGTTTTAGGATAGAACAGGTTTTCCATTCCTTCTAACTTCTCTGTGACTGTGGCTATACAGAATGGGCAAGGACCAAAAATGGCAACTATTTCAATAGGACAGTCCTGCGAAATTCTCTATTCTTTGAGGCTATTCACAGATAAGAAAAGTAGACCCACTGTTACGACTGAGAAAGGCCACGAAAGAGTTTTTTTGTAACACCTTATATGGCACCTGTTGGTCTCCCTTTAAAGTGTGGAGCTGGTTGCATAAGATTTCCTAATTGTCAAACTGATTTTATACGGCTGCAAACACTGCAACTCAATAGTTTTAAAGAGGTGAATAAAAAAAAGTATCCTTGGAGATTTTCAAAAGTTCAAGCTATCAATCAACAATATTAAACATCTTATAACAACTACCAAGCTAAAACTTGGCATATGATACTTATCCGTAGGTTTTCTACAATTTAATTTTGACTGAGATGGAAGACTTAAATTTTACAAAGATGAAAAGAAGGGGGAAAAAATAAATGAGATTTTCTTTTAAGAATTTCAAAACTACTTGGTAAAACCTATTTCTAAACAATAATGAAAGAATAGCTACCGATGGCTTCTGCGTTGCTATGAGGCTACACAACTGAAGTAAAGCTAGTTTCTCTGGTAGGTCACAAAGAGGTAATAGTGAAACTAATGCCATAGCATGGTCGTGAATGGGTTCTTTTGTAATGGCGTATATTTGAGGCAGAACACGACAGAGTGGATAGTTCCCTGCAACAGAAATGGGTTTTCAACAAGAATAAAACAATTAGAAATCAATGAACAGTTACCGCTTCCTCATAGAGAGAAAGGATGATTTCAGATCTCAGTTGATTTGGATGTCCATCCAGTCTTTTTTTTCTCTCTTTTTGTTTGCCAATGTTCCGAGTAGCATCCAGGGGGCAATTCTGCACTTAATCTCTAAGTCCTCTTACACCCAGCTCCAGGTAACATTTGCCGAAAACCAACAAACTCATGTCACCTGGGCAGGAATTGAACCCAGGACCTCCTGATCATAGGGCTGGCGCTACAACCACTACACTACAGGAGGCCAACAATGGCCTCTTTTGGCGGCAGTGGCTTGGCATTAGGAGAACAGAAAAGGCTTTATACATTATGAAAATGGCAGGCCTCACGATCACCTGCTACCTCAGATGAGCTCCCTGCTTGGCCATCCCAATTAGGTAGAATTCAACATTTTCCAAAATGATTTAAGACTCAGGCAGATAACATTTAAAAACAGAAAAGCAATCTGCTGGCTTACCTGCAATGACCGAATCGATGATTAACTGAATGTGCTTTGATAGAAGATCAGCATTGTCAATGGCTGCAAGCGATAAGTAGGAGGCCATGTTTCGAGAAATTTCTTTATTGCCTTTGTGGAGAAATTTTACAGCAACAGGCAAGGCTCTCCTCATTACAGTTTTTTTCCCATAATTCTAGAATTGACATAAAATTAACTATAGCGTGAACATGTGAATCTAGAGTTCCAAAAGATTTAGGTAGCCCGATTAAAAAAATTATCTTTCAGTACGCACTTGGTAAAGACTTATTCACAGTGATGTTTAGAAAAAAATCTGAATAGACCTCACTCACTTCAGGGTCCCAGGCTTTAAGATGTGGGAAAAATACACAAGCACAAGTGAAGAAAAAAAAACATGGATATATTATAGGGTGTCTACTGGAACAGCTTCATCTAAAATCCTAGCTTTTTCATCACCTTTTCTTTCCTTTTTCCATACTTCCCAAAAAGTTTCTCTTTTCAGAGGTTTCCAAAAATACTGAATTTTTCGTTGCCTTTTCCTGGCTTGCATTTTGATCTCTGAGAAGGACACATTTATGCATAAGATGAATAAACTAGGATTTGGTGCATGGAATGTGGTAATTTTATGGGAATGAACTGAAATAAGTAGAATCTAAGATTTCATGAGAACATAATCTAACAAATTGTAATAAAAATTGCATTCCTCCAAAACTTCTTTTAATGTTAATTGTAAACATTTCAAATTACCGTACCTAAACTTGGAAGATCAATGTGTTTTCCTCACTTCCAAACTAAACTTTTAAAATTGGTGCTTGTGCTTTTTTAGAGCATTTACACTTTTTCTGTACAATAGATACTCTGTATTGGAAAATTTGGTTGAGTATAATAGAAGGAAAGACCCACATGAAAGCCAAGTCACAGAGTGGTGTATAACATTATAGGCAGTGGAAGATAACAGAGTCGCTCTTTGTTGCTCCGTCCCTTCAACAAAACCAGACAAAGTCTTTTCTTTTTGGTTTCCTTTGTTATCGGGTCAAAATGGCAAGGAAAGATTACAATTTAGCCTCCCGTCACCTTAAACCACTTTCATGCTATTAAGGACAAACCTTGGCTTCTCTGTTCATTTTTTTTTCGCCAAGATATTGTGAATGAGAGGAAACTTTCACAATTTCTCAGAATTTTTTAATGTAAACCGAGCTCATGTAATCAGGGGCAAAATGCAGCTGGTAGATGTAGACTTTAAAAGATCTCCACCGAAGGAGAATTTTGAAATACCTACAATTTGTATTACATTGTTTTTTCTTTATGGAAGACTTTCAAGATGAAACGGTGGGTGCAAAATAAGAAAAAATACTCACTAAAAATATGCAAGAAATGAGGTCAGAGGATATTTTGGCATGAGGAGGGTCTTCATCTTTAGTGCATGGTTTTAGATTATGACTGAGACACGACTCAAGAAGGGCAACCATTGCTTCTGCATGCTGTTCCATTGACCCTGTTTCTCTGAAAAGCAAATTAAGACAAATGAAGATTGGAATTGAATCCTGTTGTGCGAAAACCACTGAAGTCCATTTTATTCAATTTTGAGATTTTTGGATTAAAATACTCTCCAAGGTCAGACACATTCATTGAAGTGGTGAAAATGTTTGTTTTTTAGGTTTGAACCCCTTTTAAGGGAGGGCCGTAGTCCAAATTGTGCGAAAACGGCTAATGTCCATCTTTCATTGTGTGCCTCTCATTATTGGTGTATTGTTTGACTTAAAATCATCATAAAAATAAAAAACACTTTCTAATCTTCTGATTGTGACTCCAAGGTAACAAACCAAGCAAAATGAATCTAAAAATGTATGGTTTCCGAGGGAACATGTGTAAAAAAAAATATATATATATATATATTCAACATGTGTGTTTTTCAAAATACAGCACTCCCTGCCTTTGAAAAAACCATTTGGAACCTTCGGTATGATTCACTGGTGTTCTGAAAGGTAACTATACTTGGTAATGGGAGGTTGCTTTAGTATCATCAGATAAAAAAGATGATGTTATGATTATAAGATATGAGATATGTCATCAGTGAAACTCCCAAACTACATATCTCGATTGCAGTTCTTAAAAATTTTTGTTCCTATTTCATTTTTTTACAAGCCAGTAAACCAACATCATTCCTTGAAGTTTCTCAGAATTTCCTTTGCACAGAGAAAGAAAATTACAGGGGTTTTTAAGAATTGACGTTCAGTAGTTCTCCGTACTAAAACAAAGTACTTTCGTTTTAGTCCTTTGTACTAAAACGAAACGAAAATAAATTAAATTCAAATTTCTCCATTTAAAAAATAAAATAAGTATGACAGGAAGTCTCCAACATGACCAACTGAGATACGTGATCTAAAAGTTTCTTTGTCAATACGTAACTGCTACTTCAGTAAAAAAAAAGAATCTGTTAATAAGATGCAGGAAAAATAAAACAAGATCACTGATCATGGTTCACTGAACAAAACTGAAATAAAAGTACCTGATGCATGAAGTTACTCTTGTAATACATATTTCAACAACGCTTTGATCATTGTCATTGTTTGCATAGTCCGACAAACTGGTAATCTCTAGAATAGTATTCAACACCTCTGTCAAGTCATCTACAATTGCCTCGTTGGCGACGGAGAAAAGCTCTCCTGCCTGTAAATAAAAATTACATTGTATCCATGATAGATTTCAAAACAAGAAACTAGTGCAAGACAAAAAAAAAAATTGAACTCATTAATCACAAAGACAATTTTTTTACCTCCATAGCCTTTCTGCAGGTCTTTTTGAGAGGTGGATTCCACTACAACCATTCAACGATTATTGCTGACCAGAGCTAATATTATCTCTGCGGAAAAGTTTAAAAATACTAGGGCTGCAAAAATTGAGAAGAAACATGTGCAGGGATATAACTGGGAGGGTAAAAGGCTGTAACCTTTAAAAAGCACTGCAATCTAGTGATGAGTGTACGTGCCCCCCTCTCCAAAAAAAAATGTCTCGCTACATGCATGCTTTGATGCAATCTAGAAAAAAGGACCTTTAAGAAGAAGATCGTGCAAAGAATGATAAAATTCAGCACCAGCTGAATTTTGAACATTTTTTATACAAGATATTAATGACTTCCTAAGTCTAATAAGCTTTAAAAATTGAGCTTCACACATGCCAATTCCAAGAGAAGCAGGGCTAAAGAGTGAATTTCTCATAATTATATCAGAAGTTTTCTTAGGTATTTCTATAGTTAAAAACTGAATGGAGAGGAGGAAAGAAACGATTGAACAAATTTCACATCGACCTACAGAGCATCAAGCAACGATCAGCATTCATTAGTACAGTGATTTCTCTAAAATGGTGTTGTTTTCCAATCTGACTAGTCCTGTCTTTTTTTTCCCCAGTTCTAACAGCCTAACTATGATATTTTAAATTGGTTCTTTTCTTCTTTTACCTTCCTGAATGAACTCCTAATATGAAAAAATAAGGAGTTGAATATAAGTAAAGAGAAAAAATAAAGTAAGTTAATAGTACCTTGGATAAGTCTTTTTTACTTAAAACTTGTGTGAATAATTCATGCATGATGTCACAGATTGGTTTCTTTGATTCACGCAAAAATGTCACTCTTCAGTACATTGCTGACAAAACCCATCTGTAAGAAGAAGAAGAAGAAAAAAAAAATAGAGTTGTAAGAACTAACATTGCAATGAAATGCATTTCTATCAATGTAGTAAACATAAACCATGGTTTATCATTAACTATTGCCCTCAAATGTCTTTAACAATGTTTTGATTAAGAACAAGCTACACCACATGAGAGTGATACATCCGCCAAATAAGTTTGGAAGGGGGCAGTGTATTTATATAAAACAATCTTCCTGTATGGATTAAACTGGCTTGTTCCAAGTCTTATCACGGGCAAATTGACGTTTGATGCATAGTTCTGAGTAAGTCAAAAATTCAGGTAAATTCTATGTTTGATGCTACCATTCAGACAACGAGTTCTAACATTTGGGAGTAAAAAGTCACATGCACAGATAGAAGCAACGTAGTGCAAATAGATAATTACAGATCCAGTTCAAAAAAAGTACCCAGGTGTCTTCCTCGATTCGATAATCATCTTTTGAGTATCATTTAGGTACATTAAATGTTTACTAAGGTATGAATGTACATTCATAATGAAAATTTCAATGAGGTTCCATAAGATCCGAGGTTTCTTCACTCTAATTTAACATACATTGCCTATTAATCCTTAAAATTCATGGACAGGGGCTACAGAACGTCCTTCTTTCGACAAATTGAGGACGTAATTAGTTGGATGCTCTAACATTACTTCAACCACAACCAGACCCAGTCAATAATCACAATACCAATTTTTGGGATTTTAATACAAGAGGCATATGAATATGAGAGTATCATGATGACCAATGGATTGTAAAGTGCATCTCAAGCAGGTAATCACATCTTCTTCTAGTTTGATGGGATTGGGTGCAAAACTTTGTTCCTCATCTATTGGAAATACATGGTTTCTGTTGAAGACACTACATGTGTGCGGGCTATAAAACTATCAATACCCTGATTTATGATAAATCATAATGATACTAGCTACGGCTTGCATAAAAGTGCGATTTTGCAACGTAAACGATAAGTGCTACGCAGATAACTTAAGACTTGGATTTTGTCTAAAGGAATAAACTGACTGAGAGAGAGCTGATGAGGAAAATATTGGTTGCTGTAATAAGATGAGATAAACTAGAAAACACATATTCAGAAGCTACCCTTAATAACCACGATGAAAGTGCTGTAAGTAGGTAGTAAACAAACCAAGCAGGTGGGTTGGAATCCGGGATCTCCTGAATCTCCCACATTCTGCAACCGATCCTTGGAACAAATATTAAGACTTATCGAATCTTCACATTGAAAGAATAGTCAAAACATGTACAAATAACTAAGACACTTAGAAAATCGCTGATAAGTAATAAAATTATGAAACTATGCGACTTGGGTGCTGATAAAGGATGATCACAGGCACCGAGGTGGTAATCATCACAGGTGACAGAGACCGCTTATTTTTATCTTGAATTCCTGCATGTCGTCATCAATCGTCGCCAATCCTCCAATAAGAGAGTTTGGTTTCGACGCTCCTTGTGAGACGTCACTTGGTGTAGGTAGCGATTGCCTCTTTCGTTACCCCTGTTTACATGCCACGAACCACGAACCCACGATTACATACCAAAACAATCAGTCAGAATCAGATGAGAAGAAATCAGAAGCGCTCCAAAGCCTCTTGGCCCCGAAAAGTATAGACTGTCAATCTTGCGTTTCAAAATTCATCTATTTTTTGATGTATCGTCGAAAAGACTGATTTAATGATTACGTCATTCGATATAATATCGAACTCTTGGTTCAAACCAAGAGAAAAACAAACCAACATAACCTCGTCAGGGACGAGTTCTATAGGACGCCGTTCTGTTGTGAGCGGGTGATTGCAGCGCATTCTCGCGTAGGATCCTAGTCAACTCAGAGGATCCTCCCCCCCGAACCTCGACTCATCCATCGCCCGCTCCAAAAGTGAGGTTAAGCCGGAGATTGAAAAATAACACATAAGGCGGCTGAATTCTTGAAAAATAAGTATATTTTTGGCGTTTTTCGACCCCTTTCGACAAGGAAGGGCCCGCCGCATTAAGTAATACGGTGAAAAATTCGATTTTTTGCAGTTATACGCGATCCTACGGATTTTAATGAAGTCCAACAACTGATAACAGCAGTGAGTTGCGAGGATCCTACGCGAGAATGCAGCACTAGTACCTGCTCACGAATTTTTACATTGACTCTTACGGGAGTCCAGGGTCCTATAGAACTGGTCCCTGACCCCTGACCTCGTGTACGAATTCTTCATGGTTATTAAAAATTTGTCATTGACCGGTCATAAATCCATTAAAGACTCATTAAACACGAGAAATTTTGATTGTAAGTAACAATTGGACGCATTTTACCACCATGGTGCTAGAACCAAGGGTTCGATATTATATCGAATGACGTAGTCACGAAATCAGTCCATCAGTCTATTGATCATTGATAACGTGAGCGTGATAACAAAAGCAGATTAAAGTTCGACTTCTATATTGTTCCCGGTGACCTGTCTGCCAGTAAATCATTATCAGTGGTCAAAGTTAAGCAAGTCTCGTGTGATTTTCCAGTTATGAAAGATCCTCAATGGTTTGCTTTTTACTTCCAATCCCACTAAATAAAAATTTGATGGTCCTTCTATCTGCACAGTGTTAAGAGAGTAAACACCCGAAGCAACTCAAGATTGATTATCAAGTGTCATCATGGCTAAAACCGGCTTACTCATAGGATCTAATCCATCTAGAATTTTCAAATTACTTCCAAAAATTCAAAAAGAAGTTCTGAATACCTTCTACATCCAGTATCTGCCAGAAAGTAAGCTGACAACTCTTTTAAAACATCAAAATTTGCCGGGTAACCTAGGCGATGTTTCTGGTCACCCGATAGTTGAAAAGTATTACAGGAACACGTTGAGTATCAAGCATCTTAAAGTGCGGGTTTTACTCGCAAGTTTCTCCGATCCCCTTTACTTTTCCAAAATAATTACGAAGACACCAATCGACATCATGTATTTCGATCGAGTGTTGAACCCGGATGAAATTAAAATGGTGGAAAATTTTGTTCTTAATAAGTCAGCGTCTTTCAAGTGTGTACCATTTGATGACAGCAATGTCTCCGCACCAAGTTCTAATGAAGAAAGCAAGTCAGCATCCGAGCTGGATGTGAATGCATCAGTCAAAACTTTTTATGACAGTGTTGTGTTAGGAGGAACATTCGACAGACTGCATCATGGTCACAAAATTCTGCTGAGCGAAGCTGTTCTTCGCTGTTGCAAAAAATTAACTGTCGGCGTGACGGATGTGCCTATGCTGAAGAGTAAGTAATGTTTATCAATCTTTTTAAGTGCTTATTTAATGTTAGGTTTCCGACTGAGCACTAGAACTGGGGAAAGAAAAGAATAGACAAATGTCACATCAATCATTAGTTGGCCGTTTGGTTACCATGTAAATTTATGCTGATTGCTACCATTCTCTGATGTGACATTTGTCTATTCTTTTTTTCCCCAGTTCTGAGCTAAGGCGGGTAAAGAATGGTGGTCGCATTTCGTACCCTCTTGATGTCACACGGCATTGGGTACGTTTCAGGTACATCCTGATTGCATGGCAAAGCATGTACCCTCTGTGCGTCACAGCCTTTAAAATGGTGGCTCAATTCGAAATCTGACCGCCTTTCTTTATCCGCCTTGGTTCTAAGCATGAATTAGATGGAAGGTATTCCCAAACATTAGGAATTTCTTCTTTCCTCGGTATGTGCAATTTGAATTATTAAATAGACCGCGCTAAGCAGAAAGGAACCAAACCATATCAGCTACAGCCAAATTTAATCGGCCAATTTAATTTTTCACATGAAAACGGTTGTGTGGACTTAGGTGCTAATTTCAGTCAATTTTCTGCATAGTACGTACGAAGCAAATTCTTTATAATTTTTAAAGGAATCTGTTCCTCCACAAATCTGCGTTTCTCTTGTTAAAAATGAGCTTGCCCAGTTAATTTTGGCAGTAACTGATGTCACTTGGTTCCTTTCTGCTAAACGCAATCCAAATATATATCCAATATTTTGACGGTGTACGTCGGCAAACACATAACTCTTTTGCGGTGTCTGAAAATCTCCGCCTCTATGTTATTTTTTTAAAGGAGAACAAACAGACATCATTCCTTGAAGTTTTTGCAGAATTTTTCTTTCACCGAGAAGAAAAATCACAGCAGTTCTAAAGAATTGCCATTGAGTTGTTTTCCGTTTAAAAAATAAAGTATGACAGGAAGTCTGCGACGTCGCAAACCGAGTTATGTGATTACCGACTTACACCGTCGATTTGTGCCGTGTTTAGAATAGATAAGGTACTTAACAAAGGACCAGATCTTGGAAATCTCCAGACAGCTTGGCAAGGTCAGGTAACTAAAATTTAGGTAAACGTGCTGATTGAGTAATGAGTCCCTTGGGTAGATAGGTACTTATATTTTTAGGTCCACCTCTTGATAGTTATCCATCTATCTTGTATTTTGATTTACTCATTCATTTAACAACAAGGAATGTGTCAGAAAGTCTATCCCCTAACAATACCTGCTACGACTGGTGGGCAAGGTGGAAACCTAGGTAGACTGTAATACTTAGGTATTGTTTTTTCTGAGAGTCTATCAGATTTCCTCTCGACTGAAGTTAATTTGTTTTTCAGGTAAAAAATTATGGGAGCTCATTGAATCAACTGAAATTCGCATCCACAAAGTATCAAATTTTTTGGAAGATGTTAGTCCTCATATACAGTTTGACATCACTCCTATCACTGATATGTACGGACCGACCAAAGATGATCCTACTTTTCAGGTTAGTGTGATAGTTTCATTTGTTTATCACTCGCTAAATTGTCAGAATCCAGGATTTAGATGTAAAGTGGATATTTGATCCCTTGCTCTTACAGGAGACAACAATTTAATTCTCCTGTCAGCCAGTGGTAGCTGCAATTTGAAGACTTGTTGCTTATGGCATTTCAAAGCTTAAAGGTATGGTACAGGAGAGCAGGAGAGGTAGCTCAGGAACAGCAACATAAATAGTACCTAGCAGAGCTCCTATTACTGAAGTTACCAGTTGTTTGTTTTTGGCGAGTCTTCACAATAGACCATTTTACATATTTACATGCACGGAAGTGATGTCATTTGTTGTAAAGCACCTACAGAGACTCAAAGAATAATATTTGCCACTTTTTACCCTGAATCATTGTTGTATGGCGGCAACTCAGCCATCTGCAATTTTAAATGATTTTGGATAATTATCTTAAGCCCTGCTGGCAATTTTCTTGAGTCTTATTCTGGTCCCTTTTTTACCCCTTCAATCAATAAATAGGGCATATCAAAGGTCTTTATTGGTCGATAAAGTGGGGCCCTAGAGCATGTGCAGCTGTGACACAAGTTGACTCGTTTGTTGTTCACAACACACACAATGATGCAGATAATTTAACCTGTCTGTTATATTAGGATGGTTAAGTTTGAAGCTTATTAAAGTTGTACCTGTAACTGATAATAAGTTAAATAGGTATCATCAATGCATCGCTTGATTTTTACAGATGCTGGTTGTGAGCGCAGAAACTGCCAGAGGAGGAGACAAAATCAATGAAATCAGGGAAAAAAATGGTCTGAATAAATTAGATGTCTACTATGTGCCTTTGCTGGAAAATGATGATTTCTACTTTGAAGAGGAAGAATCGAAAGTTAGTTCAAGTAATATCAGAATACGCCTCCTGGGAACACTGCTGAAACCACCAGAGGTACAGCTTTTTATGGTCTGTTTTATGTACAAATTTTCCTGTAAGTTTTTTGCTCTGCTCTCATCATAACACCGCAGAGAAGAGGATCACGAAGCCCCAATCAGACGGTCAGCTTTTTCATCTGATCAAAGGGGATGAGTTAAGTTTTCTAAATGGGTTACCATTGCTATGCGATGTCGTCATAAAACGAAACAGTAGTATTTAGGTATTTTCTTCAGCTTCTAGTTCGCAAACTTACAGCTACGGTAATGTCAATCGGAAGATTTTGTCCCAACTTCCCATCACAAATTATGGAAAATTCCTACAAGCATTTATCAGGATTTTCATGATACAGCTATCTCTAAAGCTTCATTGGATTAGAAACTGAAGTATTCCAATCAAAGTTGCTGCCCACAAGTTTTTGTTTTCATTTATATATTCACACAATTGTATTATAGCTTCCTTATGCGATTGTGCTTTTAAATGCCACAGCTTTGTCACAATGTTATTAGCTCAATACTTTTTCCTGCTGTTTGTGCAGAAGAATGAAGACCCTGCTCATTTTAATTCCGAGCAGCTAGCCATTGAAAATTTCATGTACTTTTAAGTAGCTCCATAATAATCATTTTTAATGAAGTAGGTTTTTTTTGTAGAATACTGCCATTGCCTACTTAAATTTTAGGATGTCGGAACTTCATAGTTACTTCTCACTTCCACAAAGGGAAACTTACTATTATTATTTTCTGAAATGTTTCTTTTTAATTTTCCTATGCACCAGTGATATTTTCTGAAAACTGGATACAAAAATTTTGGTTTTGTTCATTGCAAAAATTTTAAATGATTTTGGACTGTCACAATTAAAAAAAGATTGTTTTCAATTGTATTATTCTGACGTTTAAGAAATTAGCTCAGTCAGATAGTCATATTTAGCTGTAATATAATGCATAGTATTCCAATCATTGGGAATTAAACAGAAATTGACTTCACCCCTATTTTTTATTTTATTTTTTCTTTAATTTTCTTATTTGTTTTGTTTTTTATTTTTTTTATTATTATTTTGTCAGGCCAGGCCCAACTTACCCGCAAGACCATACATAATTGGTCTGACAGGAGGAATAGCAAGCGGGAAATCATCTATTGGCCAGAAATTAATTAAATTAGGCGCAGGTTACGTGAATTGTGATATTTTAGCACATCAATTGTATGAAGTGGGCAAACCTGCTTACAAGTCAATTGTTGAAACTTTTGGAGATGCCATTTTGAATGAAGACAAATCCATCAATCGACAAGCTTTAGGAAAAATAGTGTTTAGCAATGAGGTAAGCTATTCTCACTCTAGACTCCTAACATAGGCTTTTTTCCATTCACAGTCCAAAAATTCAAACAGCCCCTTACTGTTAGATGACAATGCATCAAATATCTGAATTGAAGATATTTCTTACAATTTTGCTTGTCTTTTTGATGTTGCTCTCTAGTGGAAAACCAAGAGCACTCAGCCTCTGTTGTTACCTTTGATTTTTCACGATAGAATAAATCTTGTTTCTTGTATATTATTCTCAATTTGTGTTTATCTCTGTGAAAATCAACTATAAAACTGAGAATCTGTGGAAAAATTAGAAGAAGAAGATCAAAGAAGAAAAAACTTGATGGCCTCCAAGATTCATGATGTCCTCTTTCAATTTCGTGAGCAAGCTATCTGACAATAGCATGCTTTGTTGTTTGATGAAAGCTTATTTTTTCGAACTCAAACCAAAGCAATTGAGGTGTTGGGTGCAGAAAGAGCTTTTCTTGGTTGCGGTGTTTAAGAATTTCCCCTGCTAATTTGTATTTTAGAAAAAAAACTATTAAATTAATTTCCTGAACTATTTTGTCTCGTTAATTGTCAAACCATAAAGAACACTCAGTAAGTTTCGAGGAACTACTTACATTTGCTTGGATCATAATGGATGAAACGTTAATGGAGATTCTGATAAAGCGCGACTGAGAAGTGCCCTTTCTGCATCTAGTGCCTCAATTACCTCTCAATTACCTACCTCTGCTTTGTTTACACTTATGGTCATGCGGCAATGCACCTGAATTTTATTTTTGTATTAATTTCAGATTGAGCTGAATAGGCTAAACTCAATTTTGTGGCCTGCTATTCTGGAAGAAGCAAAGAAAGAAGCCATGAAATTATATAAGGAAAACAAGACTGAAGTAGTGGTGATGGAAGCAGCAGTTTTGATCAGAGCTGGTTGGAAGACTGAAGTTCATGAAGTCTGGACTTCAATTATTCCATCAGAAGAAGTGAGTTTTCTCCTCTTGCTTTCTTTAAACAGTTTTCGTTTCTTAAATTGTTGAATAATAGCCCTGTTGTAAGTAACAGAAGTGTATCGTGATTGGCTCTAAAAGTGTGCCAAAAAGAGGGAGGAAGGAATTTGTAAGTGATTTTAAGAAAATATTTTAATTTTAAAAAACAAATTTTAAATGGGTTATTTTATAGAAAATAAAAAAAATTAATAAAAACTTAGAAAAATCAATAACAACCCAGTTCTTACTAATAGGATGGTTATGGCTAATAGACCTAATGTCATCTTGATACATAAGCAGACGCGTGTTGTGCAGCTCACAGACTTCAGCATCCCTAATGGACACAATTCGTTGTCAAAGTATGAGGAAAAAATATCCAAATACATGCCTCTCTTTGAGGAAATCAAGAGAATTTGGGACATGGACATAGTTCAAATCAGACCTCTCACCATATCGGTCTCGGGGGTCACAGTAGAGAGCCTATAGTCCATGCCACGAAAAGTGGCGGGTGAGGGGCGGAGACAGTCGGCCAGTCTAGTCTATCGTTGAAGGGTTGAAGCGCAGGTATTGGCCCAGTCGTTACCCCGTTTCAACTACGGGCCAATACCTGCGCTTCAACCCTTCAACGATAGACTAGACCGGCCGACTGTCTCCGCCCCTCACCCGCCACTTTTCGTGGCGTGGACTATAATTGAACATCTATAAGATCTGATACTCCCAGGTCACCTTCGCCACACCATGCAGAAGTCGGTCATTCTTAGTACTTGTAGTATAGTTAGGGCTTTTCTTAACTTGGAATAGTCCTATTTTTCGTTTTGATTTTATTTTTCTTTTCAAGTTCTTAGATTTATTTTCTAACATTTTGATGGTTAATGGTTACGGTAAGTAAAGGGCCAAAGACTTTGGTCCGTGACTTGTCTTGGGTTCATAATAGCCGGACGAATCCTGTGAGGAAGAAATGAAAAACTAAAAAAGAGCAGAAAAAGTTTAAACCATACTATAGTTATTTCAATTTTGAGTGGACAATGGTTAATATCAAAACAGTACAAGCTTGCCAAATCAAACCTTCATTGAAACAGAAAAAAAATTGAGTCTACTTTTTTTACCTCTAGAATGTGAGGAATATAAAACATCCGTCTTTGATGAATCTAAGATGTTTGAATGCAAAGAAAGTTGAAGAAAAATTTTCAGAAACAAGAACAAAAGCCAGTAGTTAGTCAGAAAGGCACCCATGAAATCATATTTTAAGTAGGAATTCTTTCATAATTGAAATTTTTTGTCGCACCCAAGAGATACAGCCAAATAAATATAGTCTATCCGGGTAAAATCGCACAAAAATAACGTTGTGCATGTAAAAAAAGTCTCAAATTCACTCCTTAGTATGCAATCTGCGTAGTTTAGATGAGGCTTATCAAGTTTCCCGCGCCTGCGGGCAGTTTTTTTGTCACTGCCGACCAGGTTCGCATTAAGAGAAATTAACCTTTGTAAACGAACAATTTCAATAACTTTTCCTATTGTATGATTTCCATCGTTTTCAAGTGGTTGTTTCTTTTGTCTTTCTTTATTTCACAAAAAAAGAGCTTTGAATCGATGTAAATCTTACACAAAGAAAGTTTATAACAGTTCGCGAGGTTGTTTGTTTATTTAGAGTAAGGTCTCTCTCCGGGCAAACCTGACTGCTGGCCGCATAGAAAAACTGCTCGCATACGTGGTAAATTTGAAAAAGCGTGTTTTGAATTGAGCAGATTGTGCGAGGCGAAGTGAATTTCAGACTTTTTTCATGTGCCCAAATGGTTTTTGGGCAAAATTTCCCACTATTGTGTATATTCCGGCTGTATCTCTTGTGTGCAACATACCCATTTCACTAAAATTTACCATCAATCTTATCAAAATTTCTGTGTTTTTATAAGCCAAATACGATAAAAATAAAAAATTTCAATGTGTTGCTTATCAAGATTGTGTTGGCTTTGGATGCACAGCTAACCCTGAAGTCAATCTTTTTGTGAAAAATTTTGACTTAACAAGTTAATGGTCCAGATGTGAAGCCGCTCAAATCAATATAGGTCCTGTAATTTTTTGGCCCAAAAAGCTTCGAGGCACTGGACCAATAAGAATCAATTATGTGAATCCTCTTCATGTGAAAAAAAAAACATTTTGTAATAATTATTTTCATGAGCAAGTGTTTTGAATATAAGTAATACTGTTTTTCTCTATTGTATTCATTTTACTAATTTCCAACTTTATTTTTTGATAATCAGGCCGTCAAACGAATGATGGAGCGTTATCAGTCATCCAGAGAGGATGTATTAAAGAGGTTAGAATCACAGCCAACAAATAGTGATTATGTTGACAGTGCCAACATTGTTTTCTGCACCCTGTGGAGCCCTAAGTTCACTCAGACTCAAGTAGAAACAGCGTGGAACGACCTTCAAAACAGATTAAAATCTTGACAACTTTCATGTTGCACTGGTTTTTCACCAAGCTTTAGAGAAGGTCCATCAAAAGGTGAAGGTTAAATGAACAGGACTATTCAATTTATTGATTCCTATCAAATTTTACATCATTAGTTTCTCTTAAAATTGAAACTTATGAATTTCTCAGAAACAGAGCATCCTCAACTAATTTTTCACATGATGATGCGGTTAAAAAATAGAATTTTTTTTAAAATGTCAAAGTATTTGGATGGACCGTTGTGTCAGCAATTTTTTTTTTAACAATAAGCTGATAAGCTAGATTGTCTTCAGTGCTCATGTATGGAGCAGTTTTAAAACGTTCAGTTAATTGATGGATTTAATTTCTAATGAAATGCACTGTACTTGCTGGTCGCTGCTTGCAAAGATCTACAGAAATTCTGATTGTTACTCAAATGTAGTTCAGTTGTTACCGTTTATTTTTCACCCACTATGTAAAAAAAAAAAAAAAAAAAAAAAAAAAAAAAAAAAAAAAAAACAGACCAACTTATTGGGTTTAACAGTTAAAATCATGAGGGTCAAATCAACCAGATCAATTTTTTTTAAGGTATAATTTTATAATTGTGATAGATCTTTCAAGGTCAGTTCCAACCTATGATACAAATCAGACTGTCCCTATGTTTTCTTAGCCACTGATCACCATAATTCAAGGTGAGTGAAAAATGAAATGTCAGGTAAATGGTAGAGAAAATCAATCGTAGGGAAGGCTGCCAGAAGTGTTTAATACAGCTGCAAAAAGCAGTAGGAAAGGAATAATTTGTTCCTCCCAGCAGAAAGTAAATTTTACCAATCAAAATTCATTAATCCGTAAAGGAAAGGAGTTATAAAAATAAATACATAGGTTTTAGTCGGTGGTTTGAATTTTATGTGTGGGTGGACTGCAGGTAATAGGAAAATGGGTTTGTGACTATACCAGGTCAACTCGTACTTCTATAGATGAAATATGTTTTTTTAGCGTCCAAGAAGTCTCCAGTCCTTAAGTGCCATCTATTTCAATGCACTTTTATATGTGCTGATAATTTTCTTTTTTATTTATTTACTTCTCTCTGAAGAAAATCTGTAATTTTTATTAATTTGATAACATTCTGAATTTGTACCAAAAAATAGTTGCTACGTACTTTTACTTACCTACTGTGATTCCCTCGCATTTTTTGAGTCTTACTTTTTCTCCATTCTAAGTTCAGTTCAGCTTGCTGCATTATCTCTACTCAGGTACTACAATTTTGGGGATGTTTTCTGACATACTTGTTGAATTCCAAAATTCACCAGGTTGATGGGTAAAGCTTTAGAATTTGTATCATTGGTACAGTTTGGTTCCAAAGTGTATTTTTTGTCCTTTCAGTTTATGTTATTTGATAACAACTGTACTTGATACTTCTGCGCTATTTGTGTATTCATTGACTCGTCATATTCTACTTTTAAAGTATTTCAACATAATGAATGCAATTTAGTGCCAGACTTACGATTTTGTGGATTTGGACAGACTACAGTTTGCCCCTCCTAGATTCTGACAGTGATGACTTTGAAAACTTGGGAGGGAAAAAAAATAAAAATCAAGTCTTCATTTGAAACCTGTCATGATGCAATCATTTTTGTCAATAATGGAAGGCATGTCCTTTAAATTGAGGGTTTTGAATCTTGAAATCTTTTTAAAAGGCTCCATCATAGAATTAAAAACACTTATTGTCCTGAATGAGGTACGGCTTGTATTCAACTGACATTCAAAAATAATATCTCTCTTACATCCTTTTAGTTTATCTTGCTTGAAATTAGCAGTGAGGGGAGGGGTTGGTGGAAGAAATTGCATTTTTTTATCTGTAGATTTTTTTTTTTAAACCTGTTACAAGTACCAAAAGTACACCTAGCACAAAATGAATGACATTTAAAGAATAGACACGCACTTTCAGGCGGTGGATTAGCAACTAGAAGAAAGATCAAAGAGCTCCTTGAGTTTATATTTTTTTCTGTATTCCAAGTTCCTAGCACTGTTTCGTCCAGGGATCAGTTATCCTTTGAAGTAAACTGGTTTGGATGTCTATCTCTTGTAGGTTGGGAAAATTATAAAAAACATTCAGCCCAATTCTAGAAAAGCAAGTTAGGTTGGCATACAACTCAATTTGCTCCTTTGATGGAAGTGGTTCATCAGTTCCAAATAAATTGATTTCTAGTTTAGAAGTGTCTCAGTTTTTCCAGTGGCAAGGCGTGTGCCAAAGGTTGACAGAGGTCAGTTTTAATCCAGTGTTGTCACCAATATGATGCTACTGATGCTAGTGCTTTGGTCCCGATTCCACCAATGTAGCACAATTATTTTTACTTATGCTCAGTTAAATATTGTGTTTTAGGTCATTATTTTGTAACAATGTGCCTGAAATATCGTTTAAATGATTTCTAAACTTCCTATGATTTAATTTGAGTCATTAATCTTGAAAAAACATTCTGCAAAGACAAGATGAAGCAGATCGATGGTTAAAGACGAAGAATGTGTATCCCAAATGCAATGTTTAAAAATCTCCAATTATACTTGATTTTCTTCCAGGAAAATTAAACAGAATGTTTCCTTGCAATTTTGTTTGATGTTTGTAGAATGAGTGAAGAAAATTGTAATGGAAACTTTGGGTTAATTTTCCATACAAAGAAATAAAACATTAGCGGAGACTTACAATGTCTTCAACAGAAAAATGGATTTCCCAATTTTCGCCATCGGGATGTTACATTTTCTTTACTTTTGTAGAAGATACGTTTAAATTTTTAAGGAATCATTCAACAGTCCAAGAAATGTGATTTTCTTTAAGACTTTAAAAGAAACGGAGAAAAGACTCCATCAGAATTATCAAAACTTCATTTGATAGTGATCAAGTCATTGAATACCCATGCTGAATAATTATTGTATTGAAGTAAGTTTTATGTATCATAAAAAGTACAAAAGTCTCAAGCAATTTTTTTCTATTTTTTATATGGTTGTTTCTTTTTTAATGAATACTGATCTAATTGTTAATTTAATGTTATGAGTATATGGCATGTTATTAAATCTTTACAATATATAAAGTATAATTTTGAAGTATTCTCTTTTTAATTTTAATTCATTTCCCTTTCATAAACATACTAAGTTTCCAGCGAAAATTTCAAAACTGCTGATAAAAGTATGCATGTATTTATGAATCCCTTCCCCTGCCCTCTCTCCCCCCCCCCAAAAAAAAAATTAAGAAATATTTGTCTAATTTTGAGTTGGTATCTTTGATTTGATCTAATTATCTGGTTGACCCTTTTTTTGGTCAATTTTTTTATGGGTCCAGAATCAGCAGAAGTCGAGAAAAGAAAATAACTTTAATCAGCAATGAGTAGGTAACCTTATAAGGCATGAAAAACTTAATTTTATAAAATGTTGCATTCAGTATCACAACATTTCTTATTGGCAATTGAATATGACATATATGATATAGCAGCTATATGACCAGCTGATCCAATATCTCACTTGCCAGTTTTGCGTTGCGCCGCCGAAAATAGTGTACTAATGTTTTAGCTTCTGTTTTCGTTTTTATTTTCGATCTATGTTTTACTCTGTAATTCATTTGATGATTGCTGATTCAGCCAAAATGGCCATAGTGGTTTAAGTTTGACAACCAAAGAAAAATCACATTGGGCAAAAAAGAAATGCAAGTGCCATGATACAAGTGCAACCCGATAAAGAAAAAAGAAACATAAGAAACAAAAGAAATGTAAAAAAAAAAAGAATCATAAATAAAGAAGAGATTTTAGATTGCTCGCCCAGCAAGGTCAGGCAAAAATAATTTCAGAAATTTAAATAGGTAAATAGTTTATCAAAATATGTAATTCCGAATTCTGTCATCTGATCATTTAAGATGGGAGGTCTGAAAGTTATGTTTTCACTTTCTGTCCAAGTAAAAAAAAAAAAAAACAAACAAAAAGACCATAAATAATGATTTTATGAGTTTATTGACAAATATATTTCTCAATTTAACAAAACAAGTTTCATATATAATACAGATTTCGAAAAAAAAAAAAAAATCATTTACGAATTGCAGCTCTCAAAAATTTTTTGAACCAATTATTTACATATTTATTCTTGGTGTGTAAAATTAATAAGATCACGACAATTTACTTAAATGATGCTCTTGTAAAACATGAAAATACTTAATTTCATTCAATCTTGCGAGCAGAAGGAAAGCCAAAAAATAATTCGAAAAAATATGTATACCTGTGTTACCTAATCATTCACTAATTATCATTTTACTCATAGTACCTACTGATAAGCTGTGAACATTTTGAGGTGAATGTGCTCTTGAAATTTTCACTGCAAATGAAGATTCCTCTTATGTAAAGGGTTGAAAAGATGAAAGAACAACTTCTTGTAAAGATGTAGGTACATAATGTACTTAAGTAAACAATTATTGTCAGCATACAAAGGTACAAACCATGCATTAACAAACATTCGAGAACATCAAAACATCATGCACTCAGCCTCACATCAATGGGTTGATGCACCCCTAAACTCAAAAACCTCGACACAATATACATACATTGAAACATACGAGTAGATAATCAAAGTCAATTTTGAGGGCTTACCTACTCAATTCGACATTAAAGTCGATTTCTCTACCAGAAAATGTTGATAGGTAAGTCATCTTATGGTCATATCAGAATACAATCGATTCGAGGATAAATGTTACATGAATATTTGACAGAGTGATGAATAGTTATGAGAGACTTGCAGGTATACATAAGTCAGTAAGTATGCTCATTTTAAAGATTTTATGCACAAAGTATTTCAGCAATCACATTTAATTGAACATATTACCGTGATGCATCTTTTCTGTTGTTTTTTTTGACACAATAAATAAATAACAATAGACCACTAGACAAGGTACGAATTTAAGCATTCTAATACATGTTTCTTGACCAGAATTTCACGTAGAACACGATGCGCACAACGGAAATTACCGAAATCAACTCGTTATGAAGATATTTAATGATTCTTAATGCGTGAATTCAAACCACCCGCTCATGAAAACTCAATGCTCTACGTGACTCACACCGCGCGCTAAACGTTATCATGACAGTCTCTGCGATATAAAAATCTGGCAACCTTAATCTTGACACTTTAGCTCAGCTATTACAAGTTGTTTATAGTTTGAACAGCACATGGTGGGAAATGAACATCGTTTGATTGAGAAGTTTGCTGAAACCGTTCTAGTGCACGATTTGACTCACGTAGAGCTTTGAGTTTCTTGTGAGCGGGCAGTTCAAACTCCTCGTAACCAATGTGAAACATAAACGTTAATATCTTCGTTAGGAGTTGATTTCGGTATTTTTCGTCGCGCGAATCGTGTTCTACGTGAAATTCTGGTCAAGAAACATGTATTAGAATGCTTAAATTCGTACCTTGTCTATTGGTCCATTAAAACATTCTATTCATAAAAATAGATTAGAAAATGGCAAGTTAAAACTTGGCAATAAGTAGGTATCATCAGTTAAAGTCATTCGTCTGTCATCACAGCAGCTCGTCCGCTGGGTAGGTTGCCAGCGCGCCGTTAGGGATAGTAAGGCGCCTTCATTTTTTTTGATATGCGAGACCAACAGCCATGGAGCACGTTTAGTTGCATCCGGACGCCTTCATGGCACGGCATCAAGGCGCCTTCGTGTCTTAGGGTATGCAACACATACAGACACGAAAAACGAATAGTCGCATTCACATGTCCCTTAGCATGCGTCATCGGTTGCGTTCCGATGAGATGTTGACGAAGACTCCTTTCTCTTTCCTCATCGATAATTGAAAGAGATCACCTTTTTTGAAATTCCCCCTCCTTCCCCGCGCCCTCTTCGTCACCCGCCCATGAACGTCAGCTATGCGGCAATTTTTTAGGACAACTTCAACAAATCTTTTGGTTGAGGAGGAAGATCATAGGAACTTAAAAACAGATCCTTTCATCATCGTTACGTATAGCATTGCCTGGGTGGGGGGGGGGGGGGGGGGTCTAATCTCGGTTCATAACGAGGGGAGGGAGCGGTGGGGACTAAAACCCACGTTACTTACGTAAATATGTGAGACCTCTTTTTGCGAGCCCATCTTCTCACCGCGACACACTGATTCCAAATTAACATCCGCTTAGCACTTTAAACCGATGCACAATTGCACACCCCACTTTCCCTGTGTCACGTCATATCTGAAAAATTTCGTTGTAATTTTTAGATCATCCGGAAAGAATACTTAATACTACCCAAGTAAAAATGAGTAAAAATGAAATCAGACGGAGATTCGCTTTTTATAAGTCAGTCTGATTTCTGTCATGCACTTTGCTTATTGTTGGTGTCGTGTCGGTCAGATTGATGTGCCTGACCACACTGAAGAAGGTCTAAGGTCAGAGTGGCGTCAACCTGACATCGAATCGCTAGCAAATTGACATCCCTAGTAAAAATGAATCGGACCGGGTCAGATGGTTTATGAAAAAAATCACTCTGACTTCGACGTAACTCGGTTTGACGTGTCAGACGTCGTCTAGTGCTGTCAGAGCGCTCGATGGACGTCAGACTGGGATGCTCTTTGAAACAGTCAACTCAGTCAGACTGACGTCAAACTGACTCATTTCCACTAGGCATCAGAGGGGGTTTTAACCAGAGACAAGAGATCCTCCACTCGTATCTCGGCTATGGTGGAAGCTTTTACTCTCGGGACTTCAACATTAAACTGTTGACGGTTGATGTTTAGCAACGTGTTGGCAGTCTCGTTTGGCAAACAAGCCGAAGTTTGGGAAACTTGCTTGGCTCATGACGTCGCCTGAAGCTCATCATCAACCATGTAGGTAGGTCAACAGCCGAAAAAAGAGGGATGACCGCGTTGCTCCCTTAACTATATCCATAAGGAAGTGTGGAATCCCCAAAAGTAAAAGCTTCCACCTGTCGCCAAGAGGCCAGTGGAGGGTCTCTTGTCTCTGGTTTTAACTCTCATAAAGTAGACGGTATTCGATGAAAATGGGTAAGATTTTTCCGACGGAAGAACAGTCGTGGAAACACGGGTGATGTGGCAATGAGAGAGTGCATCGGCTCAAGTATCGAGGGAAGTAATTGTTGACAGCGTCGTAGGTGGAGTATACTAGGCCGAAGCGCGGGGCGACGTGGCGTGCATGCGAGAATGCCAGTGGCGTGGCGTGAATTGCGCGATGTATCGATTGTTATGCCATTTAAACCTATGGTAAAGAATCGATTATTAAGGTGTTCGCTGCGAACACCGTGTTTATCGATCCTTTTCCATAGGTTTAAACGGCATAACAATCGATATATCGCAAAGCACGCCACGCCACTGGAGAATGCGCTGATTTTAGCTGAGCGCCAGGAGAGGCTCGTTGGTCTCTTTGGGAGGCCTGTGGAGTTTGCTCTTGTTGGCCTGGTCCTTCTTGGCCTCCTGCTGCTGGTGCGCGAAGAGCTTCTGCTTCACCTTGGAGACCTTGGTCGGGGTTTCGTCCATGGTGTTGAGCTGCTCGATGATGTTCTTGGGGACGGCGGCGCCGGGCGGGAGGAGCGGAGCGTGGCTGCTCTCGTCCTTGGTGGAGTTCTGGTTGACGTAGACGACGTAGTACTCGGAGTAGGAGGACTTGGTCGGGGCGGTGATGTCGGCGAAGTCGCGGAAGTTGGCGAAGAAGTCGGCGCCGGAGTTGGGGGGCCCGTGGCGGAAGTTGGCCGGCGGGTTGGAGGAGTAGAGCGAGGGGCGCCCGTGCCCGTTGTTGCCCGAGTAGAACGGGAACAGATCCTGGTCCACCGAGTACTCCGCTTCCTCGCGCTCCCTGTCCCGGTCCTCCGTGTAGTACGTCCCGCCTCGGATCACCCCGAAGTTACCTGAAACATCCACCATATCAGACGTCAGAGGGTGCAATGGACCACTAGACAAGGTACGAATTCCATGGAGTACATAGAGTCGTAATGTAAGTGGAAGAGCTGGCGCCATGTTCTGCCCGACGAATTCCGAGCCCGGTGTGCGCCGAGTTCGGGTCGCTTTTTCGATACATTTTCGATCCAAAATGGCGGTGTGGAATGCGTGGTGATTCCTATCTCCTTTGTTGTTGTTGTTGTTGTTGTTGTTGTCATCGGATGACCGGGTACCCGTGTATCGCAAACAATCGATTGTGTATCGAAAAGTGACCCGGTGTCACACAGGAGTCTCGGAATTCGGGACATGGAAAATGCTTAAAAGTGGCGCCAGCTCTCCCACTTACATTACGACTCTATGTACTCTATGGTCAGAGGGTGTAATGTGCTGGTTACACGCTCAAATTTCCATCAATTTCCGATCAAATGGCGACTGGTGCGCACCATCCACCATCAAATTTCTGCGGCCTGCAAAAATTTGATGCAGTAGATGATGGAGCTGTGGGGCTCATCCTTCATCTGATTTCCACACAACCGTGCTTATTTCATGCTTATTTCAATCAATACGCTGTTTTAATTAATTTTACTCATCAATCTAGATAACTCTCGACCGCCATCTTGGTCATCATTTTGATCGGAACTTGACGGAGATTTGAGCGTGAAATCAGGCCATAATAGCGCTTTTGCTCTCGCATGTCTCAAGAATTTCTGATTTAAGTACTGATGTCTACGTAATATTTCGCAAGGAACACGATGGTGCCATCGGCTTTGTCTCAAATGGACGTATTTCTGTCAAATGGAACTATAGACGAAAGGGAAAGTTAGGGTAAGCTCCAGAAAGCTGCCTAAGAAACAATGTAAAAGTGGGCTTGGTTCCCTTTGGAGAAATGGAAAAGCGGGATTTTTCATTCTGTCAAACGGACTATGTGACAACTGAATGCGTCACTCATGAGCCGTGAGTACGGCAAAATAGCGTAGTGTACATGGCTCATGAGTTATGAGTTAATGCCAACCAAGAGCAACGACGGAAACGGCTTCGTTGCCGCTGACGTCACTGGCGCTTTACCCTGGTAAAAATTGGCTGTAGAATCTGTGCTCCAAAATACCATAGACCTATAGCCGGCTGTAAGATTTCCAATAGCTTCTATAGCCGGCAACACAATTTCTTATAGCCGTTTATAGCCGATGGCGATTAAGCAACAGCTTGACGATAAAGTGTATGCTAAACGTTACTAATTACGGATGCTAGGACTTAGTGAGTTTTTGGACTACCGCTCTCTTTTTGGGCCGTAGTGTCTTGATTTATTTTGCGAGGAAAGCTCCGTACTTTTGAAGGATGCCTGCTATTCCTAATATGTTGGAGCGCCTTCAATTTCGTATGATACTGTGCAATACGTCTGGTGTGAAATAGTTGCTTCAAGCGCCGTGGTGCGCTGCGGCGCGGCGGGCGGGTAGCCAGCGCGAAACGCGCATCGGCGCCTACAAGCCTAACAGGGATACTTCACGCATTGCGCAATGCGTGAAGTATCCCTGTTAGGTTTGTAGGCGCCAGTGCGCCGCCGCTCCGCTTTGTGTTAGGCTCTAATATTCAATCTCGTGGAGTCAGCGTTTTTCAACTCATGACTTTGAAATGTTTGCACACTCTGTATGGATTATTCTCATTCTCATTTTAATTGATGAAAAAAATATGTAGGTAGTAAAGGAAAATATAATGTGCGTTTTGTAAATATTAAGGTGATTCCGTACAAACTTAGGGATTTACAAAGCACATGATTTTCTACACACTTTTTTATAGCCTTTTATAGCCGATGGCAAAAAAGCAACAGCCAGGCGATAAAGTGTAAAGCCCGGCGATAGGAACTATAGCCCAGCTGTATAATTTTTTATCGCTTCGTGTAGCCCGGCCGTATGGTTTTTTCCACTTTCTACAGCCAGCTATATGATTTTTTATCACCTTCTTCAGTCGGCTATAAGAACTCCTGTGGTATTTTGAAACGCAGCTCCAATCGCCAATTTTTACCAGGGATATACTTCCCATTCATTCTTACAGCCCTCGACTATCGAGCACGCCCCTTTTTTCCCACTTGTCTCTGGTTCCGTTTGGCAGAAATACGTCCTAATCAACTCCCAAGCTCAAAAATAGCTATCACAGTTGAGGCCGTAATAGAGGGGGTACCCAACGCTATCCTGAGAGTCCCACTCTATATCAAGTCAAACTCTCCGTGCAAAGATAGGGAACAAATACATTAACAGAGTTGCCACTTTTGTGGGACTCCAAAATTGAAAACACGACAACCCTGTTTATGTATTTGCTCCTTATCTTTGCATGAAGAGTTTGTCTTGATATAGAGGTGGACTCTCGGGGTAGCGTGGGATATCCCCTCCATCACTGCCTCAGCTTTTATAGCTTTTTTTGAGTTATGGGGTGTGTTTCAAAGAAAACCAGCGGCACCATCATGTTTCTCGCGAAATTTTATACGCGAGAAAAAGTACCTACCTAGAAATCGCAAATCCCTCACACATGCAAGAGTACCATTGAAAACACTTATGCTGAAAGAACGACGGGGCTTATGAAGTATGTGACGCTGAATTTCGGATTTTTCGACCCCCCCCCCCCCCCCNCCGTGAGGTCCAACCGAGTGTTTTTTGAGGGGATGCAGAGCAGACCTGTGTTAGGGATGCATTACCAGGGGTATGGGGGGAGCGTGAGGTCCCACCTCCCCCTATTCCCTCACTTCCTTATCAGTGGCGTGGCGTACTTTGCGATATATCGATTGTTCTGCCATTTAAACCTATGGAAAAGGATCGATAAACAAGGTGTTCGCAGCGAACACCTTAATAATCGATTCTTTACCATAGCTTCTAATGGATAAATATCGATAATCGATCATTCACGCCACGCCGCTGTTCCTTATGACAACGTCCAGAGGGTTAAAAAATCCGATTCCAATTTTTAAGTTTGTTTATTTTCTAAGTCGAGCATTTTGTGCAGGAAACTAGAGGGACCTAGTGTGAACTATGAGTTACCTGAGCCGAGGACATTGTTGTCGGTCTCAGCGGCGGAGGCGGAGGCGGAGTAGGCGAAGGGCAGATCCCGGAGGGTGTATTCTGGCTGGCGGAAGGTGGGCTCCTGGTGGAAGGCCTGCGGGCGGGAGTGTCCCAGCGGAGGCGACGAGAATATCGGTGAGAAGGACGGGAAGAAGCGCTGCTCCGTCGCGATCGTGTCCCTCAGTTTTGCCCCCGTCCCCTCCGCCGCAGGCTCCTCTACCTTCCCGCTGCTCGCATCGTGAACCGATCGGCCGTCACCTGGAGAAAAGCAAAAGATGAACCGTTGAATCAATCATCAAAATTATCTAAGATCATAACTAATGAACCTGTTGATGCACAGGGCCAGATTTACATTTTTAGCGCTCTAGGCTAAACTTAGGGTGGCGCCCCTAAAAGTAGGCGCTCTCAAGGGGAGGGGGGGTTCCCCCAGACGCCCCTCCCCTCCAGATCAGAAGGAGGATGTTAGGTGTCCGGGAAACGTCAAATTCACCTTTAAAAAAACACCTTTTTCAACCGCAACGTAGACATTTTTTAATAAGTCACGTTTTTTAATAATTCTCAAAAATGTTGCGCCTTAGGCTATAGCCTATGTAGCCTATTGGTAAATCCGGCCCTGTTGATGCAAAATATGTTCACCTAGGGTGCGGCTTATACGAGAAATCAAAAATGATGAATTTTGAAATAAACAAGGGACCCCGCCAAAACGTTTCTAATAGTGTAAAAACAAACGTCGTATAGGATAGTTTTGCATTTGGTCAACATTTAGAGGTCCCGACGGACCCTCAAAATTGCAAAATTTGGCTAATTTTAGCATTTTTTCATCAATTTTGACAAATTTTCTCAGGTCTCACGGAGAGTTCTAATTGATAAATTTATTCATAAATAGGCAATAAATAACCGAAAATGCACCCTATCCTCCACCTTGAGCCCCCCATCCCCCCAACCCCCCTCCCTTAACGTTCCAATATAAATACACTCTTTATGAACTACGCTCTTTTGGTAGTGACCAGAGACCTAAAGTAACACTGGCCAACGCGGGTTAAAATGCGATTGTTCCAGTACAATTTTTAGCGCTAAGTCTGAAAATGACCTCCGTTATGCTAGGTCAGGTCGATTTTCCCCGGAAAAATTAGGATTTTCTTTAAAAATCGAGCTTCCCCAGAGAAAAATCAATTTCCCGGAAAATCTGCACGGTGGAGAAAAAGTAAGGTCATTTTCGGATTCAGCAGCTGAAATTACATGGCAAACCATGTATTGCATGGCTATTAACGTTTTCATTCTGATCCTAATGTCGAGGTTATTCCGGACAAGTGCTACTTTCCGCCCATGTAACGCAATTAATACTAATCCGATTGTTTTGCGTCGGAAAGGAGGGAAAATATTTTTTCTCAGGCAACAAGTGGAGATAACCCCACTAACTTATTGACGCTGCAGCCGAAAATGACCCCACTTTCCTTCCAGAAGTGCGCTTCAGCTAGAATTGTATTTAGCAAATGGGAGGTTTTTATTCGAGGATTATAAATAAACAAGTGGTACGGAATAAAACAAAAAAATATGAACTATGCAAAACGATAATCCGGGTATCGGAACTTGGCTGTTTTGAAAACGCCTTCAAATGCGGCGTGATACCTCACGCATTCCGGAGAGTTCAAATAGCTGTATCATTGCGCCGTAAGAATGTGACGGAAGATTAAAATGTAAATAGCCTCCATACACGCTGCTGGGCTTGTCGATTTCTTTTGACATTTTTGCAGTGGTGAATGCATTGCTGAAGTGCGCTCCAGCTAGAATTGTATTTAGCAAATGGGAGGTTTTTATTCGAGGATTATAAATAAACAAGTGGTACGGAATAAAACAAAAGAATATGAACTATGCAAAACGATAATCCGGGTATCGGAACTTGACTGTTTTGAAAACGCCTTCAAGTTATATGATCCAAGTATGTTAAAGTGATGAATTTGTGCCGTAGAGAATGAAAAAAAAGATAAATTAATGCTATATTTCAACCGAACAACTTCAAAATTGTAACATTTTCAATAGTAAAGAGTGCAATGTTTGCAATGCCACAACGAGTTTTGAACTCAAGCTAAAACTTTGGTTGGAAGATTGTGTCACCATAGGGTTTCGCTAGGGATAGATTTGAAGCTGATCCCCGCGTTTCCAAAAAAGGGCCGATTTTTTGGCAGGCTCTTCAACCCGGAATGACTTTAAAATTGAATTCCTCTCATTCGGAGTCACATTTGACTCGATCGAAGAGTCAATTGACGCGATTTGCACGGACGCAATTAGGTGGTACGCCCCCTGACCGCTTTGCGGCTCAACTCTCCGAAGCTCTACGCATCTCAAGCTTTTATACGTTACGCATTCCTCCTATGATTCTACNCGTGCTTTTCAATTCTGATGCGATCTATCCGCAATTCGGTCGGGAACCGTGACTTTTAGCATCGTGACCCCCCCTTTACCCCCCGAGGGAGGATGGGGGGGTTTCGGGACCACGAAATTCGGATTCCTTGGGGTCAATTCCCTATTCAACCCCGCGGTCTCCGACTTCGTACGACCTAAACCAATCGAGAAAAAGGCCTGGTACGGGTGGTCTGAAACACCCTGTATATTACTGAGTGTGATATGCGAGCAGAATATTATTATTTCTAACAGTGCACTACTGCCATGCTAAGGGAGAATGCCGTATGAACATTCAAGAGTTGCCAAATTTTCCTTGATAAAACATGTAATTTCGACAACATTCATGCATATTTTTCCTTGAAATTTTCAGATATTTTAGATGAAATTACGTACGAAATTTGTGTAAAAATTTTGGAAAATAATTTTCAAATTTTTCCCAGTAAATTCGGTTTTTATTGGAAGAAACTTGGCAACGTCTAAAGGCTTATACGGCTTTTTTCCTTAGCACGGCAGACTAGGGTGCTTCTCTGAGGTGGAATCTTCGCCTTAACGCACGCATTATCTTTTCCTGAAACACCGCACCGTGGTGAGGCACTGAAGTCATACAAAGTGGTGGTCCAAGAGGAAATTACTTAGACATGGCAAGTGCATCTCCGTCCTCCTTATGACCCGTGTCCTTCATCGTTGCGCCGTATTGTTACAGTGCTTGCGCATCCAGGTGAAAGCTACGGACTTCGGTGTTGCCGGCGTTAACCAAGTATGAGAGGTTGGGCCGATTGCGGTACACATATCTCAGACATGAACTGAATTATGTCCACTTTGCACCCTGAAAACGATAGCTTTTCTGAAAATGAGAAATTCGATCGTTGCCATACACTGGTTACCTCGTAATTTTTATGTTTTTTCTTTTTTTCATCGTGGATTTATCGAAGTAAATCAAACTGCCTCTTGACCTCATTCAGATTTTCCTGACAATTGCACGATAACTTAAAAACTTTCCTTCGACATATCCATGAGCCAACTCCTTCTTTTATCTGTAATTTTCGGCAAAAAAGTTTACATCAGCTATTTTGTCATAAGTCAAAGAAGACAGCTATTTATTTCCCTTAAATTAAAATTATACTTCTTTTACTAGTTTTTCAAATGAAAATAACTTGATTGTGTATATAAAAATCCTCTGCAAAAAAGTCGCCTGTAAAAACTGATTTAAAACATTGTCTACCCAATACTAAAATATAGAAAAACCCCCAATAGCTCAATGAATTTTGAAATAACGAAGTACAGAAAAATGTTGACAATCTGAATGAGTGTCTGATCAAATAGCTTAAAATTTGACTTTTTATCCTCGGAAAAACGTTCCTAAGGTTCCAAACTTTTCTCGCAAAATATCCTTTCAGACCCCTTGGAAAAGAGCTGAACAAAAGTGAAGCAACGGGAAGTCTCAAGAATAAGTCCCGGTGTCAATTTTGAAAACTGACCAAAATTAGCCTCTTAATTGGCTTTGGGGGATGTAAGTACATGGCATGTTAGAAAGCATCACAACTAGAAAGTTGAAACAGCTAGAAACCAGTGGCGTGACGTGCTTCGATATATATCGATATTTCCCCATTTGAAGCTTTGGTAAAGAATCGATTATTAAGATGTTCGTTGCAAACATTCTGTCTATCGATCCTTTTCTATAGGTTTAAATGGCATAACAATCGATATATTGCAATTCTTGCCACGTCTCTGCTAGAAAGTGGTACCTTTCCTCTCTCTATGACGGAGTTCTGCGAGGACCTCAAGACTCTTTATCGATGGTTGGATAGACGAGACCATTTGATCACGCTCCACGTCTGTGGCGTGGCGTGAATTGCGATATATCGATTGTTCTGCCATTTAAACCTATGGTAAAGAATCGATTAGTAAGGTGTTCGCTGCGAACACCCTGTTTATCGATCCTTTTCCATAGTTTTAAATGGCATAACAATCGATATATCGCAATTCACGCCACGCCACTGCTCCACGTGGGATTAATGTGAGCATAACGTAGCATATTATGCCCACGAGTGATTTTAAGTCAACTTAACGGAGCAGATTATGAGTAGCACCATTTAAACAAGTAAACGACGCGAGCTTTCTCTCGAGTCATTAAGTTCAACTATCTCTTGAGACAATTAAAGGAGTTGAAAACTGCTCATTCTTTTTATTAGACGAGGTATAATTTTTAACACGGATTCAAAAATGGGTGCAAGGGATGGGATGTCAAATAAACCGCAAGGGTGAACAGTAGGTAGTCTTTCGGTGATAATACCAGCAAAAATTATCGAAAATCTTCGTCCTCCAAGATAGAGTCAAAATGGGTGTATGGGTCGGATGAAAAACACTTATCTTTTTCAATATTTTTGGTTAAATTAGAAAAATATTGTATATTATGGGGACAAAAAAGTTCTTCGTCGAAAAATGTTTTAAATGTTCACTGTTCTGGGCTTATGCTGCTTTTTTGCACGAGAAAAGAGCTTCAGATAAAAAAAATAAAATCAATCCTTTTAAAAATTGTATGACCTCCAAGTTATCAAATTGAATAACCGTTGACATTTTAGAAAAATATGTCCAAAAAAAAAAAAAAAAAAAAAAAAAAAAAAAATGAATTCATAGGTGATCAGTCTTGAGACAAAGGTATATTTCAGGCGTATTGAAAGTTAGTAAGTTATACATATCCTCGTAGTTTTCTAATTTAAATTTTTCACTCCTCTTTCTTTTCGAAAAAACCGGTGCCTTATAGTTTCCTTTGCTTTAAAACTAAAATTAATCAGCCTATTCTATATTGGCTAAAATTCGGGAAAAATCGCAAATTTCAAAATTTCAAATTGTTT